ATGAATAGATAAGGGTGTCATCGGGGATAAGCAATGGTTCGATTATTCTTAATGTGGATTGCGACATGTACTCAAATAACTCTGCTGCCGTGAGAGATGCCGTTTGCTTTTTTATGGATGAAAAACAGAGCCATAATGTTGCTTATGTACAGTTTCCACAGAACTTCAGTAACCCCACTAAGAATGACCTTTACGGTAGTTCCCATATGGTAATAATGGAGGTAGACTTCTGAACTCTTGCTAATCTTATACTATCTTCAACTATTTTAACATTTTTGAGTGCCGGAGGAAATTTTGATGAAAATTTATATTTTCGTTCTATCTGAAAGAGTTATTGTTACCTTCCCTATCAGGTAGACCTTCCCGGAATTGATTCCAATGGAGGGCCTTTCTACATTGGTACTGGGTGCTTTCACAGGAGAGAGACTCTCTGTGGGAAGAAATATAGCCAGGATTGTAAGACGACAGACTGGATCAAAACGGTGAATAATAATGATAGAGAAGTTGAAGAAAGTGCAGTTGTACTAGAAGAATCATGTAAAGTACTTGCAAGTTGTAGTTATGAGGAGAATACTCTATGGGGAAAGGAGGTTTATCTCTTTCCCTCTTTCTCACTCACACAAGCACGATTAATTGTACATGCATAAATATAGACAAGAGTAAAACTATAAATCCCTGAATTCTTTTCCTAGTTTTTTCGTTCGATGTGACACATCTCTTGGGATGAGTTCTGAAAATTTATTGTATGATTTGGCAGATGGGTTTGATGAACAACTGTGCAGGGGAAGATATAATGACTGGATTAGCTATACAATGTAGAGGATGGAGATCCATCTATCATAATCCTGAAAGGAAGGCTTTCTTAGGACTTACTCCCACAACACTTGGTCAGTCACTAGTGCAACATAAGAGATGGTCTGAAGGTGATTTTCAGATCTTCCTTTCAAGCTACTGCCCTTTCTTGTATGGACGTGGAAAGATCTCACTCAAACTTCAACTTGCATACTGCCTCTGCTTGATGTGGGCTCCATATAGCTTGCCTACTCTCTACTATGCTTTCGTGCCATCCCTTTGCCTCCTTAAAGGCATCTCCTTGTTTCCTAAGGTATGGATACTTTTAACAGATCATCATTATCTTTCAAAAACTAATTTTTGGATACAATCTTAAGTTATGTTTCATTTAAACCATCAGATTTCGAGTCCATGGGTTATGGCATTTGCATACGCGATGTTGGCCAACCGTGCATACAGCTTAGGAGAATTTATATGGGTTGGAGGCACAGTCAAAGGTTGGTGGAATGATCAAAGAATGTGGATGTTCAAAAGAACAACTTCATACTTCTTCGGTTTCGCTGATAACATACTGAGGCTACTGGGTTTTACAAAGTCTTCCTTTGAGATTACAGCAAAGGTGGCTGAAGAGGACATATCTGAGAGATTTGAGCAAGAGACAATGGAGTTTGGTGCTTCTTCACCAATGTTTACCATTTTAGCAACAATTGCTTTGCTCAACCTGTTTAGTTTTCTGGGGGGACTAAAGAGGGAAATGTTAGATGGCCACTGTAAAATATTAGATCAATTTGCCGTGCAGATGCTTCTAAGTGGGATAGTGGTATTGATTAACCTACCATTATACCAAGGACTCTTCTTCCGAAATGACAATGGAAGGATGCCTACTTCAGTAACATTCCAGTCTACTCTCATCTCTCTATTGGTCTGCACAATAGCTGCATATTAAGTACCAAAGTGCTACCTCCAGATGCACAACAAAATTTGAGAGTGTGGGAAACTGTTTGTTGCATTTGCAAAGGAAAATTAATAATTTAATGTTGTCATAATCTCTTGATTGCTATCTACAGCAGATGCTTATTTTGTAAGAACCAATATAACTATATTACTACTGTTTTTATAAGATTTGCATGAAATCTCCCTTAGAAGCATACTTTTTTTTTTTTTCTGTTGGTAAACCCCGTAATTACCACCTAAAAAGAAGGCTTCCCTTAAGAGCCAAGAACCTTGGGCATGCTCAAGGGACAAAGACTACAAGAAAAGACAATCCTTAAACACAAGGGAACAACAACCATAAGAACATCCAAAATCTAGCCTCTAGGGAGCCTAAACCAAAAAAGGGGCCAGCAAACAGAAAACAAGCCCAAGCTGCAATCTGATACTGGATTCAATTACCAATTTGAAATTTCCATTAAAAAAAATAAAATAAAATTTGTAGAAACTAAAATCTACAGTTGTGAAAAGAAAGATGAATCCTGTAAAGTTGAGGCCAATGACAATACGCTACACCTGCACACACAAAGAAACCGATGTGAAGCAAACAAGAAACACCGGGATGGTGTTTGCCGTAGGCACTTCGACTCTTAAGTTAATAAGGGTACTAAAGGTTTTTTTTGTTAGGATAGGGAAAATGACAGTTTACCAGAAGTTTAGTCGAAGATTAGAATTACAGTGGCGATATATAATTCTCATGAGTAAGAACTACGGAATTTAGAGGTGTAAGGCCGAATGCCTAAACAAAGGAATGACCCCTTCTTATATAATAGTTGCAAGATCTATGTATCCTAGTAGGACTTTCAATCCATAATGGTAAAAGCTGAGTGAATAGGAAAGATCTTGTTTCACTTACCTTATTAACGCTAACAATCCTAATTCACCTATGAAATCTTTGGGCGAATTGGGATAGAACACAAATAGGAAGAGTTCTACTTACCTTGGTTTGGAAGGCCTGGCCTTGGATGGGCCAACGATGATGCCCATTCTGGAGACAGGTTGGTTTGGGCCACACATTTTGGTCCATTCCATGAATTCTAATGCTGGCCCAATCACAATTGGGTCACAACCTTGGGTCTAAGTAATGGAAAATACATGTTTGGGCCTGGCGGATTTTGGCCTATACAATTACACCTCTCCCATTGCATACTTAGACTAAAATTAAAAGTAGTTTTGTCACAAGTTCCCTCAACGAACCCAAACTGGTTCTTCACTCGCAAAGAAATTGTCATCACTCGACTCCAAATGCCGTAGTTTTCATTACCAATAAACTGTTTTGAGACTAATATAGAATTAGACGTATCAGATGGATGAATATAGAGTGGTGAATTACAATCAATTGCAGTTGCAACTGGTTGTCTGCCAATATTCGCCATTGTTAATTATCTACTCTAGATTGATGATTTTGAGCTGAATTGAGAAGAAACTTTTGGGGAAAATGGTCTCAATTTGTTTGATGAGAAGCGCAAGGCTCTAATTCATCAAAGAAGAAGATCAAGAAGCGGAAATTTTGAGTCACGCTCTGATACCATGTTAGCAGATAAAGAGGATAGAGTATTTTGGGACGAAAGCACAGCTCGTGCGTGTATTGCTTCATTATCAATCTTAAGTTTAGACAATAGTCAAAGACCTTTTAACTAAAATAATAATTCAACTGTTTACCAACTGCAGTAGCTAATTAACCATAGTAACTAACTATCAGTATACAGTTGGCTAACTATAATCAATACTTAGCTCAAGCTCAAGTAACTAATCTGACTTCTAAGGTCTAACTCAATAACTGTCAAGCTAAACTAAATGTTACAGACTTGCAGTACAGTTCTCATTATTTATCCAATAAGTAAGTCGGTAAAAGTTGTTTGGTCTTCCTGACGGGCTTCTTACCCTTCCTTAAAACTTCAGCAAATAAACTAACAGCAACTTTGACAGATTGAAATGGTGCCCTGATATGTGTCTCTCCCACCTCTACCTTGGGAGAACCTGCAGCCTTTTGCCATTCGCTAGCACGTACATTCACCATTTTATTTCTGCTCACCTGAAAAATCAAAATCATTAAGTTCCATTCACATAAAAAATATAAATCATAGACAACCAAATTGCCATGCACGAAAATCGTAAATCCCCACACTCACTTCTGCCAAATGAGATATGAAAAAATTAAAAAAATGCATGAAGAGGATAATCAAAATCTATCAACAGAGCAATCAAAATTTGTTCATACAGCAGGAAATGATGTTGAAAGAACCAAAAACAAAGCACTCTAGATTGCTTTCTTCTACGTTTAGTGGGTTCCAAAGACAAGAAACAGGTAAAACTAAAGAAAAGGTTTCTTGATAAATGTTGCTTATGTTTGGGGAGAAATACGTACTGCATGGTTTGCGGGAATTTGACAGTCAATAACAGCCTACTGAACAGCCTTTCTTAAGCTTCCTATATTTGAGAAAAATCTGCAATATACCAAATTTATGTAATATATATAAAGTATTGAAAATGGTTAATAAAATGAATATATACATGGGTAGAAATTTAAAATGTCTATCAATCAAAATTAGAAAAATCTTATAAAGGATAGAAATATCATTCGTTCTTCATTAATTATATTATATAATATAAAGATAAGGTGACAGGCCTTCCCTTAAATAAAGTTCAGTGTTTTATTGGAGCACGGCAACTATTATTGGTTGTAGAACTGCCATCAAGATGCATGCTCTAAATGGGATTTGTCCCTGTTGGCCATCACATCACTGTCCCATTCAGCCTGTTCAGAGTTATTTTCGTTGTAGATAATTTTCCTAATCTTATCAAGTTATACAATAAAATTATATTTACTTACAAATGTTATTAACCATCTTATTATTCTATATGCACTATAACAAGAAGAAACTAAAAAATGAACTACTGTGTATTAAATGCCGCCTGGAATGTTTTAATCAATCCCGCATGCATATAAACCAAGTCTCCAGTACGCGCCTTCTCCATCATCATTCAATTATTTTCTGGCCCTATTGGCTTAATTTTAACAGTCGTTTTCTAAGAGGCAAAACTGATTCGGCTTTCTAATGTGTGCATCATTACTCAACCCCTCATACATGTGGACCAAGTCCCCAGTCCGTGCCTTTGCCATCACCGTTCTGCATCACTACTCACTTGTTTTTATATTAATTGTCTTCTTGCATGAACAAGATTAAACCTAGAGTTTGACCTTAATTACAAAGCATTACCACCTCATGAAGAGTGATAATGATATTTAAAATCGAATTTCTCCTTTAATTTTCCTTATGCACACAACAATTACTTACAGTATCGACAATATCTTTTCCTCAACTCCTTTGTCTAGAGAAGTGAAGTTGAGGGATATTTCAGAGGAGATGGAGAGCAAAGATTATGTTCCTCTCTTTGAAACAAAGCCAGCCAAGGGACGTATTTTGTTCCGATTATATGCAGCTTCAGTCTTTGTGGCTATCTGCATGATCTTTGTTTACAGAGCGAGTTACTTTCCCAGCAGCTTGGAAGGACCAGCAATTGAAAGATGGGCTTGGAGTGGAATGTTTCTTGCTGAGTTATGGTTCAGTTGGTATTGGTTTGTCACTCTTGTTAATAGATGGAACCCCATCTATCGTTACCCTTTCAAAGACAGACTTTCTCTTAGGCAATCTCTCCTTCTCAATCTCTAGCTGAAATTATTTTGCCAACAAAACAATAATCTTCTTATTCTCATTAATAGGTACGAGAAATATTTGCCAGGAATAGACGTATTTGTGTGCACGGCAGATCCCGTAATAGAGCCTCCCACTATGGTGATCAACACAGTGCTATCAGTCATGGCTTATGATTATCCACCGGAGAAGCTGAGTGTTTATTTATCGGATGATGGCGGTTCAGATTTAACGTTTTATGCCATGTTAGAGGCGTCTCGTTTTGCAAAGGAATGGATACCATTTTGCAAGAAATTAAACGCAGAACCCAGGTCACCTGAGGCTTATTTTCAGTCAGCAGTTGAACCAATTGATGATCCAATCATGGCGAAACAGTGGCAGTCTATAAAGGTAATCATTTAATGTCATTCTTATGCACAAGACATAAGTGGAACTCGACAATGACATGCAACATCTATTAGTTTTTGGCTTTAGTGTAACAGAGTTAAATGTAAAAATCCAAATTCTTCCACATAAAAAACTAGAAACTTGTTGTAAATTTACAACCCATCTACTCCCTTGACTTGTAAACAAATCAGCTCCATATATATTAGTAACCTAAGTGTTTGTAATACGCAAGTTTGATGTTGACTCAAGTTTAATTGTGATACGTATTAGTTTGATTAATATTTCAAACCATATCAATATCTCTATTACAGAAATTATATGAAGATATGAACGAACGGATTGAAACTGCTACAAAGCTAGGCCGACTCTCAGAAGACACACGTAAAGAACACAAGGGATTTCGTGAGTGGGACTTTGTTCTAAGCCGTCGCGATCACCAAACCATTCTACAAGTACTAATTGTTACAATTTAATTTTGTTTCGGTTTCACATGAAAACATTTTATAATTAATGTTGTGTATTGATTGATGAATATAGATACTAATTGATGGGAGAGATCCAAAGGCTGTTGATATAGAAGGACAACGCTTGCCTACGCTGGTGTACTTGGCACGAGAGAAGAGACCTCAATTTCCCCACCACTTTAAAGCTGGAGCCATGAACGCACTCGTAAGCTCCTAATACATTAATATACTTGGCATGCTTGGACATTTTTGAAGAACTTACACTAAACTCTGCTGGTTTATGTTCAAAAAATTCCTGTCTGATAGCTTAGTTTCATATGAATAGATAAGGGTGTCATCGGGGATAAGCAATGGCTCGATTATTCTGAATGTGGACTGCGACATGTACTCAAATAACTCTGCTGCTGTGAGAGATGCCCTTTGCTTTTTTATGGATGAAAAGCAGAGCCATAATGTTGCTTATGTACAGTTTCCACAGAACTTCAGTAACCCCAAAAAGAATGACCTTTACGGTAGTTCCCTGATGGTAATAATGGAGGTAGACTTCTGAACTCTTTATAATCTTATACCATCTTTAAACATTTTACATTTTTGGGTGCCGGAGGAAATTTTGATGAAAATTTATACTCTCGTTCTATCTGAAAGAGTTGCTGTTACCTTCCCTATCAGTTGGAGCTTCCCGGAATTGATTCCAATGGAGGGCCTTGCTACATTGGTACTGGGTGCTTTCACAGGAGAGAGACTCTCTGTGGGAAGAAATATGGCCAGGATTGTAAGACGACAGACTGGATCAAAACGGTGAATAATAATGATAGAGAAGTTGAAGAAAGTGCAGTTGTACTAGAAGAATCATGTAAAGTACTTGCAAGTTGTAGCTATGAGGAGAATACTCTATGGGGAAAGGAGGTTTATCTCTCTCCCTCATTCTCGCTCACACATGCACGATTAATTGTTCATGTATAAATATAGATAAGAGTAAAACTATAATCTCTTGGGATGAGTTTTTAAAATTTGTTGTATTGTTTGGCAGATGGGTTTGATGTACGACATTCCAGTGGAAGATATAATGACTGGATTAGCTATACAATGTAGAGGATGGAGATCCATCTATCATACTCCTGAAAGGAAGGCTTTCTTAGGACTTGCTCCCACAACACTTGGTCAGTCACTCGTGCAACATAAGAGATGGGCTGAAGGTGATTTTCAGATCTTCCTTTCAAGCTACTGTCCTTTCTTGTATGGACGTGGAAAGATCCCACTCAAACTTCAGCTTGCATACTGCCTCTACTTGATGTGGGCTCCATATAGCTTGCCTACTCTCTACTATGTTTTTGTGCCATCCCTTCGTCTCCTTAGAGGCATCTCCTTGTTTCCTAAGGTATGGATGCTTTTAACAGATCATCATTATTTTTCAAAAACAATGTTTGGATACAATCTTAAGTTATGTTTCATCTTAAACCATCAGATTTCGAGTCCATGGGTTATGGCATTTGCATACGCGATGTTGGCCAACCGTGCATACAGCTTAGGAGAATTTATATGGGTTGGAGGCACAGTCAAAGGTTGGTGGAATGATAAAAGAATGTGGATGTTCAAAAGAACAACTTCATACTTCTTCGGCTTCGCTGAAAACATACTGAGGCTACTGGGTTTTACAAAGTCTTCCTTTGAGATCACAGCAAAGGTGGCTGAAGAGGACATATCTGAGAGATTTGAGCAAGAGACAATGGAGTTTGGTGCCTCCTCACCAATGTTCACCATTTTAGCAACAATTGCTTTGCTCAACCTGTTTAGTTTTCTTGGGGGACTAAAAAGGGAAATGTTAGATGGCCGCTGTAAAATATTAGATCAATTTGTCGTGCAGATGCTTCTAAGTGGGGTTGTGGTATTGATTAACCTACCATTATACCAAGGACTCTTCTTCCGAAATGACAATGGAAGGATGCCTAGTTCAGTAACATTCCAGTCAACTCTCATCGCTCTATTGGTCTGCACAATAGCTGCATGTTAAGTACCAAAGTGCTACCTCCAGATGCACAGCAAAGTTTGAGAACTGTTTGTTGCATTTGCAAAGGCAAATTAATAATTCATTGTTGTCATATATAATCTCTTGATTGCTATCTACAGCAGATGCTTATTTTGTAAGAATAAATATAACTATATTAATATTACTACTGTCTATTATTCTAGACTGAAAAATGTTCATAGTTTATGCCAAAATTGTGATCCTAATATACGAGAAAGGCTTTAATACAAGGCTACAAGCTTCCTAAAGTAGCATTGGAAAACTGTCAAAAGCTGACACATGGTTTCCCTTTCCATGCTATTTTGGAAAACAATTAGACCATCCAGTTCCCATGATCAAGCTACACGCCACTTCCAGACTTCCATTACTTCTCTCTTCTCTCTCTTTTGAGGCAAAAGAGGAAGAACCCTAGACTGACACAGCCCACCTTTTTCTCCCACCCGTAAAGACCATTCATTTTTAATCTTCAAGACTGTCCCTTCACCCTTGTCCCTTGACTTGCTCTCCAAATCCATTTCAAGAGTCGGTTTTTTAAGCTTCATTTTTGAGCTTCAACAATGGAGGAAGTAGTACAAGTTGGTGTTGGAGGGCTGCAAATGGGTAGAACCTACAATCCCAGGTATGCAGATTTTTTTTAAATGTAGTAAAGGCATGATAATGGGAAGAATAAACAGGTTCCAGATGTTCTCTTCAACCACAGGTGGTGAGGCTGTTGAAACAATTGAGCCACAGATAGAATTGGCAGAAAAAATTATGCAGGGTGAACCTAATATTGTGGAAATTGTAGCCGAGGAATACAGGATGGTGAAGGAGATGGCGCCATCTGCCACGCCATCACGTTCCACGTCACCTTTTTTTTTTTTTTATTTAACCCAAATAAAAAAGAATTTTTTTTCTCAAAATCCATTTACTCAGCCGATCTCATCTCAATCTGCCAAGCACGCCTCGCCGAACCAACCCGAACCGTCGTTTTCACGCCTCGTCAGACGCCGACACTAATTAGTGCGCTGGAGCAGTGTTTCGATTGAGAGAAGGTCTAAAGAAGCAGATAGAAGTTTTTGAAAAATGGGAGAATCAAGAGAGCAATCATTCTGGGGTGAAAGGTTTTCCTTTCTTCAAAATTATTCTAGATTCATCAAGCGTGATAAACCACTTCCTTCTTGGTCCTCGTCTGATGTCGACGAATTCATCACCTCCGATCCCGTTCATGGCCCCACTGTAATCTTCTTCTTCGCTCTCATTTCTTTTTCTGTTTGGCTTTTTTTTTTTTTTTTTTTTTTTAACTGCCTTTTTATAAAATAGTTTAAGTTAGATTTAATTTTAATCTTAAACTGTGGTTGTATGTTAAGCTTTGTGGAGAGAAAAAATTGTTATTTTTGGATTTGATTTTAGTTTGTGATGAGTAGTTTTAATGAATTGAGTTTATGAATAACTGTCATTGATTTTATTTATTACCGATTCGTAATTTTTTTGTATGATGTTAACTTCTAGTTGTGAATTTAAGGGGGTTTTGTTTGAAAGAGTCAAATGTGTTTTGGAGGGTAAATGAATGTGAACTAAATAGGAGTACTCAACAGTAGCTAAATTTTTTTTCCTTTGTTGTTACTAAATTGGATTTTCTTTTTGTTTTATTCTTTTGAAAAGATACCAGACAATTTGATTGGATTTGTCTTTGGTGAAATGCCAATATACGACTTAGATAGAAGAACTGGAAAAGCAAGAGTCCAGTTTTACATATCAATGCTTCCAAAGTTGAAAATGCTTCAAATTGCGTAGCTGATTGAAGGAATGGGGTTATGTTTCCTCCTTAAGATACGAAAAGAGTCTACTTTACCCAATTAGTTATCTCACTTTTTGAGCTTGTAAATTGTGTTATTAGCTTTGCGGCATGTAAAGGGAAGTACCAGTGAAGTTCTGTGTTTGAAATGTCTCAGTAGAAGGCTGATATCAGTTAATATAATATATCTTCAGTTTTTGATGGTTCTATTTAGTATTTTACTGCATCCTGTTTCCTTTTTGGCTATGAATTCTCATGTCCTTTCCTTTTTCAGCTGAAGACTGCTAGGGAAGCAGTGAACTTTGCTATTACTGGAAGTGTTATTGGAGCAGCATCGACTGCGGGTACTGCATGGAAATATTCCAGGAGTTTACATGGTAACGTATTGCCTCTTCTCTATGGTTGCTGTTGAAACTTTTCATACTTAAGTATGCCTCCTAATTTGCAAGGGATTATTTATATCCTGTTACTCTATAGAAAGAAGTGGACTTAATTACACCATAAAGATTTACTAGTTTTACTTTTAGTTGTATCTATCTGCATTTTCCCTACTGAATTTTCAATCGTAAAGAGTACACAATGTTAAATTTTCATAATTAGTATATCACATATTATTGATAAGGATTGTACAGAACAAGAATGTCATATCTTGTAGCTTTCCGCTGGATCTTTCTTTTTCTCCTTTTGCACCTTGAGAAAGCTTTTCTATGTTTCCTCACATTTCTCATGTGTTCTAGGCCTGTTCAGGCCTTCTTTAATGTTAAAGTATCATTTCTGCACAATATGATACTCTTATCTATCATGGAGCCTTCAATAGGAGATATGCTGGAGAAATGAACCTTTGCTCACTTAATAGGTTATAATTGGAGTGCTACTGTTGCTTCTGTCTCTCTCTTGCACCTGTGAAAGCGAGGCTTATGGAATGTAGTGTCCCGGAATTAACTTATTTTGATACGACGGGCTTTGTTTTGAGAGATTTTTCATTCCACTCTACATGTTGAGTCGGTGCATGGTCAAAGTTCTGTTCATAAGAACATGATGAACATTACCAAGACAATTTGTTTGGACCAATCCATTGCAACTCCTGGTCATTGATATATAGTGTCAGCTGCAAATCTGGATTTGTAAAAAATGTTTTAAGACCAACTTAATGGTCTTACTTGATTAGATGTCTTGTCTTTGATAGTATTTTTATTATGATTCGTCATTACTATGTTTTTAAACAATAATAAATAATGTTTAGGATTGCACAAGTGCTGTTATTGGTTTTGATAAAGGTAGTTTGTGTTAAGTATCTCACCCCTATTCTATTTAGCAGGCACTGGGTTGTCCTTAGCAGCTGGAGCTGTTTTTGGTTGGACATTTGGACATGAAGTCGCCAACCAGTGGTTTCAACTTTACAGGTTGGACACCATGGCTGCACAGGTGAAGTTTATGGAATGGTGGGAGAAAAAGACTGAGGGAAGGGCATAAAATTTCATCTGCGGTTGAAATTAGTGCTGAAACTTTGTTTCTCTTTCTAGAATAAGAGTTATATGCTTCCATGTCAAAAATGTAATGGTTGATTACTTGATTTGCTTATGCAGCTGCTTGATGTTGGAATTTTGCATGTTTTGGGTCTGAGGGATTCTTAATTGTTTCAACATTTTCAGGAAGCAAATTGATAGAAGTGCAACACACAACAGTTGTTCCTATTATTTCTCTTAACTAGATCATCTTAAATAATTGAATTGTGATAAAGGTGAGAAGGAATGTAGTATTTAATATGTTAACAAATATTCTCAGATGACAAAATAATTAGATTTGATTGAGGTCTTAAAAGTTTATCCAAATCAACTGCATACATTTTGATTCAGTTCCGTTTGTTTGGGTTTTTGTTAGTATCTCAAAAGTCAAAACAAATTTTCCACAACACTTCTTCAACCATTACTGCAACATAAGAGATGGTCTGAAGGTGATTTTCAGATCTTCCTTTCAAGTTTCAAGCTACTGCCCCCTTTACACATGGACATAAAAAAATCACACTCAAACTTCAACTTGCATACTGTACCTACTTGCTGCGGCCTGCGAATAGCTTGGCCACTCTCTACTACGTTTCTGTGCCATCGCTTTGCCTGCTCAGAGGAATCTCCTTGTTTCCCAAGGTATGAATAAAATCAGATTCTTCTAAGACATTTGTTTCTTACACCAGCAGATTTCCAGCCCGTGGATTGTGGCATTTGCATTTCCAACTTTGCCAACTGTGCATACAGCCCAGTAGAATTTATATGGACTAGAGGAACACTCAAAGGTTGGTGGAATGAACAAAGGATGTTCAGAACATCTTCTTCTTCGGTTTTGCTGACAACATACTGAGGCTACTGGGTTTTACAAAGTCTGCCTTTGTCATCACAGCCAAGGTGGCTGAAGAGGACATATCTCAGAGATTTGAGCAACACTTGCATTGCTCAACCTGTTTAGTTTCGTTGGGGGAGTAAAGAGGGAATTGCTGGCAGTGCACAACAAGGCTCTAGACCAGTTTGCCTTGCAGATACTTCTGAATTGGGTGTTGGTATTGATGAACCTACCCGTTTATCAAGGACTAAGGATGCCTACCTCTGTAACATACCGGTCAATTCTAATCGCGCTATTGGTATGTACAATAGCTGCATATTAGGTACTAGCTTAGATGCAGATCCAGATGCTTATTGTTTCAGAGCAAATAAAACCATGTTACTGTTTTATAAAATTTTCATGCAAATAAAACCAGCTGAAGGTGTACATATGGAATTTCCTAATCCATATAGGGAAGGTGTAAAATACTTCGTATAACCACCTTCTGAAAAGATATAACAGCTTGGCTCAAGGTTTCATTAATTACTAATTAAGCAAGGACTAACAGTGACTGAAAATGCTATACCTCCAAATCACTTTCCATGTTATAAATCATCAGTTTTTACAATGAAATATTGAAATTATACATAAAAGGTAACAGTATTATGGTGAACAAACTCAAGAGCTATCTATATATCTTGGTAAGATTTGATCCACTTACCTATATTATTCAAGTTGAGCATCAAAGAAACAAATAATTGAATAAACTTATAATAAATCAATTCACAAGGAGGAACGTCCCATCCTCGCGGCTGGCCTGCAAAGCAAAGTAATTTAATCACTAACTGAAACTCGCTAATAATCCACAAGTAAAGAGGTTGAAATCACTTGTGAAAGGGTTACATGAGCTCAAGAACAAGGGCAGATGCTCCTCCACCACCATTGCAGATGCCACCAACTCCATATTTCCCATTTTTATGTCTCAGTACCTGAAACATCATAACAAGTTGACTGAGATGAAAAATCATTGGAGATAACACAAGAATTGCTTTGCAGCTATACATTATTTGGGAATGTATAGTGAAGAGCAAGAGAAAAAAATTATTTTTGGCAGCATGACAAGAAATAAGCTACCAATGAATTACCCCTAATAGTGTAACCAAGATACGAGCTCCACTACACCCTAATGGATGTCCCAAAGATACAGCTCCACCGTGAGCATTAACTTTTTCCTGTATTCATAAAACAGACACGAATCATTGATGAGGAAAGTTGGTCATTCTTCAGAGAATCAACGGGCAAAATGAAAATCAATGAATCAGCAGGAAAGCAACTAATAACGTCATTCAAACTAGATGAAATTATAAAAGAACAGGATTAGCAGGAAGACTCACAGGACTAAGACCAAGAAGTTTTTGATTGGCAAGAGCTACAACCTGCAAGAAGAGGTTAGAGCACACATTAGTAGTAAGATTATTTGGATACTGGAAGTATCAAAAGGTAGAAGTATAAATTCTTACAGAAAAAGCTTCATTTATTTCATAATAATCAATCTGAGAAGCCTCCAGACCCGCATTTGATATGGCTTTTGGTATTGCAAGGGATGGGGCAGTTGGAAATAATTCAGGAGCCTGCCAAGAGAATATTGTTTTAGCATCAAGTTCTACAAAGATTATGACAACAAGGCGAATACAAGCAAAATATTATATGAACTACTTGAGCTGCATCTGCATATCCTCTGATCTTAGCAATTACTTGCAACCTGAGCTCAAGAGCCTTTGCTCCACTTACTAGCACTAGTGCTGCTGCACCATCACTGCCAAAGATAAAAGATCAGCCCATATAAACAATGTCACTTGGCACCAATGACGACATATTATATAACACAGATTCTTGATGGCATGCTAATACCTTTATTTTTCAAGTGATTAATAATACTTCAAAAAGAAGCCTAGCTGTGCAGTTTATCAGTTCAATTATAACAATGCATTCATGTGAACAAATATATGCCTGGAGATCTTGTTCCAACAGTTTCTTATGTAAAAGACAGGAGCAGAGTGCAAATTCAGTCACATGCTTGTTACATGTAGATCAATCCACTGACAGCACTATATAACTGTTAAGACTCTCCAAAGATTTCAATAGAGCAAACAACATATGCTTTTTCTCCATAGATACACATGAGAGAGAGAGAGAGAGAGAGAGAGAGAGAGTACCTTATGATAGAAGCATTGCCAGCAGTAACAGTACCACCATCCTTAAAACTAGGCCTGAGCTTCAGTAGTTTTGAGGCATCAAACTGCAAGGTACACATAATAAAAGGGGCAAATGATCAGCACCAAGCAAGTAACAAGTCACCAGAAAGTAAGGGTAACGAAAAGAGTACTTCAGAGTCATGCCATTTGCAGTTAAAGGCTAAATTAGTAATAAGAATATAAAATGACAGAAGGAAATACTATTTTCAGCAAATCATACTCTTTCATTAGTATTATGGTAATGGTATCAGAATTATCCATGGCACTTCAAGCATACCACTTGTTCAAACTCAAGACAATGTTTAAGTAGAAAATTGATATGTAGAAGCATGGTGATGCAGACCATATTATATTAGGATTCTTTAGAAAAGGAGATTTTATTATTTTCTTATTTTTAGGTTTTCCCAATTATGTTTTTCTATTCCTATTTTGTTTAGTAGTCCTAATTAGATATTAATTCTTGTTTTAAGTGTTTTTGTTCCCTTATAGACTTGGTATATTAATGCCTATTAATTGAGTTGCTTTGTAGCCTTTAAGGCATAGTTTTTTATTCAATTAAATTGTTTGTTTAGAAGCCCAAGGTTTGAGTTCTTCTTTTTATTATTTTCGGCGTTCTTGTGTGAATCAACAAGACTTAATAGTTAGCTGATTTTCTATATTTGAGGAATCAATGAAGATCCTAACACCCTCTAATTTCAGTATTCTTCGAATCAATGAATTTACAGTTTTATCCCTATCCATGCTGCATCACATGGCAAGTTAAAATAGAGTGAATCTTCAATTGCAAGGAAGCGGTCAAAGAGGTCATTGACAATCATTTGGGGTCAAAGACAATAATGCACCCCTCAATTACTTGATGCACAACAATCAATGAAGCTAGTACCCAGATTGTCTTCCCGTAAATTTCTTAGCACTAAGAGGACCAATATCATTTACATGTAAAGTCCAATGGCTTATTTCTTGAAAAGGAGGTGGTTGTGCAGAAACTTAAGAGTGAAAAATGGAATTTAATCCTTCCATCTACATTTTTAGGAATTCAGTTAAAACACAAGATGATTAGAAAAACCAACATCGCATTATAATGCAGTAATGGTAGTCTAATTCATAAAAACTAATCGCCATGATCATCCAATATATTTAGTTTATACCTTTTCTAAGCCTTCATCCTTATCAACAATTGAGGATGCTTTCCCTCTTCCACCAGAAACTTCAACCTGCAGATACGAATTCATGAACTGATATTGAAGCAACACCAAAGGCCATAAATTTTTTCATAAATTAGACTAGAACTAAAGATTGCACCGGAGCTATTTCCCAGGCAAAGAGGCCAGAATTTTGTGCAGCCATCCCACACTGAAAACTTTTGATAGCGTATGAATCCTGCAAGAAAGCATAGACAAAGGAGGAGAGGAATATTACACAGTAGCGTAGTTATAAGAAAAATATTCAAGGCCACCAAGGATTAACTATACAGATAGTAATGACTAGTATATCAAATGCAAAAGACAAGTAAATAAAAACAGAAATCAGCATTTCCTAACAATTTGAACAATTTGATGCTGGTTGTTTGACACATTCCTAAGCTAATTACCATATATTAAGAGGTTGGAAGACATCGGAAAACCTTAAACGGCATGTATCTCCACTAATATTACCTGCTCTTCCCTTGTTATTGTGTGCTGATCAGCACATATTTCTGCACATACTCCCATTCCGAAGTCATTATACACATCCCACAGGCCATCTTTCATCATGCCATCAACAATTATGTCATGACCCAGTCGAGATCCCTTTCTGTTGACAAAACAGAATAGACATGTAATATGGAAATGTTTCCAAAATAACTTAAAATATTAACAGCATAGTAGGTTACACATTATGAAACATTGAATCTACTACTTCATCAACAGCAATATCTTATTAGCAAAAAACTGCAAGCATAACCAGACAGATAAATGGGACAATGACCAGACAAATCCCCATTAAATTGTGCATCAACTCATTCAAACGACGAAGCAAGTTTACAATATACCAAGTTTAATAGTTGACCCAACTAAGCCCTCCTTCAGTTACACAAACCACTTGAACAAATTTTACAAATTATAATTAAATCACCATCTAATCACCAAGGTAAGCCCAAATTCATCCAGTTCACATAAAACCAATCTATCTTCCAAAAAAAAAGAATCACAACAAGAAAAGAATAACCATATAAATCAATTAATCATTAACACATAGGCAGGACTCATCCTCACCTTGCTTCTGTTAAATACTTAGGCGCATTAGACATGCTTTCTGTGCCGCCAGCTACAACAATATCATTGATACCCAATTGAATACTCTGTGCTGCAAACATAACAGCTGAAAAAAGAAACAGAGATCACATACCAATCACATAACAAAAAAATATAACCACCATGTAATAATGATAAAGACCAAACTTTTTCATCCAAAAAATTCAACCTTTCATCCCTGATGAACAAACTTTATTAATAGTGGTGCATATCACTGAATTAGGAATCCCAGCACCTAAAGCAGCCTGTCTAGCGGGAGCCTGGCCTAAATTGGCGCTAAGAACATTCCCAAAGAACACTTCTTGAACAAGGTTCGGATTCACGTTTGCCCTCTTCAGGGCACCTACAAATTCATTGAAACATGATTAAAAAAACTAAAATTTACAATCGGTTCAACAATAAGGGGTCAAAAAGCTGGTTTTTTTTACTCTCAATAACAACGGAACCAAGCTTTGTAGCGGATAAAGATGAGAGAGAGCCAAGAAAGCCACCCATCGGCGTACGTGCAACTCCCACAATACAAACATCTGAACCGAACCAGAAACAAATTAAGAATTAAAAAAAAAAAAAAATTGTATTGATTTCTGGGCTACAGAGAAAGAAATGAAATAACTATAACTAACCTCGAGCTTTAATAGAATCTTCAGATGTTAGAGGAGCCATAGTAGAGATCTTCTCAACAGAAATTGTAAATTGCCCCAACGTTTTATAAAGGGTCTGAATTATCCAACTGTTTTCACTTGTTTTAGTTACTGATTTTGATCTTGTCGCGTCTTATACTACGTTCGTGTAATGAGTACAATGTCTTATCATTTATTGGAAAAAGTGCTGTAATAAAATAATACAGAGACTTATCCATGACATCATGTATTGATGAGATGGGGTTGAGTTGGGTTGGACAATTTCTATCTGGTTCTTGAACCAGGTGTGCATTGTTACGAACCATTTCTGTTTTATTGGTTCAACAACCTTTTTTTTTTAATGCACAATAACTGCTGGGTCTTGGATCCAATGGTGACAGTTCGTTGCACATGGATCAATGGCATTGACCTGGTGACGTTGATACGATGACTCTTGATTGATGGAATGCACATTCATTTGTTGCATCAAGCGGGCTATAGACTTACAGTTAATCAATTTCCTGAGGAATCAAATGGAAGTTGGTGAGTGGGTTAACAGAATGGAGAAATCAAAAGAGTCTTTCAAAAACACATGTTAAAAAGTTAAAAGAGGTTACACGAAGTCTTGAGTTCAAGTTCTTCCACTGTCTACTAAGACTTTTACGATCGAGTTCTCTCATTGTCTACTAAGATTTTTACGGTTTTATCCGACTGACAGTTTTAAAACCTCAAAAAATTAATTAAGATATGCACATACTGGCCGGATACCCAATGAGAAAGAAAAAAAAAAAAAAAACTATTTGATAATTGAATCTACTACATTAGTTAACATTCTACAAAACTCTGAATTAAGTCATTAACCTCTGCTGCTTACTGGGAGGACAAAGATACAGTTGCTAGAAGAAGGTAACTACAACTACTAATCTTCTGAATTACAAGTACAAAAATAAGTTTCTGCAACAGTATTTCTGTGTGACCACACAACTTATACCAATTCCATGTTAACACTAACACCAGGATTCATCAGAGAACCAGCCTGAAGGTGAGATTAACTCGAGTAGCCTCTGCTTTTTGACGTTTAGGCACCGAGTGGATCCAATCCCGTTGTGTGTACCCTCTCATTACCAACAATGATCCATGCTTCAGTGTGAATGAATGTTGATCAGAGTTGCTGCTTTTCTTTAATCGTTTTCTTGCAGGTTCATCATCAACTTTTCTTTCTGGCAATCACAAACCATAGAAACTTGTCAATATATTATTATCAATCAAAGCTTCTATTGATGATTGACAAAAGCAGAGTTACAACTGTGGAGAGTCAAGTTAAATCCATGAATTATGCGGTCCTGAGACTTCTAAACATAACAAAGAGAAAGCAAAATAATGTGAAGATGAGAAGATGCTTGATCATACCTTGTGATGATTTACTAGGTTTCTTTTTCAACAAGAATTCACGCTCACAGCCAAAGGAAACTGAGGCAATTTCTGGAGTGGATCCATAAAGCTTCTCATCATCAGCATGCCAACCTACATAATCATTTCTGCCTTTATATCTATTTAGAAGCAAGCTGTTGAATCTACTCCCAGGAAGCGCTTTGTGGACCTTCAAGAATAAGAAGTAGAGTTATTAGATCCATTGAAGTAGGCCAGTTACTCTAATAAGTGGGATTCATGATGACAATGTTCTATCATAAGCATTCTTACTGCTTCTAACATGTCCTTGAGAGGAGGAAAATCGTCCCAAGAATAGGCATGCGGCTGATATCCACTGTAAACTAAATCTGGCAATCCTTCACTTGCAACATAACATGTGTCTCTAGGCTGCATTGACAATTATACCATGACAAAACACAATTTGGTAAGGAATAACATTATAAACAAGCAACTGACGCAATGCAGAAGAAAAAATTAAAAAGAAAAAGAAAACTAAGAGTGAACTGCAGATTATGCATTTTAAGATCCAATCCAGCATCTGCATACCAAGCCAATCCAAAAAAATTCTGTACCAAGGACTCATATTTTCCAGTCTGCGAACAATGATCAATCTGCAATTTAGCACTACCATTCACCCTCAATATTGATGCGAATAATGATGTTTTCATCACTTATAAAAGATTAGAACAATTGCTTTTACGTAATTGGAATATTATCTGAAGACTGTCTGTTCCATCTTCAGGTGATTAAGATTGAGATACAAATTAATTGCTCTCTTGAAACAATACACACCCTTTTGGTAAATGTTTGGTTCAGGGGTTTACTGACATGCGATACCATATATGCAATCACCAAGAACATCATAATCTCTTTTCATAATGTTAAGACTAATTTGGGAGAAACACCTAACAGGAAAGAGGAAAGATCTCATACCTGCTAATTCCTATGTAAATGTAACTTACAAACCATTTACCAAATTAATCAAAGCAACCATGCTGTGACATAAATAACCCCCTTAACTCATTCAAATAAGATAACCATTAGTTCCTCATTAAGGTTAAATATATGCAAGGTAACAAATGATCTTAATGATAAGCCATTACAGGAGTTCCTATAAAGCATCTCTCTTTCAATCGAGGTACATTCTCATATTTTCCCCTAGTATTTTCAAAATTTTTACTTTGCACAATCGCTTTTTCCATCAAAACCTTTATTTCAAAATTGCATCTTAGACTACTCTAAAATGCATTGCTTATATAGCAAAAACACAAAGAACTTCCCATGCTAGAAGTACTAACCTCCATCACTTGACCCACAAAACAAAAACTTGCAGACCATTTAAAGATGTAACTGGAGAGCCAAAGGGTCAAATGACTCAAATTTATGACAAAGTCAAGAATTTAAGATTCTTGTATTTGTACATAAAATGAATCAAATAAAAGAAAAGACATAAAATTTATGATATGAAATTTCTAACCTGAACGCAAGAGCGACCAAAGACACGAATGGTGGGTCTGGTCCAAGGAATCTCCTTGTTCAGATAATCAAAGAGTTTCCATGACTCATCCAATGTTAAAAACCTTGGAATATAAACAACTTCGCTCCCATTTCCCAGATCAATCCTTTGTCTCTTTGAATTTTTCTCATCTGGGTTTGGACTTGTTGCCTCAGAGATTGCTTTGAACCTCAAACTCATCGGTGTAGATGAAGAAAACCAACAGTTACGATTTACGCGCCAACACAAACACCCACATCCCTTTAGGTTCGGTGTTCAAAGTACAACCTTAAATATAACACGAGTTTAATCGGTGTCGGTTCGTGAGATGAACCCGGTTCTGTCTTCCACATGACACTTTTAATCATCTTATAAAGTCATGTTAAATCTACAATCCAATTTCACAGCTTTTTCTCATAATTTTCAATATGATAGCTCATAATTGGTTAATTATCTCGTCTGCTTATTATGTGTATTATCTACCCAATTACGAGCTAACTAATTGTAAACTACCACATCGAAAGTTGAAAAAGAAGGTTGTGAGATTATGTTGTAAACCTAATATTACTCAATCTTAGAGTAATACTACGTTTATATCACTCTTTTACATCATATTCATTACATCATAATGTAGCATATATCACAACCACACAAATTTTTAATTATTTTGAATTTTTAATAGTATAATAGAATTTGTGTGATTGTGACATATGTCACATCATGATGTAATAAAAATAGTATAAAAGAGTGGTGTAAATATAGCATTACTCCTCAATCTTATATTAGTGGTTTAACCATTGCATCAATTTGTAAGCAAAACTTTACTTACAGAAGATAATTGATGATAATTCATTTAACCATACATTAAGAAAGATAACAAAATATATCCATTTTTTTGTCCCATTTAGAGGTGGAAAAGTGGCCCGACTCGCGTCGAGCCTCGACAATTTGCAGGTTGGGTCGACCAGCAAGTGTGGGCCGAGTTAGGCCCGCCTCTTTTTCAAAAGGGCCACCCCAGCTTGACCCGGTAATCCTAGCCCAACAGGTTTTTGTGAGGGCCAGCTCGGACCAACCCTCCAAAAAAAATTAATGTTTAATGTTTTTGTCTTTTTCAAAAGGGCTAACCTATCGAGCCCAATGGGTTTTTTTTTTTAAAAAACAATCAACCCGTCAGCCCGCTCGACTAGGGATACCTAAGCTTGACTCAGCTTGACCCGCCCTTAAGCCGTCGGGCTGGGCCAAGCTCAGGTTCAATCGGGGACCTGCCTAACCCAACCCATTTTTTCCACCTCTAATCCCATTGTGCTTGTAATTAAATGTTTGTATGAAAACAAAGGCTCAAGTATCATCCTCGAGTTAAATAAGAAAAAGGCATTTTACTACAATACATGATTGTAACTTCAACATAGAACTTGTAAACTCATGAAACTTAGAAAATCCATAACCTAACATTCGCAATATCCACTTTTACATGGCTGTATAGCCAAGAGAAAGTTACTAAGCAAGTACCAATAGAGAATGTATAGATGAAATTCTAGTTAAGAGAGCCACAGAAATGCCATTCCATTTCATCAAACAAAGACAATATCTTGCAAACCCAGCTAAAAATTACACTTACTAGTTACTAACTAAATGCTAAATTACAGCCATAAATTCATTGAGCCAACTTCAGGGTGTTACAGTACAAAGGTAAGGACTAGACTAAAGCTACACCAGTTCTGTACTATCTTGAAGGCACAACAGGAGGATCAATTAACTTCAGTGTTAGTTCAATCTCCCCTGACTCGACATCGCAAAGCTTTAACCAAGCATTCTGTACCACTTCACCATTTATACAACTGATTGAGCTCTCTCTGGCAAGGCAGTTGTCCGAATCTGCGACAATCTTCCTCAAAGGTGTCTCCCCAGAAGAAAGACGTACAACATGCCGCAGTCTAGCAGCAGAGACTATTGGCTGGAGATTGAGGGTAGCATGTCCCATCTTGTCATCTGCCTTGAATCGATCTTTATCAAATACTTCCTGTGAAAAGCGGAATTTTGTCAGATGCCATAGAAATCTACATTTAGTAACAATGTCATTGGCAACTCCTAGCTATTTCTGCTAGGTCAATAACCTATGCCTCAGGAACTACACATCGTGTTTTCATTTACCATAATTATCACTACGCGCAACAGGAATCAGATATCATGAATAACCCATGCTGTTCAACATATTCACAGCATGACAAAGGCCAGACCAGAACTGAATGAGCTTGGAACAATTATAAATTGGAAAATTACTATGAATAAGATGCAAAAAGTATACAAGTATCCAAACATTATAACCATACCAAGTGTAGAACTCCAACAGGTTCTGTGAGATTGAAACTCAGCTCTTCATTCCAGACTGGATTAAGGCAACTATTGATAACCTTGGTCTTTGCTGTCTGTTGAAAAAGACACAAGTTGGAACTTAGACGCTTAAAAAAGAAAAAAGAAAAAAAAAAACATTCATTGGGCTTACAAGATGAAATACAAAAGATGCTTAAGGGAAAAAAATCATTCATTGGTCTTACAAGATCTAATACAAACTCTGTAAAACAAAGGCTTTTGAAGCAATAAAAGTTTACCTGATTTCCCAACTTGACTATAACATAAGGATCACTGCTCTTGAAATCCCGGATTACCAATCTTTTCCCTTGTACAATTGTAACTTTTAACTGTCCCAATGGCTGCCCCATAATTCAATCACCTTCCACAGAAACCCAAACACTGCAAAGCAAAGAGCAAAAAGTTAAAAGAAATTCCAACAGAAATCAATCCCCAACTTCTACTATAAACAAGGGAAAACACTCTGATAGACTGCTTAACCCTAAAGTAATGTCAAATATTATTCCAAAAGCATGTAGTATAACATGAATTATATTGGCAGAGCTCAAACAACAAAATACCCAGTTTCTAGTAACCCAGAAACCAGAAAATCAAGCCGTTGTTGAGTGAAAGTCGCAATTTTTATCCAGAAAAAGAAACCCTTTTAAGGATCATGACTCATGAGTATCTTCAGAACTTAAAAGCAATGATAAAAACAGTATTAGGAACTAAATTAAAGGGCAGTCATATTCTAAAATTACAGTAACAACACAAAGACATAAACCCGAAATACAAAAAAACAAGATAAAATTTTGATTCAAGACTTACAAATGAAACTTGGAACAACAGAGAAGGCGTGTGAGAGGGGAGAGACTAAAGGAGAACAAAAGGGATGGCGTTTCAGAGAGAAGGAAAGAGCATATTTAATATTGTATACAAATAAAGGAGTGACACTAATTTAAAACCGCTTAGATAAACAACGTAACTAAGTGGAATAACTGAAAGTGAGCGAGCATGAACAGACGAAAAACAAAAGAAAGTTGATTTATTTGTTTATTTATAGAAAACAACACAACCAGTCATTGCTACTTGTTTCTGTTTTCAAGTAAAAGAAACGAAAACCAACTTCCTACCAACCCGTGGTAACTTGGGTTTGCGTTGCTTTGACCGTTTTCACATAAACCAAGTCCTGTTTGGTCTCTACCTTCTACATCATAGGCTTTGACTGGTCTACTCTCCATCTTCGTATTCATATTCCTATTCCTTCCTTTTGGGTTTTTATTCTTTGACCACATTTATGATTTATTATGGTGGTCGGTGGAATAATAATCTCATTCCTTTCTTATTATTAGTATGGAGAGATTCACACCATTGCATGCTCCATGAAATGATCTATTATTATCATTGTTGTTGCCAGCGTGAATTTATGATGGCTCAAATAATCTTTACATTATTCAAGATTGGAAGGCGTACCGATGCTTCCACTACAATTTGCTTAGTATCTATGGTCAAAATCAGTTGCTCACATTTGAGTTACTTTAGAGAATGCCTATATTCATGTTCACATACACAAGACACAAGATCATAGACTGATATCATTGAGTTGTTTAGAGAGGATAGAGAAAAGGGTGTTTGAAGGAAGTTAAAGAGGAATGAAGCGTGAAAAAAAAAAAACTAACATACAACTAATCCCAAAATGTAGCTGTACTGTACTGTACATGTGGCTGTGGCTGTGGCCTATCTACTTAATAACTTAATCAATCAAGCCTATTTAGAAAGAAGATCTACACCCACAAACGTCAATAGTAACAATCTTAACATCTACCACTACTAGTACTAGTACAAGGGTTACTTCAAACGGATCATCTCCCCAATATTGTAAGTAATAAACACTAACATTCATTCTTCTTACCTACCAGCTCCACTGCAACGAATGCCTATTGTTATTTTTACATTTTGTGCGAATCTCCAAGACATTTATTAGTGTGTTTACAAAGTTAAATTGGCATTCATCTTTTCTTTACTTTCAGTCTGACTAGAGTCAAGGCACAGAGTTGTGATACTGCATCAAAGCTTTGTATACTTGTTTGGCTATTAGTACAGTCGCTGCGCTGCTTATCCTGCTCGCCTTGAGCCTGGTTTTCCAACTTTACGCTTCCACTTGCTCTGCATAAGGGGAAACAATCGGATTAGAATCTCAAATGCATTAGTATTTGAGCTCAGTATTATTCATGTATAAATGCAACGTTAAGAGTGAAGTACAAGCGGCTCATCATCAGATAATTCAGCATCATCTTCCTCTGCATCAGCATCATCTTTCTCTAGATTTGCAGGACTCGTCCCACCATCATCAATTTCTTGATTCTCTTCAGTATCTGATTTTTCCTCCTCATTAGCTTCTTCTCTTGTGCCTTTGCTTGATTCATCCGCTTCTTCGTCTTCATCAACTTTTGTTTCTTCTTGTGGGGCAGTCTCCACATCTTCAGCAAGTTTTTCTTCAGAATCCAATTTATCTTCTTCATCCGACTCCTCAGCATGATTTGGGCTCCCCTCTGCATCTTCAATGGGTCTTCCTTCCGAAACTGATTTCACTTCCTGATCAGATTCCTCCCTGTCAATAAGATTCTCATCCTCCATGGCAGCTTGTTTGTCTTCAGAATCACCTGGAGGACAAAATAAAATAAACAAACCCAAAAAAACAAGATATTATGTATATGGTAGCTGAGAAAGTTTTCTCAGAAATGCAATACAAAGACGACATTAATACGAAACTGATGAAACAAATAACCTGAGTTCGTCTTAGGAATCTTTGACACTCTAGTGCGTTTATGATCTGAAACATCAGGTTTCCCTTCATCCTCATCTTCACTGAATTTCTTCTTTGATGCACTTTTTGGCGTATGCTTCGAGCTTTTCTTTGGAGTTCTCTTCCCTTTAACACTAGAAAACAAAGATAAATCAGCGTATAACCACTTAAATAATAATAAACTGGTAGACTTGCACTGGCATGCAATATTTTACTCACATCTTTGTCGATTTCTTATTCTGACGAGAACCACCTGAATTTTTGTTTTTCTGCCCAGGTGATCTATGAAACAGTTAAAGAAGTAAAATGAGAATGATATTGTATTTGATTAACCCTTAGTGCTATTGCAGAGAGAACATTTATGCCACTAAACTTCACGTGAGTTCTATTTCATGGAAAGAATTTTTGCCAGTTTGTGAAAGAGAACTATTCAAAAACTGCTTTAAAGGCAATACTTACACTTCTGCAGAAGGAGCACTCTTCCGCAAATTTGACTTTGATTTCTGTAAGAGAAGAATGGTCAAGGAAAAATGATTAGAATTCCAGATCACCACTCACTGCATTTCAGACAACTAGGGGGAGAATGGAATGGTTTGACTCAAGGAAAGAATGCTAAAATCAAGAAACCTAAACCTTTGTAGGCTTGCGACCATTGTCAAGGAGCTCCCATCGCTCTTTATTTAAACGGAGAACTTCCACATCTCCATCATCATATAGTATCTATCACATCAGAGAAAAGAATCAGTGTTATTCCTTTAAGATCCAGTGAAAATAAGGGACAAATAATTGACTCAGTAGTCCCAAGATAAGAACTCAGAGATAAAGGGAGCAAGAAGGCACAGCCTACCACATGCTTCTGTTGTATAGGGTCATAAGATTTAACAGTGCCTTCATAAAACCTGTTGATTTAACACATTAGCATGGTATCTTTAATTTCAAACAATACATTACATTCACATAAGAAATGCTCAAGGGTTGCACTAAAAATCTTCAGTTGCAGAAGGAGATAAGACACCAAAAAAAAAAAAAGAGACTAAATTAAAGTAGGCCCTTTTGTGCAAGGCTCAAACACATACTGAAAACAAGAAACGTGATTAATATGGATCAAGAACAAGAAATAGAACTTAAATGAGTCAAAACCATTGCAGCAATACTGGTTCCCAACCCCCAACAACAAGCAAAAAAAAAAAAAAAAAAAAAAAAAAAAAAAAAAAAAAAGGAATAAAGAAAATTTTATTGGAAAGACAAACTCTAAATTCCAATTATATGCATACAAGAATGCAAGCATCGAATGTAGTCTGAATGCTGTAATTTTCCCTTTTCCTATTAGTCTGCCTATGAATAGATAAAATACTCACTCCTTATCCATGGGCCACCAAACTTTTATTCTGTAACCAATCAAGTCTTCTATATTTACTCCATGGTTCTTTGTTGTACACTGAAGAAGAAAAAAAATCAAATAAGCCACATAATTACATGTTACAAGTTATAGATGAACAATAAACCTTTGAGATAAGTTTTCAAAAAAGTCATCAGAATAATTATATAAAATAACGTAATAGCATCACAATACCATAGATCTCTGTATAAGAATCAGAGCATGGAGTTGGGGAGGGGAGAACCTCAAGAGACGAAAGAAGTATAATATCTAAAGGTTTTACAGAGGAAAAAAACAAAGAGTAAAAACAAAATTTATGGGCAATAATTCTAAGCATTAGTTGGAAAAATCCAAATAAAAGAGAACAGCTATGATCAATATTGGTTGTGCAACGAGAAAAAGACATTACCCTAAGGAAGGGCAAAAGAAATTAAAGAAAAACATTGATGAATTCCAATCCAAACTGCAGTTATACTTTACAAATAGTAGAGATAAAATTTAAGCACCATTCTGCAAAAAAGTTTGCTCACAGACTCAAATTATTCAAACATACCATAATGAGCAGAAAATACCTTGACAATCATACTTTTCAGCATATGGACATATGAAAAGATCAACAAACAAAAAAAACCAAAGAATAGCCAAAAGATGTCAAAAATCAGCAGTTTAGAACATATGTTTTAAATTAAAATAATGATATTTTAAAAGCCTAGGTCAAGGTTAGCATTCCAATGTATGTAAAAGGTTTAGTGCAGAAAACAATTAACAGTGTTTCACAAGAAGCATATAATGAGGCTGAAAGAGATATCATTATCATGATGATTTAAAAGGATATGCAAACACTGACCTTTGCCAATCCAGCGATGCTTCTTCTTTTACGCTTCTTGGTAGATCCAGTGGGAGACTTTGAATTACTAATTGGACTGGTCTCATCAGTTTCCATTAGCAAATCAGACTTCTGCAGAAGAGATAAAGACAAAGTTAAGATTCAAACCAATAACACAAGACATTAGTGAATGCACCTCGTGAAGCAAATCAACCAGAAGAGAGCTCACCTTCATATCCTCATCATCATCTGATTCCCCAACTTCATTTGCTTCATCATCATGATCTGTATCAGAACCTTTCCTTTTACGTTTTGATGTGACGCTTCTCCTCCTTTGGAAGCCTGATGCCAACAAATCTGACTTGGTGTTTTTGACCTTTTTTTTCTCCATAGATTTTCCACCTTCTGAATCAGGAATGTCGGTATCCATTTCGATGGACGGAAATGAAGAAACCTTTGGTTCATGTGAACCATCCCCAGAAACTCTCAAAAAACCCTTTGAAGCACTCTTCGGAGATTTGAAACCACTATGAGCAGACGATGACCTTCGACGCTTAGGTACTGATATGGATGCTGGATCAGCGGCTTTTCTTTTTTTACTTTCTTGATTCTCCAGATCCAATTTTGTTTTCTTCGGAGAATGTTTATGACCATTGCTTGATTCAAACTTATTAGAGCTCCCCAGATTATCCAGATTTATCTCCCTCACCATTTTCAGAATATCAACATCATTTTCAGCATTATTCACTTCAGCTGATGAAGACTTTTTCTTCTTGGCCTTTCCAGCCTTGCTTCCCTGAGATTTTAAACGCTGTATCATTTTCCCCAGAGGCACTTCATTTCCATCTCTTTCATCATCGTTCAGAGCCTCATCCTCAGCAATTTCTTCACCAACCTGATTGATCAAAGAAAGAAAATTAAAAGCTAGTGATAGTTGCAAAATGTGCCAAATAACCTCATATAGAAGTAGTTGAGAGTTAACTCTAGAACTTACCGGTTCATCAGGTTCTAACTTTAGCGATTCAAAGTGAGTTAAGACACTCTCATCAGCCAACCATGTTTTCCCTTCACTTACCTAAAAAGAAACCATGATATGAACAGATATGATATCACCCAAAAAAAAAAAAAAAAAAAAAAAGCTGAAAACCTAGCAAGTAGTAAAATAAAATAAATTTAGTTGTAAAATAGTTGGGATGTATAAATATTTTGTAGTAGAGTTATTTCTCTTCTTCAGAATATATCAATGGTGTCAGAAATATACTAGTTAGCCCTCAGTAAATGATAAATCACTGCAAGCAGAATAATCAGGCTGTAGATATGATGATAATTGAAATCTAACTATAAGGGGGCGTTTGGTTGGAGGTTACGTGGGATTACTGGAGTTATGTCATCTTATATTACTTGATTACCACATTTGATTGTCAAATAATATAAGATTCTAGTAATCTTCAAATACCAATAGTAGTTACTGTTGGTAATATTAGAAGTAATCTGATTACCTCTATTTTCTTAGGTATTGTAAGATTACAAAGGAAATCTTTTTTTAGTTACAATTTTATCCCTTATTAATAAAATTTTAGGACAATAATACCCTTATTTTTAAATTAATTTACATGAATATGGCTTTTACTATTTCACCCCAATTAATTAACTTTTTGGACAAAATTACCCTTGAATACAAAACAAATTGCAGCCCACCCAAGTCACCACCCCCACCCACCTGCCGCCGTCGGCAGCCAGCCATCGCCGCAGCCGGAACTACTCATGGAAGGCCAGAAATGACCGCAAATGGCCGTCGTGCACTGATATGGCCATTTCCGGCCACAGATCTAGCCTCAAATGGCTAGATCATGACAGATCTGGCTGGAAAACGGCCAGATCTAATCTGGTCGTTTCCGACCAGATTTGTCACGATCTGGCCATTTCTGGCCAGATCTCTAGCCGAAAATGGCCCTACGGCGCACGGAGGCCATTTCCTGCCTTCCGTGCGCAGTTAGGTTGCCAGCTGCCGACGGTAATTTCCGACGACAACAATGTCTGGGTTGGTAGGGGTGCATTGTTGATTTTCTAAACTTTTGTTATGGGGTTGTTTTTGCTAAGTTTTTAAATCTAGGGGGGTTATAAAATAATCTAAATAACAATATTAAATAATAATATTTAATTAGGGGACAATTCAGTAATTTAAATAACATACCCACCGATTTATTTCTGCCAACCAAATATATTAATAAAATATACCTACCAATTTATTCCAGTTAACCAAACACATAATCCTAAAGATTCCCAGTAATTTTCAAGATAATCTAACTTTCCAGTAATCCAACATTCCTTGAATCAAACGCACCCTAAGTGTTAAGAGCTTTACTTGGTTGGATACTGTGTGATTAAAGCAAAGACTTAATCAATTATTACACCCCATGGCCTCTAAAAGTTCATACGGTATGATAGTTGAAGCAAAAATTGCCACTTAGAAACCTAGTTTCTTACAGACAAAAACAACAGAGAAAATTCAAGACCGCTGGAGATTAAACAAGTGAGAAGCAAAGATGTGACATAAAGCCAACACATAAGAGCTGATACAATTTATCACATCCAACCTAATAATGACAGTGAATGAGCAACTTTTACTTCCACAGAATCTAGGCTTTCATAAATTTGACTAAGCCAGAAAAGGTTAAAACTTTCCAGGAGAAAACTTACCTGAGAGTCATCACCTTCTTTCTTTTCATATGGTTTGTACAGCATTGGGGGCAGAGAGACGGATGAAATCATCTCTTGTGTATCATCCTCCTTTTGTGATAAACGCTTTATGATCGACAATCCAAGGTCACAAATAGCATGTGAATTCTGGAAATTAAACAATACATAAGTTTGAAGATTACATTTTTTCTGCGTTCTCGTGGCTTTCCATGTGCTCAAAAGTTAAGGAAAAACAATAGCAAACATATGAAGATGAAAACTCTATTCCCATACCTTTGACTTGGCTGCATCAACTATGTCTTCTGAGCACTTAATACTATGAAAAAGAGAGATTATTGGAGAAATACTCTCCTTCTCCTTGTTGTTACTAGCTTCTGACTTGACATCTTCATCTTTATGAATCAACACAGAAATGATTAAGTACAGTCGCCTGAAAAGTAAAGAACATAACAGAATTCAATAAGGATAAATCCCTTTTATACAATCTAAAAATAAAATCATTGATTCAGAATATTTTGCCCTGGGTTGGATCAATCAATGAGCCATTCTCCAAAACCCATGTACTTTTGCATTTATTGAATTAAAAAGAGTCCATGGGACCCTGTGAGTATGTGTCTAATCAAAATAATAAAACAATTAAACATAAATAGTTTTCAAAAATACACACAAGACAATAAAATGTAAAATTACACGTACCGGTATACCAATTCAAATGCTTTGACATCCTTGCATTCATCTATATTTGGACATGAATGATGCGCTAAAGTATGAACCACATACGGGAGAATATATTCAGGATATGCTGTCGATGAATTTGCATCAGACTGCACAGAGATCTGACGTGCCTTCATCTGAATGATGTCGGCCAGGTTCTGTTTCTCCTGCCATTTCAAACAGGATATGAAATTTTTGCCAAAAAAATTTCAAAATTCCAACCATGGTGGAAAGCATTACATACACTGCCTCAACCATAGAGAATCACTTGGAACTAATCAAGTCTACATAAATACCTCTTCAAAGTCAAGTGGCTTAGATTCAGTTATACTAAATAAGAATGCACAAGCATATTTTGCATCCAAAAGCCGGTCCTTTACATATTGATGAACTTTGCTCAGGAATAGTTTCTTAGCTTGAAGGAAAGATATCTACAAGACCCAAAAGGGCAAAGGGAATCAATTAAATACAAGAAAAGCAATCATCTATATCAACAATATTAGATGCAGCAATATAAAATACTAAATGATCTCACCTCTGGAGTCTTCACAGTCAAGTGGAAGACATCAACAGGTATCTTCTGATCCCAGTGCTTTGACAAACGAAGAATTGCCTTTGCTGAAGCCAGCCTCAAATGGGCTTTATCAACTGAACTGTAATATGGCAAAGAGTTGTAATTCTACTCTTATCAAACTAGTGAGACATTCTAAGAGAACCAATCAATAAAACCAGCAATTGGATTATAATACAGCTTAGTTGAAAGAGAGAGAGAGAGAGAGAGAGAGAGAGAGAGAGACCCATGTGAGTCATTTACCTTGATTCTAAATCTTCTGACATTTCACCAAAAGAAAGCATGTTTCTCAGAATTCCCAGAAGTTCATCAATTCCAGGACGAAGGTGGGCATCTTTGTCAGGCAAGTAGCTCTTGACCAATGTTTTAATTCCATAAATCTGCAAGACCACCCAAAACAAGTTTGCATGTGTAACCCAATACAAAGATGATCCATTAAAAAATAGCCTCAACAAAAGTATCAGAAGATAATAACATATAGAACAATATCCCACAAGACATGAATCTACAGCAATCTTTATTATCTCAAAATAAACAATAAAGTTAAAATAAAACTCATTTAAAATGACAAACCTTCAATAAACAAAGTTCACTTCTGTCATCCCAAGATGCTTCACTCTCTACTTTTTTCTGAAACAAAGAAACACAATTTACATAAAATAACTATAGATAATGAGGTTGTAGAGGGAAGTTACACAAGTCCAGTGGACCTTGGAAAACATACATTGCCGCACCCAAGAATCTTGCTTTTTATGAATTCTACAATTTCACTCTCTCTAGTTTCAAAAACTGCCGTTGCAGTCTCTGCAATACATCCCAGAGATTGTAGAACAGCCGGCAAATGAGTCTTCTCCTCTAGCATGTCTACAAGCCTCTGGAAATTGGACAAAACACATCAACTTTGGCACATATCATTAACATTCATATTACAGATGATTTAATAGCTATTATACTGGTCATGCATGAAAGAATAATATACAACCTTGTATAAAACAGAGAGAGACATGAGCCCATCATCCTTTGTTATTGCCGCTAGTGCATGAACAGCATACTTGGCCTGTCTCCGACTTCCTTCTAAACAGAGCCTTTCCAGTACAAGGTCAACAGAACTGCAAGCAAGCAACAAGAAGGTAATAAGAATATACAACAAACAGGCTCTGAAAAGTCAATAACATCAAGAGTCGCACCTTGATGACTGTGCAAGTTGTTCTCGAATGGTCCCACCAGCTTTTGCTAAAACATGCAAGACACCTTCTTTTATAATTTCGTTGTCGTCTTTCAGTAAATTTACCAGTTCTTCTTCGGTGCCACCCAGCAAAGATGGACTGAAGCGTGCAAGAATCTGAAAATGCATTGTGTATAACATTTTCAAACAAGAATTAGAATTTATTCTGATGGGAGAAAAAGAAATGAAGAATAGAAACAACTCAAGAAAGTATGCCGTATTATTGAAGGCCACAATGCTGCAAATTCTAAGTACTGTTGTAAATGTAAAAGTAAAACAAATAAAAAATAACATCAAAGAAATGGCCAGAATGTAGTACCAAGATCAAGTACTGTTGCAATAAAATTGCTTTAAAACCATATGGGCAAAGTACCATTATCAGCAAGCAAAAGCATACAACATGATAGATTGTAGCGGTAAGCATTGGGTGACAAAAGACAAGATTAAAAACAAACTTCACATAATGCCACACACAAACTGCAAGCAAAGAAACATGCCAAAGAGCAAACTAACAACAAAATCTATATGGATGAATACAATTATAAATTTAGGAGCACATATTTTTTACCCCTAGTATATCCATGCAAGATTGTGTATATTGTGCGTTCCCAGAGGATTTTTGTACGGCAACCTCCAGAAAAATTTCTTTTACATGCTCCTTGTTAAAAAGTAAATACGAACATTTCATAGAAAGAGTGCTCAGGAAATCATAAAGTCGGTGTTTTTCGCCAAGTATTTTAAGCAAATCATCCTGCAAAACAAAAAACTTATATTAGCAAAATCAAACTGAGAAAGAAAAGCAATGGTTGTTAGTGGATAGATAAAGGCTGATAAGATCATGTTTGCTATAACAAAAAAGACACAATTACCTAGTTTAGCTTTATGTTCTGTCTCTTTCTTATTAGCAGGGTTAGCAAATAATCTCCATTATTAGTTACTACATTTTATGGCAGATATCAAATCCTTATATGATTTTCTTCAAATGATTTACTTAAAAGACATGGACAAAAACAAGCGCCTCAAATCCATTGCCAATGTAATTCCCACCTCGAGGATCTCTCAGTATCTTATTGCTTACCCGACTAGAACAAGCTTGATGAAAGCTAACGTTTGGATCAAGAATATTCGTCAATATCTTCCAGACATTAGCATCTTTCAATTGATCAAGAATCTGAAAATTCTCCTCAGCTTTTGTAGGCTCAGCAAAAGAACGAGACATGACTCGGAAGCAAAACAAAACTTTTTTTTGGATCTCAGGGGCATCCCCATCCTGTATTTGAATGAGAACCATTTAGTTTAGCTCCAAAATATAATTAATAAATGTATTCTGTCTCTTCATTATTAGTAATGCAACTTCCAAAATTTGCGAACCTGATGCATCTGCCTAAGAGAGAGATACCTCTGCATCTCTTGCTGCAACCTGCAATCCAAGAGGAAATCCCCTGAAAATCAGTGCACAATCTATCAAATACACAAAATGAAAGATGAGAGTTCAAAGGTCATGTGATGCTCAATATCAAAACCAAGCATTCATACCTTTGTTTTTGCTCAAGGATCTTCTCAAGAGCCTTCATCATAACTCTGTCAAAGCCAGAGAAAACTCTCACCCAAAGTCTTACTCTATCTTTTACTGAGAACTCGGTTGGGAACAAGGAACCAGATAGAATAGATTCAATTGTATCAGATCTGCAAAATGGATTCACATGTGTGAGACAAGTTGGATAAACATAAATGAAATTATCCAAAAATTATCCATCAAGGAGCAAACACTTATAGCGCTTTTGCTTTACCCCAAATTGTCTCAATCAAATTGAAACCAGTCGTAAAACCCCTTAGCTTTGTAATAACAGAAAAGGAAGCATGAGGGTCCCACATTTAAACAGTCACAAACATTATGGTTTCTCATTGCTAAATGCTAATACACTTTGGTTTCTCATTGCTAAATTCTGTTTAAGGTGAAAAGAAGTATTACCTGAAGTCTCTGTCATAGAAACACCTCAAAATTTTCCCAGGAATCCAATCAAATTCATTATGATCTACTGAACCACCAGAGGACCTCAGGCAATATACTCTGAAAACCTCAGCCAGCCTCTCCATAGTATAAATTTTAACAAGTAGCTGAAATTTTGGGAAGCAAGACATTTCTATAATGAGAGAGAGACAAAGAGAGTTATGGACCAAATCAGCAAACACAAAGGAAACATTATACATACAGATTTGTCTCGAATACGCTCTGCAACTAGTTTCAAAGTCTCAACAGGAATAGAATTCAGAGCTTGGCACGCCACATCACAAATTACAGCAACAACTTGCTTTCGTACATTTTCATCGTAGTCCAGGAGCCGGTCACAGAGGACAGCTAGAAAATGTTGAACCACAACAAAATCAGCAGAGCAACACTTAACATAAATTTGAAAACAAATGCACAAACTTACAGAGAAGTTGGGGAGCCTCAGCCCTTAAAGGATCTGACAGCAGGCAGGTCTTGACATGATCAAGGACAGACATACGAACGGTAACTACTCTGTCAGTCGACCTTTTCAAGAACTCTGAAAAGATAGGCTGAAATGCTTCTGTGTTAGAAGACCCAGGCAGAGCAAACAGATCTCCGACTAATTGCACTGCTTTTAAACGAGTGTCCAGCTGCTCAGTCTGCAGATGATAAAAAGGGTATACTAAGAAGCCATTCATCATGTAATCATCTTTAAACTCTATTGTAGTCAGGAAATTAAGATTCTGACAGATCTGTATCAAAATCAGGATTAATAGTATTTGTGCTAGAAAAATTAACCAAGGAATCGATAATTACCAGCAACTCTCCAGTGAGGTATGGAACAACTCCTGATAAGATCTGAGGAGCACAACGATAAATATCATAAATAACTTCATGGTAGTCAATTTGACTATTTTCTGGCCTGCTATCGCCTGACATTGATGACACGAGGAATTGTTTTATGCCAGCTTCAAGTTTTCCAGCACATTGCTTTATAACATTCATAGCAAGCCTCTTTGGGGTATCCTGGCAATTTAAGAACCAGAAAATCAGTCATTCAAAGTAATACAACAAAGACTTTAACACAAAGGAAAATTATACACAACCCACAACATAAAAGCAACCCAACCATTTTCATAAGCTGGTAAAGATTTGAAATACTTACACTTTTGTTACGACCTAATACAGACAATATAGCAAGTAAAAGATCTTCTTGAATATCCTCACTTTCTTCTAATAGAACAATCATGATTGTTTGCATTGATGATAAAACATTTTCTGGATGATCATCACTGCATGAAAGGAAATTTCAGAACAAAAGCAATCAAATCAGTAGATATTACAGACTTTTGAGAGTCAGCAAAAGGTTTCACAAACCAAATTATGTTAAAAAGACAATTATGCAAGAAAACAAACCTGGCAACATCGAAAAATGTACTGAACATTTGATTCACTAGATCATCACATTCAAGATCCAACATCACAACACATGACCTATATTTTGCAAGAGTCTCCAGAATGACAACTCTCCTTCCAAATGAAGGACCACTGGTATCCTTTAACCCACTAAAAGTACCCACAATCAACTGAAAAGTATCCTGTCAATAGACAACAGACCAATTAAAAAGGAATTAAATTGCAAATTTATTGGTAGTCTGAAAAATATAAACCCATTTTATTAACCAGTTGACCTTCATAAAGAAATGCACCTTGAGAACTTCGTCACTGTAAGGAGCTTCAGGTGCAGTAATCCTGGTTATCTCACAAATGCAGGTTGCTACTAGAAGCTTTACATCCTTATCTTGATGCTTAAGAAATACTGGCTTGACAATTGCATTAAGAAAAGGTTGCATTGCCTCTAAAATTGAAGCCGGTGGAGATTGGTCCAACTCCGACAGACATGTTGCAGCTTGCTGCAGACAGAGAAAAAGATATATGCACAATATTACCAAGTAACAAAAATAGAATAATAATGAATGTTAATAAGTGGGTGCCCACATAAAGGCATCTAACTTGATTGTGAGTATTGTGGAATAATTATTCTGTCATTTGTACACAAGATAAAACAATTATCATAATAACTAATATACTTCAGATATAATGATAGAGAGTGAGAGAGGATCCATCCTACTTGAAACAAAAGTGAACAGGATAAACAGAACAAACATGAGAGTAAGGAAATCAATGTTGATTATTGGATGGTTTTTAACACAAATAAGCTCTACTCTACAATCTTTATATGCAGCAGAAGAATATTCATGCTTCAATCCCTGAAACTTCAGGCCACATCAAAACCAAAATTGATATGTTTTATCACTAAGTAAGTTAATTTTCACCAGCCAGAAGGACAGCAGGAAACCTAGCAGTGATTGCCATATTTATGACTTCAAAATGAACAAGAGATTTGGCCAGTCAAGTAGTGATGAAAAACAAAATAATTCAAACTTAGAATGAACATTCCGGTAAGATCATTGTTGTAGTTCTGTTGTAGATATATAAAGACATGTGAAACTCTAAAACCACCCCTATCCACATCAGCACAAAACTAGTAACACCAATCGTTTAACATCATCAGCCACTAAACATATCATATATTATGCACTTAACCACCAAGAAGCATGTTTCAACAATATCATGACCTCACTATCATATCAGAAATTGGTAATGTTTACTTCTATGATTAAAAACTCCTTAATCTCGTTGCAATTAGGCAACAATGAAACAAGGAAGCCTTCATACACATAAAAGAAAGTTCCGAAAGTAAAGTTCTTTTTTCTTTTTTATTTCTCTGTTAGCTACATGTTCAATAGAAAAAACATGGAAGAACTATCTGCAATTATAATTCCCAACTGAAAGAAAAGCCAATGTTTGCAGCAGACAATCACTTGTAAGTTCCTAAACTATCAGTCTGATCTAATCAGATATCATACAGGTCAAAAGTTCCAAACCAAAAAATACTAAAAGAAACTACCCCGTTTTAGGTTCCATCAGATCCACTCTCTCAGTAGCAGCCCCATTTCCCTGGTGTGAAGTTGAAAACTGCCTAATCCGTGGATATTTAAGGCATCAAAGTTCAATACAATGTGGCTCTATCCCTCTATTGTTAACGATCCAACTGACTATTCAAAGCTACAAACAGGTAGTCAGCACATAATACAGTAGATTAGGTGCACTTTGCTCCTTAAGGTGGATCAAGCATATTTGAGCAAACTCCATAAAAATTTTCAGACCTAGAATCGTTAACATACCAAAGGTACCTAGAAAACTCTGCTTATGGAGCAGCTGAACTAGAAAACTCTATATCAAAACTTAAAGATTAACTGAATACTATACAAGGTCTAGATAAACTACAAGATGGTCTGAGCAACATTATAAGGCTAATCAGACACACTAATTTTTTCTCCCAGCAAACCCACTTATCCATCCCAAATACTGTTGTAGCCGATTTGAGAATACTATGTAAAGAATCCTAATTCAAGCCAATATATTATATTTTCACCAAAACTGTATATTTTGAATTCAAAAGATATTACAGAAAACTTATTAGAGAGACCAAATAAAAATATCTTGAATCTTACACTATACAATATCTATCACCAGTTGAACCAATTAAACTTTTTTTTCATCAATGTCCGAGCATGCAAGTAAACAGCAATCTTCTTAAATCAACAAGGCGTGCATATTAACCCTAGTTTGACTAATTTTGGCAAAATACCATCATATTACCAAATTCAACCGTCCAAATTGAAAATTTTACCATAATATCTTCTTCCCTCCTCCATACACAACAAATTGACACGTAAAACTTCAAATTTTCCCTCAGCTAACCCTAACAAAACATCCTCACCCTCTTGAGCTACCACAAAACCATAAACCTCGAATCAATTCCTCTCGTTCACTTAACTTTCCACGAGTCTCCCCAAAGCCAAACAAAACAGAATTAACAGAACCAACAAACGAACTAACTAACTACCAACCTAGTAAACTCCTCTCAACGAAAATCGAATTTCAAAAAAAAAAAAAAAAAAAAAACTTGAAACGAATTTAACAATTGTTGAAACAATATTCACAAATGCGAACCTTTAAGAGCTTGACGAGAGCGTCTTTGTTGGACGGAGGCGCCTCGAGCTTCGATCCAACCTCCTGCAGCTGCTGTTCAAGCTCTCCAGGCATTTTTCCGGAACCACAGACGACCTCGTTTAGCTGAGAAACTGAAGCTAACTGAAGTGAACTGAACTTGAACCCCTGTCTCTCATCGAGTCTTGGGGATAAATTTGAAACAGAACGAGAGGGTTTGGTTTTTTTTTTTTTCTTTTTTTTTTTTTTTTGCGCGTCGAGAGGTGCGTTTTCGAACAACAACTCGAAATGAGCTCTAAATGTAAGTGAAATCTACTCAAGTGTTTGATTTTTATATCTGGGTTTTTGCTCTTATGCCCTTTCATTTTTTACTATTGAGCGTCTTCTCCTCTAGCATGTCTACAAGCCTCTGGAATTGGACAAAACACATCAACTTTGGCACATATCATTAACATTCATATTACAGATCATTTAATTGCTATTATACTGGTCATGAGAAGAATAATATACAACCTTGTATAAAACAGAGAGAGACATGAGCCGTCATCCTTTGTTATTGCAGCTAGTGATGTACAGCATACTTGGCCTGTCCGACTTCCTTCTAAACAGAGCCTTCCAGTACAAGGTCAACAGAACTGCAAGCAAGCAACAAGAAGGTAATAAGAATATACAACAAACAGGCTCTGAAAAGTCAATAACATCAAGAGTCGCACCTTGATGACTGTGCAAGTTGTTCTCGAATGGTCCCACCAGCTTTTGCTAAAACATGCAAGACACCTTCTTTTATAATTTCTTGTCGTCTTTCAGTAAATTTACAGTTCTTCTTCGGTGCCACCCAGCAAAGATGGACTGAAGCGTGCAAGAATCTGAAATGCATTGTGTATAACATTTTCAAACAAGAATTAGAATTTATTCTCATGGGAGAAAAGAAATGGAGAATAGAAACAACTCAAGAAAGTATGCCGTTATTGAAGGCCACAATGCTGCAAATTCTAAGTACTGTTGTAAATGTAAAGTAAACAAATAAAAAATAACATTAAAGAAATGGCCAGAATGCAGTACAAAGATCAAGTATGTTGCCATAAAATTGCTTTAAAACCATAGGGCAAAGTACCATTATCAGCAAGCAAAAGCTACACATGATAGATTGTAGCGGTAAGCATTGGGTGACAAAAGACAAGATTAAAAAAAACTTCACATAATGCCACACACAAACTGCAAGCAAAGAAACATGCCAAAGAGCAAACTAACAACAAAATCTATATGGATGAATACAATTATAAATTTAGGAGCACATATTTTTTCCCCTAGTATATCATGCAAGATTGTGTATATTGTGCGTTCCCAGATGATTTTTGTACGGCAACCTCCAGAAAAATTTCTTTTACATGCTCCTTGTTGAAAAGTAAATACGAACATTTCATAGAGAGAGTGCTCAGGAAATCATAAAGTCGGTGTTTTTCGCCCAGTATTTAAGCAAATCATCTGCAAAAAAAACTTATATTAGCAAAATCAAACTGAGAAAGAAAGCAACGGTTGTTAGTGGATAGATAAGGCTGATAAGATCATGTTGCTATAGCAAAAAAGACACAATTACCTGTTTAGCTTATGTTCTGTCTCTTTCTTATTAGCAGGGTTAGCAAATAATCTCCATTATTAGTTACTACATTTTATGGCAGATATCAAATCCTTATATGATTCTTCAATGATTTACTTAAAAGACATGGACAAAAAACAGCGCTCAAATCCATTGCCAATGTAATTCCCACCTCGAGGATCTCTCAGTATCTTATTGCTTACCGACTAGAACAAGCTTGATGAAAGCTACGTTTGGATCAAGATATTCGTCAATATCTTCCAGAATTAGCATCTTTCAATTGATCAAGAATCTGAAAATTCTCCTCAGCTTTGTAGCTCAGCAAAAGAACGAGACATGACTCGGAAGCAAAATAAAACTTTTTTTGGATCTCAGGGGCATCCCCATCCTGTATTTGAATGAGAACCATTTAGTTTAGCTCCAAAATAAATTATAAATGTATTCTGTCTCTTCATTATTAGTAATGCAACTTCCAAAATTTGCGAACCTGATGCATCTGCCTAAGAGAGAGATATCTCTGCATCTCTTGCTGCAACCTGCAATCCAAGAGGAAATCCCCTGAAAATCAGTGCACAATCTATCAAATACACAAAATGAAAGATGAGAGTTCAAAGGTCATGTGATGCTCAATATCAAACCAAGCATCATCCTTGTTTTTGCTCAAGGATTTCTCAGAGCTTCATCATAACTCTGTCAAAGCCAGAGAAAACTCTCACCCAAAGTCTTACTCTATCTTTTACTGAGAATCCGGTTGGGAACAAGGAACCCGATAGATAGATTCAATTGTATCAGATCTGCAAAATGGATCACATGTGTGAGACAGTTGGATAAACATAAATGAAATTATCCAAAAATTATCCATCAAGGAGCAAACACTTATAGCGCTTTTGCTTTACCCCAAATTGTCTCAATCAAATTGAAACCAGTCGTAAAACCCCTTAGCTTTGTAATAACAGAAAAGGAAGCATGAGGGTCCCACATTTAAACAGTCACAAACATTATGGTTTCTCATTGCTAAATGCTAATACACTTTGGTTTCTCATTGCTAAATTCTGTTTTAGGTGAAAAGAAGTATTACCTGAAGTCTCTGTCATAGAAACACCTCAAAATTTTCCCAGGAATCAATCAATTCATTATGATCTACTGAACCACCAGAGGACCTCAGGCAATATACTCTGAAAACCTCAGCAGCCTCTCCATAGTATAAATTTTAACAGTAGCTGAAATTGGGAAGCAAGACATTTCTATAATGAGAGAGGACAGAGAGAGTTATGGACAAATCAGCAACACAAAGGAAACATTATACATACAGATTTGTCTCGAATACGCTCTGCAACTAGTTTCAAAGTCTCAACAGGAATAGAATTCAGAGCTTGGCACGCCACATCACAAATTACAGCAACAACTTGCTTTCGTAATTTTCATCGTAGTCCAGGAGCCGGTCACAGAGGACAGCTAGAAAATGTTGAACCACAACAAAAATCAGCAGGCAACACTTACATTAATTTGAAACAAATGCACAAACTTACAGAGAAGTTGGGGAGCCTCAGCCCTTAAAGGATCTGACAGCAGGCAGGTCTTGACATGATCAAGGACAGACATACGAACAGTAACTACTCTGTCAGTCGACCTTTTCAAGAACTCTGAAAAGATAGGCTGAAATGCTTCTGTGTTAGAAGACTCAGGCAGAGCAAACAGTCTCGACTAATGCACTGCTTTTAAACGAGTGTCCAGCTGCTCAGTCTGCAGATGATAAAAAGGGTTACTAAGAAGCCATTCATCATGTAATCATCTTTAAACTCTATTGTAGTCAGGAAATTAAGATTCTGACAGATCTGTATCAAAATCAGGATGTAATAGTATTGTCCTAGAAAAATTAACCAGGAATCGATAATTACCAGCAACTCTCCAGTGAGGTATGGAACAACTCCTGATAAGATATGAGGAGCACAACGATAAATATCATAAATAACTTCATGGTAGTCAATTTGACTATTTCTGGCCTGCTATCGCCTGACATTGATGACACGAGGAATTGTTTATGCCAGCTTCAAGTTTTCCAGCACATTGCTTTAGACATCATAGCAAGCCTCTTTGGGGTACCTGGCAATTTAAGAACCAGAAAATCAGTCATTCAAAGTAATACAACAAAGACTTTAACACAAAGGAAATTATACACACACCCACAACATAAAAACACAACCATTTTCATAAGCTCGTAAAGATTTGAAATACTTACACTTTTGTTACGACCTAATACAGACAATATAGCAAGTAAAAGTCTTCGAATATCCTCACTTTCTTCTAATAGAACAATCATGATTGTTTGCATTGATGATAAACATTTTCTGGATGATCATCACTGCATGAAAGGAAATCAGAACAAAAGCAATCAAATCAGTATATTACAGACTCTTGAGAGTCAGCAAAAGGTTTCACAAACCAAATTATGTTAAAAAGACAATTATGCAAGAAAACAAACTGGCAACATCGAAAAATGTACTGAACATTTGATTCACTAGATCATCGCATTCAAGATCAACATCACAACACATGACCTATATTTTGCAAGAGTCTCCAGAATGACAACTCTCCTTCCAAATGAAGGACCACTGGTATCCTTAACCAAAAAGTACCACAATCAACTGAAAAGTATCCTGTCAATAGACAACAGACCAATTAAAAGGAAATAAATTGCAAATTTATTGGTAGTCTAAAAATATAAACCCATTTCATTAACCAGTTGACCTCATAAAGAAATGCACCTGAGAACTTCGTCACTGTAAGGAGCTCAGGTGCAGTAATCCTGGTTATCTCACAAATGAGGTTGCTACTAGAAGCTTTACATCCTATTCTTGATGCTTCAGAAATATTGGCTTGACAATTGCATTAAGAAAAGGTTGCATTGCTCTAAAATTGAAGCCGGTGGAGATTGGTCCAACTCCGACAGACATGTTGCAGCTTGCTGCAGACAGAGAAAAAGATATATGCACAATATTACCAAGTAACAAAAATAGAATGAATCAAACGCACCCTAAGTGTTAAGAGCTTTACTTGGTTGGATACTATGTGATTAAAGCAAAGACTTAATCAATTATTCCACCCCATGGCCTCTACAAGTTCATATGGTATGATAGTTGAAGCAAAAATTGCCACTTAGAAACCTAGTTTCTTACAGACAAAAACAACAGAGAAAATTAAAGACCGCTGGAGATTAAACAAGTGAGAAGCAAAGATGTGACATAAAGCCAACACATAAGAGCTGATACAATTTATCACATCCAACCTAATAATGACAGTGAATGAGCAACTTTTACTTCCACAGAATCTAGGCTTTCATAAATTTGACTAAGCCAGAAAAGGTTAAAACTTTCCAGGAGAAAACTTACCTGAGAGTCATCACCTTCTTTCTTTTCATATGGTTTGTACAGCATTGGGGGCAGAGAGACGGATGAAATCATCTCTTGTGTATCATCCTCCTTTTGTGATAAACGCTTTATGATCGACAATCCAAGGTCACAAATAGCATGTGAATTCTGGAAATTAAACAATACATAAGTTTGAAGATTACATTTTTTCTGCGTTCTCGTGGCTTTCCATGTGCTCAAAAGTTAAGGAAAAACAATAGCAAACATATGAAGATGAAAACTCTATTCCCATACCTTTGACTTGGCTGCATCAACTATGTCTTCTGAGCACTTAATACTATGAAAAAGAGAGATTATTGGAGAAATACTCTCCTTCTCCTTGTTGTTACTAGCTTCTGACTTGACATCTTCATCTTTATGAATCAACACAGAAATGATTAAGTACAGTCGCCTGAAAAGTAAAGAACATAACAGAATTCAATAAGGATAAATCCCTTTTATACAATCTAAAAATAAAATCATTGATTCAGAATATTTTGCCCTGGGTTGGATCAATCAATGAGCCATTCTCCAAAACCCATGTACTTTTGCATTTATTGAATTAAAAAGAGTCCATGGGACCCTGTGAGTATGTGTCTAATCAAAATAATAAAACAATTAAACATAAATAGTTTTCAAAAATACACACAAGACAATAAAATGTAAAATTACACGTACCGGTATACCAATTCAAATGCTTTGACATCCTTGCATTCATCTATATTTGGACATGAATGATGCGCTAAAGTATGAACCACATACGGGAGAATATATTCAGGATATGCTGTCGATGAATTTGCATCAGACTGCACAGAGATCTGACGTGCCTTCATCTGAATGATGTCGGCCAGGTTCTGTTTCTCCTGCCATTTCAAACAGGATATGAAATTTTTGCCAAAAAAATTTCAAAATTCCAACCATGGTGGAAAGCATTACATACACTGCCTCAACCATAGAGAATCACTTGGAACTAATCAAGTCTACATAAATACCTCTTCAAAGTCAAGTGGCTTAGATTCAGTTATACTAAATAAGAATGCACAAGCATATTTTGCATCCAAAAGCCGGTCCTTTACATATTGATGAACTTTGCTCAGGAATAGTTTCTTAGCTTGAAGGAAAGATATCTACAAGACCCAAAAGGGCAAAGGGAATCAATTAAATACAAGAAAAGCAATCATCTATATCAACAATATTAGATGCAGCAATATAAAATACTAAATGATCTCACCTCTGGAGTCTTCACAGTCAAGTGGAAGACATCAACAGGTATCTTCTGATCCCAGTGCTTTGACAAACGAAGAATTGCCTTTGCTGAAGCCAGCCTCAAATGGGCTTTATCAACTGAACTGTAATATGGCAAAGAGTTGTAATTCTACTCTTATCAAACTAGTGAGACATTCTAAGAGAACCAATCAATAAAACCAGCAATTGGATTATAATACAGCTTAGTTGAAAGAGAGAGAGAGAGAGAGAGAGAGAGAGAGAGAGACCCATGTGAGTCATTTACCTTGATTCTAAATCTTCTGACATTTCACCAAAAGAAAGCATGTTTCTCAGAATTCCCAGAAGTTCATCAATTCCAGGACGAAGGTGGGCATCTTTGTCAGGCAAGTAGCTCTTGACCAATGTTTTAATTCCATAAATCTGCAAGACCACCCAAAACAAGTTTGCATGTGTAACCCAATACAAAGATGATCCATTAAAAAATAGCCTCAACAAAAGTATCAGAAGATAATAACATATAGAACAATATCCCACAAGACATGAATCTACAGCAATCTTTATTATCTCAAAATAAACAATAAAGTTAAAATAAAACTCATTTAAAATGACAAACCTTCAATAAACAAAGTTCACTTCTGTCATCCCAAGATGCTTCACTCTCTACTTTTTTCTGAAACAAAGAAACACAATTTACATAAAATAACTATAGATAATGAGGTTGTAGAGGGAAGTTACACAAGTCCAGTGGACCTTGGAAAACATACATTGCCGCACCCAAGAATCTTGCTTTTTATGAATTCTACAATTTCACTCTCTCTAGTTTCAAAAACTGCCGTTGCAGTCTCTGCAATACATCCCAGAGATTGTAGAACAGCCGGCAAATGAGTCTTCTCCTCTAGCATGTCTACAAGCCTCTGGAAATTGGACAAAACACATCAACTTTGGCACATATCATTAACATTCATATTACAGATGATTTAATAGCTATTATACTGGTCATGCATGAAAGAATAATATACAACCTTGTATAAAACAGAGAGAGACATGAGCCCATCATCCTTTGTTATTGCCGCTAGTGCATGAACAGCATACTTGGCCTGTCTCCGACTTCCTTCTAAACAGAGCCTTTCCAGTACAAGGTCAACAGAACTGCAAGCAAGCAACAAGAAGGTAATAAGAATATACAACAAACAGGCTCTGAAAAGTCAATAACATCAAGAGTCGCACCTTGATGACTGTGCAAGTTGTTCTCGAATGGTCCCACCAGCTTTTGCTAAAACATGCAAGACACCTTCTTTTATAATTTCGTTGTCGTCTTTCAGTAAATTTACCAGTTCTTCTTCGGTGCCACCCAGCAAAGATGGACTGAAGCGTGCAAGAATCTGAAAATGCATTGTGTATAACATTTTCAAACAAGAATTAGAATTTATTCTGATGGGAGAAAAAGAAATGAAGAATAGAAACAACTCAAGAAAGTATGCCGTATTATTGAAGGCCACAATGCTGCAAATTCTAAGTACTGTTGTAAATGTAAAAGTAAAACAAATAAAAAATAACATCAAAGAAATGGCCAGAATGTAGTACCAAGATCAAGTACTGTTGCAATAAAATTGCTTTAAAACCATATGGGCAAAGTACCATTATCAGCAAGCAAAAGCATACAACATGATAGATTGTAGCGGTAAGCATTGGGTGACAAAAGACAAGATTAAAAACAAACTTCACATAATGCCACACACAAACTGCAAGCAAAGAAACATGCCAAAGAGCAAACTAACAACAAAATCTATATGGATGAATACAATTATAAATTTAGGAGCACATATTTTTTACCCCTAGTATATCCATGCAAGATTGTGTATATTGTGCGTTCCCAGAGGATTTTTGTACGGCAACCTCCAGAAAAATTTCTTTTACATGCTCCTTGTTAAAAAGTAAATACGAACATTTCATAGAAAGAGTGCTCAGGAAATCATAAAGTCGGTGTTTTTCGCCAAGTATTTTAAGCAAATCATCCTGCAAAACAAAAAACTTATATTAGCAAAATCAAACTGAGAAAGAAAAGCAATGGTTGTTAGTGGATAGATAAAGGCTGATAAGATCATGTTTGCTATAACAAAAAAGACACAATTACCTAGTTTAGCTTTATGTTCTGTCTCTTTCTTATTAGCAGGGTTAGCAAATAATCTCCATTATTAGTTACTACATTTTATGGCAGATATCAAATCCTTATATGATTTTCTTCAAATGATTTACTTAAAAGACATGGACAAAAACAAGCGCCTCAAATCCATTGCCAATGTAATTCCCACCTCGAGGATCTCTCAGTATCTTATTGCTTACCCGACTAGAACAAGCTTGATGAAAGCTAACGTTTGGATCAAGAATATTCGTCAATATCTTCCAGACATTAGCATCTTTCAATTGATCAAGAATCTGAAAATTCTCCTCAGCTTTTGTAGGCTCAGCAAAAGAACGAGACATGACTCGGAAGCAAAACAAAACTTTTTTTTGGATCTCAGGGGCATCCCCATCCTGTATTTGAATGAGAACCATTTAGTTTAGCTCCAAAATATAATTAATAAATGTATTCTGTCTCTTCATTATTAGTAATGCAACTTCCAAAATTTGCGAACCTGATGCATCTGCCTAAGAGAGAGATACCTCTGCATCTCTTGCTGCAACCTGCAATCCAAGAGGAAATCCCCTGAAAATCAGTGCACAATCTATCAAATACACAAAATGAAAGATGAGAGTTCAAAGGTCATGTGATGCTCAATATCAAAACCAAGCATTCATACCTTTGTTTTTGCTCAAGGATCTTCTCAAGAGCCTTCATCATAACTCTGTCAAAGCCAGAGAAAACTCTCACCCAAAGTCTTACTCTATCTTTTACTGAGAACTCGGTTGGGAACAAGGAACCAGATAGAATAGATTCAATTGTATCAGATCTGCAAAATGGATTCACATGTGTGAGACAAGTTGGATAAACATAAATGAAATTATCCAAAAATTATCCATCAAGGAGCAAACACTTATAGCGCTTTTGCTTTACCCCAAATTGTCTCAATCAAATTGAAACCAGTCGTAAAACCCCTTAGCTTTGTAATAACAGAAAAGGAAGCATGAGGGTCCCACATTTAAACAGTCACAAACATTATGGTTTCTCATTGCTAAATGCTAATACACTTTGGTTTCTCATTGCTAAATTCTGTTTAAGGTGAAAAGAAGTATTACCTGAAGTCTCTGTCATAGAAACACCTCAAAATTTTCCCAGGAATCCAATCAAATTCATTATGATCTACTGAACCACCAGAGGACCTCAGGCAATATACTCTGAAAACCTCAGCCAGCCTCTCCATAGTATAAATTTTAACAAGTAGCTGAAATTTTGGGAAGCAAGACATTTCTATAATGAGAGAGAGACAAAGAGAGTTATGGACCAAATCAGCAAACACAAAGGAAACATTATACATACAGATTTGTCTCGAATACGCTCTGCAACTAGTTTCAAAGTCTCAACAGGAATAGAATTCAGAGCTTGGCACGCCACATCACAAATTACAGCAACAACTTGCTTTCGTACATTTTCATCGTAGTCCAGGAGCCGGTCACAGAGGACAGCTAGAAAATGTTGAACCACAACAAAATCAGCAGAGCAACACTTAACATAAATTTGAAAACAAATGCACAAACTTACAGAGAAGTTGGGGAGCCTCAGCCCTTAAAGGATCTGACAGCAGGCAGGTCTTGACATGATCAAGGACAGACATACGAACGGTAACTACTCTGTCAGTCGACCTTTTCAAGAACTCTGAAAAGATAGGCTGAAATGCTTCTGTGTTAGAAGACCCAGGCAGAGCAAACAGATCTCCGACTAATTGCACTGCTTTTAAACGAGTGTCCAGCTGCTCAGTCTGCAGATGATAAAAAGGGTATACTAAGAAGCCATTCATCATGTAATCATCTTTAAACTCTATTGTAGTCAGGAAATTAAGATTCTGACAGATCTGTATCAAAATCAGGATTAATAGTATTTGTGCTAGAAAAATTAACCAAGGAATCGATAATTACCAGCAACTCTCCAGTGAGGTATGGAACAACTCCTGATAAGATCTGAGGAGCACAACGATAAATATCATAAATAACTTCATGGTAGTCAATTTGACTATTTTCTGGCCTGCTATCGCCTGACATTGATGACACGAGGAATTGTTTTATGCCAGCTTCAAGTTTTCCAGCACATTGCTTTATAACATTCATAGCAAGCCTCTTTGGGGTATCCTGGCAATTTAAGAACCAGAAAATCAGTCATTCAAAGTAATACAACAAAGACTTTAACACAAAGGAAAATTATACACAACCCACAACATAAAAGCAACCCAACCATTTTCATAAGCTGGTAAAGATTTGAAATACTTACACTTTTGTTACGACCTAATACAGACAATATAGCAAGTAAAAGATCTTCTTGAATATCCTCACTTTCTTCTAATAGAACAATCATGATTGTTTGCATTGATGATAAAACATTTTCTGGATGATCATCACTGCATGAAAGGAAATTTCAGAACAAAAGCAATCAAATCAGTAGATATTACAGACTTTTGAGAGTCAGCAAAAGGTTTCACAAACCAAATTATGTTAAAAAGACAATTATGCAAGAAAACAAACCTGGCAACATCGAAAAATGTACTGAACATTTGATTCACTAGATCATCACATTCAAGATCCAACATCACAACACATGACCTATATTTTGCAAGAGTCTCCAGAATGACAACTCTCCTTCCAAATGAAGGACCACTGGTATCCTTTAACCCACTAAAAGTACCCACAATCAACTGAAAAGTATCCTGTCAATAGACAACAGACCAATTAAAAAGGAATTAAATTGCAAATTTATTGGTAGTCTGAAAAATATAAACCCATTTTATTAACCAGTTGACCTTCATAAAGAAATGCACCTTGAGAACTTCGTCACTGTAAGGAGCTTCAGGTGCAGTAATCCTGGTTATCTCACAAATGCAGGTTGCTACTAGAAGCTTTACATCCTTATCTTGATGCTTAAGAAATACTGGCTTGACAATTGCATTAAGAAAAGGTTGCATTGCCTCTAAAATTGAAGCCGGTGGAGATTGGTCCAACTCCGACAGACATGTTGCAGCTTGCTGCAGACAGAGAAGAAGATATATGCACAATATTACCAAGTAACAAAAATAGAATAATAATGACTGTTAATAAGTGGGTGCACACATAAAGGCATCTAACTTGCTTGTGAGTACTGTAGAATGATTATTCTGTCATTTGTACACAAGATAAAACAATTATCATAATAACTAATATACTTCAGATATAATGATAGAGAGTGAGAGAGGATCCATCCTACTTGAAACAAAAGTGAACAGGATAAACAGAACAAATATGAGAGTAAGGAAATCAATGTTGATTATTGGATGGTTTTTAACACAAATAAGCTTTACTCTACAATCTTTATATGCAGCAGAAGAATATTCATGCTTCAATCCCTGAAACTTCAGGCCACATCAAAACCAAAATTGATATGTTTTATCACTAAGTAAGTTAATTTTCACCAGCCAGAAGGACAGCAGGAAACCTAGCAGTGATTGCCATATTTATGACTTCAAAATGAACAAGAGATTTGGCCAGTCAAGTAGTGATGAAAAACAAAATAATTCAAACTTAGAATGAACATTCCGGTAAGATCATTGTTGTAGTTCTGTTGTAGATATATAAAGACATGTGAAACTCTAAAACCACCCCTATCCACATCAGCACAAAACTAGTAACACCAATCGTTTAACATCATCAGCCACTAAACATATCATATATTATGCACTTAACCACCAAGAAGCATGTTTCAACAATATCATTACCTCACTATCATATCAGAAATTGGTAATGTTTACTTCTATGATTAAAAACTCTTTAATCTCGTTGCAATTAGGCAACAATGAAACAAGGAAGCCTTCATACACATAAAAGAAAGTTCCGAAAGTAAAGTTCTTTTTTCTTTTTTATTTCTCTGTTAGCTACATGTTCAATAGAAAAAACATGGAAGAACTATCTGCAATTATAATTCCCAACTGAAAGAAAAGCCAATGTTTGCAGCAGACAATCACTTGTAAGTTCCTAAACTATCAGTCTGATCTAATCAGATATCATACAGGTCAAAAGTTCCAAACCAAAAATACTAAAAGAAACTACCCCGTTTTAGGTTCCATCAGATCCACTCTCTCAGGAGCAGCCCCATTTCCCTGGTGTGAAGTTGAAAACTGCCTAATCCGTGGATATTTAAGGCATCAAAGTTCAATACAATGTGGCTCGATCCCTCTATTGTTAACGATCCAACTGACTATTCAAAGCTACAAACAGGTAGTCAGCACATAATACAGTAGATTAGCTGCACTTTGCTCCTTAAGGTGGATCAAGCATATTTGAGCAAACTCCATAAAAATTTTCAGACCTAGAATCGTTAACATACCAAAGGTACCTACAAAACTCTGCTTATGGAGCAGCCGAACTAGAAAACTCTATATCAAAACTTAAAGATTAACTGAATACTATACAAGGTCTAGATAAACTACAAGATGGTCTAAGCAACATTATAAGGCTAATCAGACACACTAATTTTTTCTCCCAGCAAACCCACTTATCCATCCCAAATACTGTTGTAGCCGATTTGAGAATACTATGTAAAGAATCCTAATTCAAGCCAATATATTATATTTTCACCAAAACTGTATATTTTGAATTCAAAAGATATTACAGAAAACTTATTAGAGAGACCAAATAAAAATATCTTGAATCTTACACTATACAATATCTATCACCAGTTGAACCAATTAAACTTTTTTTTCATCAATGTCCGAGCATGCAAGTAAACAGCAATCTTCTTAAATCATCAAGGCGTGCATATTAACCCTAGTTTGACTCATTTTGGCAAAATACCATCATATTACCAAATTCAACCGTCCAAATTGAAAATTTTACCATAATATCTTCTTCCCTCCTCCATACACAACAAATTGACACGTAAAACTTCAAATTTTCCCTCAGCTAACCCTAACAAAACATCCTCACCCTCTTGAGCTACCACAAAACCATAAACCTCGAATCAATTCCTCTCGTTCACTTAACTTTCCACGAGTCTCCCCAAAGCCAAACAAAACAGAATTAACAGAACCAACAAACGAACTAACTAACTACCAACCTAGTAAACTCCTCTCAACGAAAATCGAATTTCAAAAAAAAAAAAAAAAAAAAAACTTGAAACGAATTTAACAATTGTTGAAACAATATTCACAAATGCGAACCTTTAAGAGCTTGACGAGAGCGTCTTTGTTGGACGGAGGCGCCTCGAGCTTCGATCCAACCTCCTGCAGCTGCTGTTCAAGCTCTCCAGGCATTTTTCCGGAACCACAGACGACGTCGTTTAGCTGAGAAACTGAAGCTAACTGAAGTGAACTGAACTTGAACCCCTGTCTCTCATCGAGTCTTGGGGATAAATTTGAAACAGAACGAGAGGGTTTGGTTTTTTTTTTTTTCTTTTTTTTTTTTTTTTGCGCGTCGAGAGGTGCGTTTTCGAACAACAACTCGAAATGAGCTCTAAATGTAAGTGAAATCTACTCAAGTGTTTGATTTTTATATCTGGGTTTTTGCTCTTATGCCCTTTCATTTTTTACTATTCATTCATTGTCCAATTGACAACTTTGTATTTTTCATTATTATCCCCCCTTTCATCATTATTAATAAAAATATGTTATTATTACGAGCAGGGGCGTAGCCGAAGTATACGGATCGGGGTTACTTGACCCGTTGAAATTCTGAAATTATTAAAAGTAGGTGTATATTTTATAGTAATTAATAACTTTAACCGCACTAAAATTTATATTGACCCTACTAAAATTACATTTATTGAAAGAGAGATATTTGATGACATTTTTAAATGATTGTCTCATTATATATATTAAGAAAAAGATATATTATCAATAAAAAATTATGTAATATTTTCAGAATACGAAAAATCATCCAGGACAATTATATATTATATCTTTTTTACCCCACTAACTAGAAATCATGGTTACGCCTCTAATTACAAGTAATACTACTCTTTTCTATACACATCTTAAAATATTCATTGGAAATAATGTATCATCCTATATGGTGTTTACATATAATTTTTCATATCATCAATTCATTTACATGTTAGATCTTACATTATTTGGAATGAGTTTTTTGGGATATCTCTTGAAATACAGATACAAATTAAATATACAAAATCTTATATATATATATATATTGATGTAATATTACTATTTTAATGTCACATCACTTATTGGTATTTATTCGGCCTTTTTCGTGTTGTTTTTATATATACACTTATTTATTTATTTCGTATAGATTTGTATACATTGTTTTATATATAGTTAGGTTAATAACAACGACATTCCGTTAAGGTTTTAACTTTTTATAGGTGAGTAGAAAAGATGATTTAGATAACACGTACACCCCAAATAGTGATAGTTGTTAAAAGGAAGTTAACATATTAAGGGTGAAATTGTAACCTCTCAAAAAAAATTAATGATTTATTGGGGGTGGTTGGGTCACCGGCTTCAAACCAACCATGTTGTGTAGCTTGTGTCAAGCCTACAACGCTGTTGGCGTTAGGCGTGTGATGTGGTCTATCTCTGTGCCGCCAACGTAAGGCCACCACTCGTCCACTCCTTGTTGTCATTGTCGACCAAGGAAAGAACATACACCACCATGATGTTCTCTGCTTTCAAATCTAGGTAATAAAAATGTATATCATCAAGACATAATAAATTTTACTAGGGTAAAACAGTCTTTCTTAATGATAATCTATTTTTAGTTAAATAAACCCCCAACGCCAGTTAACAGAATCGGGTTATATGTTACACCTAATCATCTTTTCTAAGAATTTAAAAAAAGTTGAAACCTCAGGGGTATTGGTGTTATTGACCCATATGTATTATCTTTTTAATATACATTTATGATACTTTCTTCTAAAGGTTGATTTAATAACTAATTAATTAAGATTTCTATTTAAAGTGCGACCATGTATTTTTCTACATCGGTTAATTACATTAATTTGTCTATTATAATTAATAAACTTCCAATTTTTTGTCCACTATTCTCCAACATAGAGTATTAATTGGAGGTATAAACAAGATAAATTGTTTGAATTATTTGTAACAAATGAAAATACAAGTGCAAAAAGATACAATATCATTAGTTATTTATATCTCAAATTATTTAATATGGAAGAGTATACTATTGTAAATTCACTAAGTTGGTGTTGTGTAGATTTTTATTTTTATTTTATTTGAAAAGGGACGAGAATGATAAAAAATCAAAATAAATGGGGAAAACAGAGAAACCAAGGTCAGTGAGGGCATTACCGCAAACATGGCAGCGTGCGTCAACGTGTTACATGGAATTTAAGGATTTTAAGCAACTTGGCTGGTGAAAGACTAGCTAACAAATCACCCCCTAGGAGTTAGTTAAATTACATAAATACCCTTCCATCCCACGTGCAATGTAATTTACTAATTAATATATTTGTTGTATTTATGTGTAACAAGGTCAAATTAGAGGGGGTTAAAAATGTAATTATGTCGGTAAGAAAGAACAAGTGGGCAAACGACGACGTCTTCTCCATTTCCTTTCTTCAATCCTCGAAACAAAACCTTAGCAAAGCCCTAAGCTTGAACACAAACAGAGGGAAGCAAAAGCCTCTGCAAAACACAATGGAGGGCACGCAAGAAAACGGCGAAACCAGCGTCGAAGAGCGAGTCAATCCTCCGGCCAGCGGTCTCTCGAAAACCGCGCAAAAGAAGCAGTTGAAACAACAGAGGTACGAAGCGAAGAAGGCGGAGAAGAAAGCGCGGATGAAGGAGGAGAAGAAGAGAGAAGGCGAGAGAAAGCGAAAGGAATGGGAAGAGAAGCTGGCGAGCGTGACGGAGGAGGAGAGGTCTAAGTTGATCGAGTCGAGGAAAGGTATGAGGAAAGAGAGAATGGAGAAGCGGTCGGAAGAGAGAGGAAAGAAGATCCAGAGATTGAACGAAGCTAAAGAGAAGGGTCAAAACATTGTTATTGATCTTGAATTTTCTCATCTCATGACTGCTAGTGAAATTCACAGCCTTGTTCAACAGGTACTATTATGATTTCGAAATTGTGGTATTCTATTTTCGCAGAACAAGTTAAAAAATGATGATTGGAAGATCGAAAACGCTTGCATTTTTCAGCTTTTTATATGTAATGTTCTGATGGTGAGCTTACTTGCTTGCTTGCAACTTTCTACAATGTGTGATTTGTTATGAATGAAATATGCAGATTATGTATTGTTATGCAGTAAATGGAAAGTGTGAGACTCCGGGTCATCTGTGGTTGACAGGATGCAAGGGAGAGATGGAGAGCCAATTGAACAGGCTTCCAGGGTTTGATAAATGGATAATTGAGAAGCAAAATGGATCATACATTGAAGCATTACAAGATCGGAAGGACAATCTTGTGTATCTTACAGCTGATTCGGAAACAGTGTTGGATGATCTGGATTTAAGTAAAATTTATATTGTTGGTGGGTTAGTGGATAGGAACCGTTGGAAGGGTATAACTATGAAGAAAGCACAAGAGCAAGGAATTCAAACAGCAAAGCTCCCGATAGGAAATTACTTGAAGATGTCCAGCTCTCAGGTACCATTTGGTCTTAGAACTTTTATAGCCCAAATCTGGCTGAAGAAAACATCAAATTGTCATATGATGTTATAAGAAGTATATTCATATAAACTTGATCTAAACTAAATTCATGGTTTTTATAAATTTAACGCCATTGTGCTTTTGGCTGAAATAATGTATGTTTGCTTGTTTTCATGAATGCTCTGATTTTGTCCAGTTAGATTGTTGGAATAGGTAATTACATGTCGCGTCACTTGTTTCCAATCTGCTAAGGAGAAACCTTTTCTGATTATGTCATGTCGCAGATATATAGTTTTTACGGACTCATTTTATATTTTTCCTCTGATTACAGGTCCTCACCGTGAACCAAGTGATTGAGATTCTCCTCAAGTTCTTGGAAACAAGGGATTGGAAGGCTTCTTTCTTTCAAGTAATTCCTCAAAGGAAAAGATTTGAAGCCGATTCAGAACCCAATTCAGAAGCCAAATCAGAAGAACATCAAGGAGAAGAAGATGGTGGAGAGTCTGAGGAGGAAGACTATCAATCTGAGAGAAAAAAGAAGTGTATCGAAGCTACTTCTGATGGCTAAAAAACACTTAATTGACTGGAAAATTTTGCTTTATTTGCAATCTCAACCATATTTGTCTTTGTAGTACTGGATATCAATTAGTGAAAATGATTCTTTGGTCCTTTGTGACCAGTTCTGAAAAGTTTTTGGCATCCCCTTTTTATGTGGCTTTGTCAAGCAATAGCTTCATGGAAGCATTAGCAAACAAAGAATGTATTGTCATGAATATTTGGTGAGTTTTTGTAAGGCTAAAATAACAAAATTTCATTGTTCATATGAAGTTTCTCATCATATACATTGATTTGTTTATGTTGTACAGACAGGGACGATATGTCAATGGGAAGATAGACAAAAAGGGGGTTGTATTCTTTTTTATTTTGCCGAGATCTTCTGCAAACAAATATATCATTGAGGATTGCACAGTTTCCTCATGGGTTTTTTCCTAGCGAACAATGTTACAGTTACCGAAAGGAGCACACTGACTTCATACACTGAATGATATGGCGAAATCCTGACCGTCGATTAATATTAATTCATAATTAATTGACAGTCATGATTGTGTCACATTATTCAGTGCATGAATTTGGTACGCTCCTTTTGGTAACTGAATTATTTTTCTTTTCTTAGCTTCATTTCTATTTAATAGTGAAAATCCAAGCAATAGTAGATTATTTTAATATTTAAAAAAGGGGCAGAACCCAGCTTCCATAGCATAGTGGTAGTGCGTTCGCTTCGTAAGCGAAAGGTCGCGAGTTCAATCCTCGCTGGGAGCTCTTATTTCTCTTGTTTTTATTAAGATGCTTGTTTCTTATATTAATTTTTCATATGCTTTGTTGTTTAACTGGTTCTACTTTGCTATTGGGAAATAATTGAGCCATGTCCAAGAGAACACTTGAAATAAACAACAAAATCAACAACCATTTTTTAACACCAAAACACCAAACCTCTCTCACTTTAACTTCCTAAGTTACTGTTCTCATGATCAGCAGGTTAATTAGTGTACCATAATCTCATCATATGTCTCACTTATGCTGAGCATATGCTTCATCATTATTACCACCATTAGCCACACCACCCTGTGATGAACCTGCCCCATTAATATTCCCATTACTCTCATTTGCATCCTTCAAGTACCCTCCCATGCCTGCTCCTCCATAAAACCCTTGGTGGTGGTGCCCCATATGAAATGCTGTTGGTGCAAATGCAGCTGCTACTCCCAATGTCCGATACTCCACTGCCCTCTTCACCAGTGGTTCCCCTCTTATCGACCCTCGCTCCCCTTCCATCTCGCGGTACCTGTGGAGGTATATGGTCAGGGGTTCAATGTAGTCATCAAATCCTAGTTTGCTCATTGCCCACAGCACATCCTCAGCGGTAATTGTCTTGCGTTGCTCGCATTGGCAGCGCTCGTTGGCTTCGCCTGTTATGAAGCTGATGTACTCCGAAACACATTCTTGAATCGTCTCCTTGGCGTCGTCTGAGATTTTGGCATGTGGGGGAAGGATCTTGCGCATGATCCTGATCACGTTAGCTATTGGCATGAAGCGGTCTTGCTCCCTCACTGTGCATTCATTGTCATCAGAAGAAGAAATGTGACTGTTGTTGTTAATGTTGGTTTGGTTTATCTCAAGTGGCCTCATGTTCATCTCTGTTAACTTCAGCCCTGCCATTAACAATGAAGAAAAGAATATTCATATAAAAATTCATACTGAAAATGAATCCTATCAAATTTTAATTTCATGGATTTTGTTTTATTATCTCTTTTAATTATCTATGAATGTCAATCTTATATTTTCTAATTTCTTCTAGCTAACATGCAAGGTAAGGCTCCAATGGAACTTGTTTTATGTTGCAGGATTAAGTGGGGTTGGTCCCAGGAGCTGTGTGTTCTGTTCTCCGCATAAATATCTCGAACACGACAAGATCTGAAGCTCTTTCAATGCAAATATGAAAAAGAAGACAAAACTAAAGTCTTGTCCTCGTGTGTGTGCGCCCGCGCTTGAAGCTTCGGGAGCAGTGCAGTGACTTTTGAATTAATGTTTCATTATCTTGAAGAGATGAACTCACAGAGTTACAGTTACACTAACAGTAACAGATCTTAAAGCTAGCTCTACCTTAAAAAGCCTGAAATAATTAACTACACATCACATAAATTGGTAGTAAGATTTAAAGAAAATTTTCAAAATTGAACCAATGTTGGGTTAGACCAGTGTTGAAACTTGGAACTCACAGCCTTCAGAAATTAAAAGACCAAAAAGCTTCACAAATGTAAACAAATACAAACATGCATGCAAAAGCGAGTAAAAAAGGACAGAAATTAACAAAAAGGATGATGAAAGGGGCTTAGAAGAATGCATGGACGCCACATGTTTCTGTTGGTCATAAGTTGCATGCATCATGCATGCCACTTGTACACACTCCTCTCTTCAGTTTTTTTTACTGTATTATGCAGCCGTTTCGATTCCAACACAACAGTTTATGTTAACAGGAAGAAGAAGATTAAAGAATAAAGAAGGAGATATATTCATAGACAGCTGATGACATGTTCTAGTTTAAACATATCAAACATATATAAATATATATGCATGAAGAGAGAGAGAGAGAGAAAGAGAGAGTTCAGAGAGAATGTCTGGCAATGTACATGAGTGCCTGCCTACTGACTGCAATGTTATCACTGAAATCGGAAAGAGTAAGGCACTGTGAACATTCTGCAGATTCATGCAATTCACAAGTCAAGAGATAACAACAGAGAAAACAAAATCGTATACATGGAACTTATTGCATTCTTGCTGACGAACCCGAAACTATCCCAGAATCCATTTGCATGCAAGAGATGAACTCAAAATTCTTAAAATACAAGAAAGCTATATATATAAGACTGAAAAAAAATTGACCAGCTGCTTAAATATTAATGAATTGTAATTATACATGAATAGTTAAATATTGGAATAATTTGATGATATATATCTGTTCTGTACAGGCTCATAGTACATTACCAGAAGTAGTAGTGTTGGGGAGCTGGCGGTAGCCATGGAATCCTCCACTTTCCATCTCTTGAACAGTCTCTGCAGAAGCAGCTCTCTCTTTTTATGGTCAAACAATATCAAAGTACTAATAACTTTGAAACCTTGGAAGAAATAAAACTGAAAATGGTGATGAAGAGAGCCAGGTAGTGGAAAATACCTGGCAAGTGTAGATATATATAGTACACAAAAGTTGAAACACGTGGCACATGGGGGCGATTTGAACGAGGAGTTGTAGCTATAGACAGCCCAGTAGTACTAATTGCTGAATTTAAACACTAAACCTTGGCCTTCAATATACACTGTTGAATTTGAAGGCAAAGAGCGGGAGAGGTTGGGAGCTGCCCGCCCAACTCTCAACGTTTGCATTTCAGTGAATGGCCACTGCACACAGTCCTAATCCAATCACCAAAAAGAATGTCCCTCAATTATTGAAATAGCATTAGGTAAAATTTGATATGGTCAAGAATATATAAGACTGTGTCGTTTCATATAATTGAAATAAGGAAATTCTATGTCAGTTAATATAGTGGGATTAATTTTCTTCCAAAAACACAAGATTACGTACATTCCCCCGACGATCAAACTCAACAGATGTATTCCTTTCCAAAAGTGAAAGTTGGCAAAACGACACCATGCACGGATGGATGGATGGTTACTCTATTCGTATCCTTAGCGAAACGACGCCATGCATTCTTTATATAAACATAATACTATTCTGAGTTTAACAATTATAAACACAGCTCTCTCTTCTAAGAGTAAGAAATTTGGTTAAGGGGTTTTTGTGGGGTTGTGATTATTAGATTGAAGAGGATGGCGGCAGAAGATGGCAAAGGTGGTGGTGGTGGTGGTACTTATTCAATGGTGATGATGAAGATAGTGGTTGCAGTGCTGTTTTTGGCACCTTTTGTGATGGGTCCATTAGCACCTCCTTCTTCTACTGTTCTTGCNAACCAATGTTGGGTTAGACAAGTGTTGAAACTTGGAACTCACAGCCTTCAGAAATTAAAAGACCAAAAAGCTTCACAAATGTAAACAAGTACAAACATGCATGCAAAAGCGAGTAAAAAAGGACAGAAATTAACAAAAAGGATGATGAAAGGGGCTTAGAAGAATGCATGGACGCCACATGTTTCTGTTGGTCAGAAGTTGCATGCATCATGCATGCCACTTGTACACACTCCTCTCTTCAGTTTTTTTTACTGTATTATGCAGCCGTTTCGATTCCAACACAACAGTTTATGTTAACGGGAAGAAGAAGATTAAAGAATAAAGAAGGAGATATATTCATAGACAGCTGATGACATGTTCTAGTTTAAACATATCAAACATATATAAATATATATGCATGAAGAGAGAGAGAGAGAGAAAGAGAGAGTTCAGAGAGAATGTCTGGCAATGTACATGAGTGCCTGCCTACTGACTGCAATGTTATCACTGAAATCGGAAAGAGTAAGGCACTGTGAACATTCTGCAGATTCATGCAATTCACAAGTCAAGAGATAACAACAGAGAAAACAAAATCGTATACATGGAACTTATTGCATTCTTGCTGACGAACCCGAAACTATCCCAGAATCCATTTGCATGCAAGAGATGAACTCAAAATTCTTAAAATACAAGAAAGCTATATATATAAGACTGAAAAAAAATTGACCAGCTGCTTAAATATTAATGAATTGTAATTATACATGAATAGTTAAATATTGGAATAATTTGATGATATATATCTGTTCTGTACAGGCTCATAGTACATTACCAGAAGTAGTAGTGTTGGGGAGCTGGCGGTAGCCATGGAATCCTCCACTTTCCATCTCTTGAACAGTCTCTGCAGAAGCAGCTCTCTCTTTTTATGGTCAAACAATATCAAAGTACTAATAACTTTGAAACCTTGGAAGAAATAAAACTGAAAATGGTGATGAAGAGAGCCAGGTAGTGGAAAATACCTGGCAAGTGTAGATATATATAGTACACAAAAGTTGAAACACGTGGCACATGGGGGCGATTTGAACGAGGAGTTGTAGCTATAGACAGCCCAGTAGTACTAATTGCTGAATTTAAACACTAAACCTTGGCCTTCAATATACACTGTTGAATTTGAAGGCAAAGAGCGGGAGAGGTTGGGAGCTGCCCGCCCAACTCTCAACGTTTGCATTTCAGTGAATGGCCACTGCACACAGTCCTAATCCAATCACCAAAAAGAATGTCCCTCAATTATTGAAATAGCATTAGGTAAAATTTGATATGGTCAAGAATATATAAGACTGTGTCGTTTCATATAATTGAAATAAGGAAATTCTATGTCAGTTAATATAGTGGGATTAATTTTCTTCCAAAAACACAAGATTACGTACATTCCCCCGACGATCAAACTCAACAGATGTATTCCTTTCCAAAAGTGAAAGTTGGCAAAACGACACCATGCACGGATGGATGGATGGTTACTCTATTCGTATCCTTAGCGAAACGACGCCATGCATTCTTTATATAAACATAATACTATTCTGAGTTTAACAATTATAAACACAGCTCTCTCTTCTAAGAGTAAGAAATTTGGTTAAGGGGTTTTTCTGGGGTTGTGATTATTAGATTGAAGAGGATGGCGGCAGAAGATGGCAAAGGTGGTGGTGGTGGTGGTACTTATTCAATGGTGATGATGAAGATAGTGGTTGCAGTGCTGTTTTTGTCACCTTTTGTGATGGGTCCATTAGCACCTCCTTCTTCTACTGTTCTTGCAATCTTCCCTGTAGTCTTGATGGCCATTCTTGTGTATCTCCATCGTACTTCCAAGTAAAGTAACTATATATTTACTTGTTTGTTCTATCTTTTTTCATAGTTAATATTAATAATTGAATTGATGTTGTTGAAGGATTGTGTAGATGTGTTTGTTCTACTTGTTTTCTGTTGCCTGTCTTAGCAAATTCAATCTTATACCAAGGAACTATTTTGCCCCTCTTTTAATATAACTAAATTTTAGAATGCAACAGGGATTATGTTCCTTGGGTGTGAAGTAAAACCCTGCAGTTTTAGTTCATGCCTGTTCACTGGGATTATGGCAAGAAAATTGATGAGTTCACCAGCCAATGAAAATATGAAACTTTCTGGTCATCAATAAAAGATAAAGGCACAGTGATTGTTCCATCGCCCAGAATAGCAGTTATGTTCCTAACACTGAAAAAAAGTATATAATGCTCAATGGTATAGTTTTCAAATATGTTTGGTAAAACCCTCAATGAGCAGAACTGCAATTAAAGTTTCTGAAATGTGTTGAACTCTGCATATGGTGTGAAACCATCACTCCTGCAAACAAAAAATCTCATGCATCCAAATTGCAATGACAATAAGAACCAATAACTAAATGCACGATTCTCATCTGTTCATTTAATCTTTTAACAGTTTTGTTGGACAAATAATGGCAAAAACCTTTCATGTTAGGATTCAAAGAGGGTATAAAATCATAGGTTTGTAGACAAAAGTTCACTAGAATGAAATCAATGTAACGAGACAGGTACCCACCATTATACGGGTTAAGTTCGCAAAAGACAAATTAGTCGCCAGGATTTTGAGATCACTGGGTGCATGACAAAGGTTTAAACGATAATAACTTCTTCCATATTTACTCCTTTTCAATCTTGGGAACATTACCATAGTTAATAAAGTTTGCGGCATCTCCAGGAGTAACGAGTCCAGTATTTCCAGGAGTAACGAGTCCATTTCTATACAAGATGTCCAAGTCATGAAAATATGGGCATGTCTTACTGTTCTCAGGATGCTTCTTCCCATTCCCCATTGATTTTCGGAAGTACTTATTCATGTTTTCCCATTTTTCTTTACACTTCTTGGCACTCCGATCATAGCCCATATTACGCATACCAACAGATATCTCGTCCCATATGGAGCATTTGGAGCCCATCAAACGAAATTTATGTTCTGAAGCAGTTCGAAGCGTTATGAGGGCTTGTACTTCAGCTTCTGGCCATCTTCTGCTAGAATCACAGGCTTCCGGCCATCTTCTATTGTTTGGATCACACATGATGTCATTTTCAGTGTGATTTCCAACATCTTTAGTTTCACTTTCTTCCACAAATGAGACTGGTCCCGGCTGTGGAATTTGAATTTCATGCCCTAGAACATTCTGGATAAAGGAAATGAGTGCTATGCTACGAGACATCTCTTGCGTTCTCATCTCCTCTTCCCTTTTCATCCTTTCCATCTCTTGCTGCTTCCAAGCTTCTTCTCTTATTATTCTCTCCCTCTCTCTTTTCTCTACCAATTCTATCAACTGCTTATGCATTTGCTCTTGCTTCTCCATTATTCTCATTGCCAAACCTTCAAGAATACTCTCAATCTTTATCATTGTTTTTCTCTTCCTCTTTCGAATTCCAGGTTCTTTACTGTTAGCCAACAAATTATCCCCATCATCAGCCGAAGATGAGCTGAAAACAGAGAACAATCCATCAATTTGAGGTCATTCTACGATATTGGAACAATTATCATGCTGAGGGAGTTAATACCACCGGATAAGGACAAGTAATTTTTACAATAACTGCTCATCCTCATCCAATGATCCAAATATATTCGTAACCATACAATCTGCCATCACAGAATTTTCCATCAATTTGATTCTTCAACAAAAGTAGATGGAGCATCAAATTCATAAAGAACCTACGTAAGGAATCATGACATGCACTCAATATCAGCTCAAAAATCCTAAATTCACAATGAAGCAACAACAACTACTACGCAGTTGCCAATGTGATTGCAATTCAATTGCAATTTGCAATGCTATTAACAACTTCAAAGTCAACATTTGAGACTAAAACCTACCAAATCACTACCAAATGACCACCAAACTCACGCTTTCCCCATTCTCCCTGCTTCTTCACATTCGAAATGATCCAAAAATGTATCCCTTTACCATTTTCCATTTCTACCTTTATATACATTTCAAAAGTTAAACACTTTTTTAAAAGAAGAATAAAGAATAAATTATAAAAACAAAAACTTTGACCTTTAAAATAAAACCTATAAAAAAGGACAAAACTTTCTGGAAAAAAAAAAAAAAACTAAAAAAAAATGATTTATTAATTAAAAAAAAAAACCTTAAGCACATACCTAGAGTCGTCCTCCCAACTACACCAGTCAGCCTTAGGATCCAAACTCTCCTCGACCGAACCGGAGCCAACCTTTTCAGTCTCAAACAAAGCAGTGGACTCTCCAGTGCCGCCGGCACAGAGATGTTCGGCTAGAAAACTGGAAGGATCTTCCGCCGGTGACCGCCTGATCGGTCGCAGCTTTTGCGGCGGCTCATATTTGGCTGATTCAAGCGCAGACGTTAGATCTAACGACTCAGGAAACGGCGTTATCTGTTGCTGGAAGCCGTTTGGCTGCTCGCCGGTTACCGCCTCCATTTTTGTGGTAAATTTTTTAATTTCTTTGAGTGAAGGTGAAATGTTGCTAGTAAATGTTTAGGTTAAAAAAAGGATTATATTACCGATTTCTCCCTCTTTTTCGTAATATTTACGGGAAATACCACTCTGACGTGGCAGCTTTTGGTCCTTACAGTTTCACGGCCCGTTCGGCCAATCTAATTCCACATAAATTTTCCCTGAAAAAATGAGGGAAAAGAAAAAACTTCAATTTTAAAGGATTTTGGAAATTAAATTATTTTCTTGAAAAAAAAAATTCTTTTGATAATTATTGAACTCACGCGCGTAACTACTCCACATGGTGACTTGATAAGTCAAGTAGGTCGTTGGAGTCTCTGAATTGGAGGGTCCACCGTCTAGCCGTCAACGTATTTGATTTTATGTATACTTATTTTAAGAAAAATCTTATCCTTATTCATTTCTCTTACTTATTTTTATTAAAATGATATATAATATTTATACTATATTATATATGTATATATATATATATATAAAAGTAAATAAGAGAAGTTAATAAAACTAAAATTACTTTTACTTTAGTATTATTATTATTTTTTTAAAGTATGATCAGATCGTTGACCAGATCTGCATTGGTTTATTCTCCACTTTATCGCCAGAGTTTCTTGTTTTCAGCCCCCAAATTCACTGCTGCTGAACCAGCATCGTTTTCAGGTATTTTTGCTTGATTTTAATGGTGACTGGTATTGTTTTTCTTATGAGGGGTTTAATGGGTTAGTGGAATATTTGGTGATTAGGCAGAAGAGGAGGGTGTTTTAATCTCAGAGCTATGTCGGCTTCATCATCCCGTACGGTTGCTGAAAGTAAAGTGCAACAACAGGACAAGAAGAAGCTATGTTGTATGTCCATGGAGGTGTTGGTTACCAAATGAATACCCCATGCCTAATCTCTTTGTTTCTATGCTCAAATCATCATATTTCACAAGGGAAACCAGGTGATCCTTTATTTAGGTTCATCATTAATTTAATGTGGGGGTTTACTTTGTACTAGCCCCACTGGGTCGATGTTTCGCTGGCACATCAACGTATTAAATGTTTTAATTACCCTATATACGACTTTTATTAGAATATTGTTTTCTGGACTGGTACTGCCGTGTTATAACGTAGTCAAATTATTGTCTATCCTGTTTAGTTGATTTTACAAATATATGATGTGTTGTAGGGCAAAAAGGTGTTTGGATCAAGTTGCCTATTGAGTTGGTCAATCTTGTGGAACCTGCGGTTAAGGTAGGTCTTAGTAAGATACTTATGCTGAATTTTGAAGTCCATCTTCTGTTTATGTGTTTTTGGTTTTGCCTATTTCAGTTTTTATATGTTATATTGCTGTGCAGGAAGGATTTTGGTTCCACCATGCTGAACCAATTATTTAATGCTTGTATATGGATTCCTGGAGGGGCTCATACTCTTCCTTCCAACGCCTCACATCGAGTGGGTGTCGGTGCATTTGTCATAATGAAAAGAGAGAGGTTTTTTCCCTGCAATTTGTCATTGCAGAGTGGCTTCCTTCTATGATAAAGTGCATAAATTAAGTTATTGCACCAAGAGTATGCTGTGTTCCCTGATATTTTTCATAAATGATCTTAATCATGTTGCCCGCAACCTTTTGTTTACTCATTCTTAAAATTCTTAAACCGGCAGTCGAGAAAGAGTAATCACTCATTCTTAAAACCAGCATTCTTAAGACCAAGAGTCGGGCGGAAAAGGGGGGAAAGCTCTCCATTCCCGGTTCTTCTGTAGCTGGATCCTCCGGAACCACAAGAATCCTTTTAGAGGGATTCCAACTCAGCACTCTTTGAATTTTGAAAAGATTGCTCTTGGAGAGCACAGTCTGAAAGTTGTAAGTTGTGTTCGGGGGATTTGTCGCCGTTACCTCTATGTAGAATCAGTGGAGGCCTGAGAGGGTGGTTTACCCTGTGGCGAGGTCAGCGGTTCAGGTCGCTTATCTCTAACTCGTGAACTTAGCCAATATAAAGCTATATGATATGAAGCACCCAATTCTTTCTGGGTTGGGAGGCCTGCTTATGCACTTGCAGTGTGCTCTTGAGCATGAATCAATTTATATCTGTAAGCTATGGAAGGATGCTTCAAATTGGACTGTTCTTGTTTCTTCTATGATTTGATATGCAATGTTTCACAATTTCTCTTTTTTATATTTTTGCTTCTTAGATCATATAATTTATACTTTATTGTTTGAAACTTTATCCGCTGATCTGAAGATCCTAGCCTTTTGCAAGGGTGATAGTCATTGTTAAAATAGCTAATGATGAAATTTTCCATGATTTACAGATGGTAAGTGGTAACCATATTTTCAAATTTAGAGGATGTCCGTTTAAGTGCCAGCGTCATATACACAGTTCAGTTCGTATATTGTATTATATTGTACAATGGCTCCATGGCTCCTAGCCACGATGCATCTTCTTGCTAGTACTCTTAAATTCTTGATCCAACTATCTTTCCCCTTCTTTATCCAATAGTTGGGCTGCACGAGGGAGTAGTACTCTTCCTCCTTTACTTGCCCTTCCGGGTTTAAACCCAGACTTAACTTCTCACAAATCCTTGGAGGCTTATGCCTTTAGGCCTTGGGGCCATCAGCCTGATTTTTTTTTCTTTTTTAAATAAATAAATAAAAAAAAAGAAATTCCTTTAGGCTGCTTCTCACCTTTTCCACTTTCCTATTTTCCTGATTCTGTTTTGTGGACTGCTGCAAAGCTTCACTCAAAGCTCGTCACTTAGTTTAGTTATAATTATTAAATCTTAGTTGCTGAGTCTGCACAAACAAGCTTATGATTAAATTAGATACAATCATCCTCTTCATCGATATTTTTTTTATTCCATCTAATGTTTCTGTAGGGTAGTTTTTATTATTTCAAGTGTCGAAAATTCATCCCTGAATCTGTGCTAATTTTACTCATTGTATCTGGCAGTGGCAGAAAAGAAGGCAAATCTCATGTGCTGTAAACTTTCTAGATTTAGTTAGTAGATCCTCAATGTATCTCACTTTGTAGATTCATTATTTATTCCATATACTGTGTACTTTCTAGATTTAGTTACTAGATTCTCTTTGTACCACATGTCGCAGATTCATTTGTCTTCTCCTCAACTCTTTTTTTCTCTTCATTCCTTTGAACTTTTTAGTGTGCGCTTGTCTTCAATCATTGTTTACTGTTGTGCTGGAGTTCCTATCAGTGTTTTTGTTTTTTTTTTCAGTGGCTTCAATCATTTATTGAAATTTTGGTTTTTCTTATCTCAATGATAGCTGCTAGTTGTCCAAGAAAATAGTGGGAGATATCGGGGGTCAGGTATGTGGAAGATTCCTACTGGAGTTGCTGAGCAGGTACATATAAAAGAGTTAGCATTTTGTTATAGTAAAAGGGCTTTAGTGTATATTTCTCCACTTGCTAAGGTTTATAGTCTCCAGGGAGAGGATATCTGTATGGCAGCTGTAAGAGAAGTCAAAGAAGAGACATCAGTAAGTATGATTTTGTTGATCTATATATCCAATTAAGTAAGAGTTACAACATAGGGCGTGTAATTTGAGCTTCTTGCGATACTACTTTATTGTATCAATCAAACTTTTTATTGACTGAGGTTTTTGTTGATTCAGATTGATGCTGAGTTTGTTGAAGTATTGGCATTCAGGTATGGAGTTCACTTGAAATTAAGATTGTTATGCAGAATCAAGCCACTTTTTTCCAAGTTAAAAATTTATGTGTCCTTTCTAAAATCTAGGAACTTGGCTAACTTTTTCCCATATGCTCATATGGTTAGGCCTGGTTGTCGGTCGATCAGATGCTTAATGCAAGTATCTCCTTTTGAGTTTGGAAAATGCTACTCAAAGGACAACAGAAAGCAATATGCTGTTATTGCTCTCCATGTTTTCTACATACATGCTTGCTCCAGTATAAGAATGTCATCATATTGCATAGTTGGATAAAAGTCACATACTATTTCAGAATGGAGAAAACTAGATTTAACTTTCTCGTTTTTTAATTTTCATCACTTTCTTGAAATTATGTTCTTCTTTTTCTTTACAGACAAAGCCACAAGGTCCAAACATACTTTGAGAAATCGGATTTATTCTTTTTGTGCATTTTGCGACCCCTTTCCTTTGATGTTAAAATGCAGCAAACTGAGCTAGAGGCAGCCCAGGTAATTATTTATTCCAAATGGAGAAATAATGATAAGAATTTATTTATTTTTGCTTTTGGATGACAATATTATAAATGTATAAAATTGCTAACTTCCCAAATTATCATTTATTGCTTTCTAATTCATAATTTTAGTCTAAATTTTCGAAGGTTATCATGTTCAGAAGTAATTTGATCCTTGCTCAAGTTTATGAACAGACTGTTCTCACATGGTTGTTTCTAACTGCCTGCAGTGGATGCCATTGGAAGAATATTTGAATCAACCTTACGTCCAAAAACAGGAGCTTACAAAGTACATAATTGATATAGGGTTGGCAAAAATAGACGGCAGTTACAATGGATTTTCTCCCGTGCCAACCACATCAACCTTCTCTGATGAAAAGAACTTATTATACTTGAATACTGCAGACCTCAAGCGCAGTAATATCTAAGGGGGTGTTTGTCTGAGTTTATGAAAATTAACTTATAAACAATTGATTTTAGCTTATAAGCATTTGAAATTTTAAGCAATTACGTGTTTGGTTAAAGTACTTATAAGTGACTGATAAGTAATTGAATTATTTGGCTCTCTACATTCAGAGAGTTAAATTTCACTCTCTATCCTAATTTTAATTAATAAACTACAGGTTCTTATGTATTTTATTTATTAATTCTCTCTCCTATTAAGTCTCTTTCTTAAAAATAAAGAGCATCTTCATTAAATTTAAAGAGTTTATTGGATTTGAATAAAAATTGTATTCTTTATATTTTAAAATTAATGAAAATGCTATTTTTTTATATGAAATATGCTCTTCAAAATAAAGAATACCATTGAAGATGCTCTAAGTTCAACTTATAAACTCAAAAAAGTTATAAACAAACAGGTTAATTTAATTTTAGAGTTTTATAAGTTAATTTGACCAGCTTATAAGCTTAGACAAACACCCTCTAAGTTGTCTATCAAAGTCAAATTTGGGCAATGGTACTAACCTAGGTATCCAAGTTGTCCATCAAAATCAAATTCGGGCAACGGTGTTAACCTAGGTATCCTTAAAAAAAAGACGCTAACCTTCCAAAGGATTTTGAGATCAGCATCAACACCTCGTAGAAGACTACAGTATAATAGAATATTGTAGTTTTTTAGGAGCTTATTTTGATGAAAAACAACTTAGGGTATGTTTGGCTTATTATTTTGTCCATATTCTTAATCCTATTCTCCAAGTAATGTTTGGTACATGATGGGGGTATTTTTGTCATTTTATATATTGAGGTGTTTAATTAAATTAGTAAACCTAGGGACTTTTTTTTATAAATTTTTAAATTTTATCTCGTAATACTCCTCTATTCAACTACCCAATATTATTCCCAAAATCCTATTCAAAATAATAAACCAAATGCACCCTTAGATATTACTATTTTAGATCAGCAAATTGTCTTCTACTTCTTTATTTTTTATTGGAAGGACACTAACCTCCCAAAGGATACAGTGGAGGGGTAAAATTGTCTTTTACTATTTTATTCTTTTTCTTATTTTTTTTTCTCTGACAAGAATTTTTTCAGCAAATTTTTTTTGTTTTTTTTCACACCAACTTACTCTGAAACAAATCTAGCTATATGAATGATTTATGACAGGCATGTACACAATTGTTCTACAGGCAAAATAAAAGAGGATGTTCTTTTCATATTTTTGGTGCCATCTTTCAAGAGTTTGATATGATGATTACCAGAAGTTGAACTTGAGTTTGTCTCCATTACTCTGGCGCAGTTTTTCTTCTACCTCCAGTCTACAAGGATTCTTAGGCAGACCATTGTTAAACTTTATAGTTTCCCACTGTAAAAAGTTTGGCCGAAATTTTAGCTTCAACACCTGCATCGACTAAGAAAGGATAAGCAAAGAAGTAGTTGAACAATTTGTGTTTTCAAAACACAAATGGAAGTTTTTGATCTTCAGTCTGTTTCCCAGTTTGGGTAAGTCGTTCCATGCCTGATACAGACAAACAGAGATGTCTCAATATTGAAGCTTTCCCTGCAACTTACAAAGCCATTTGGATACAGATAACTCTTATAACACTCTATTCAAGAAACAATTGAATACCAAAACATCAACAAAATTTGTAAAAAAAAAAAAAAAAAAATCAAGCCATATATGATCTGTTCATCATAAGCAGTGATCGCCATATTTGTGTTATTCAACCAAGCTACTTTGGCCTCCCCGAAGAGGCTCCACTGCCAGTGCCAGATCCATACAGAGGATGATGATGGTGATGATGCCCATATGATCCCATCATCAACATAGTTGAAGACTGTAATCCACTTCCAGTATTCATAACAGTACTCTCTCCTCCTCCTCCATCTCTCTCACACTGTCTTCCCAAAGCAGTTTTTTCACCCTCCATCTCTCTAAACTTCTGCAAATATATCTTCAGTGGCTCAACATACTCTTCAAATCCCAACGTCGTCATTGCCCACAACAGATCATCTCCATTTATCGTCTTCCTCTTCTCTCTCTGGCACTTATCCGACGCCTCTCCCGTTATAAAACTTATGAACTCAGACACACACTCTTGCACTGTCTCTTTTGCGTCCTTCGAGATCTTCGCATTAGCCGGCAAAGCTTTCTTCATTATTCTACTCACGTTTGCTATTGGCAAGAACCTGTCTTGCTCCCTTAGCGATGAATGATCACTGTTGGAGTGGCCTCCTCCTCCTCCTGACTCGTTGTCTGAGTCAGCCATGAATTAATCAAACTGAGTGACTGAGTTGTTCTAGTTTAGTGCTTCCAAGTTGAGTGCTTTAACGACAAAGAAGTGTTGTTCGGTAGAGAATGGTAAGTTTGGTCTTTGGTTTTCAATTTTTTATATTGCATTGTCCACGACGTTTGGGATATTATGTACCCTTCATTTGCCGATAAGTTTCTGACAAGTGTCCCTACATTTGGCCCCTCCGATCACTCTCCCAAGAGCCAGCCTCAACCGTTGATTGTGGTGCTCACCACACGAGTTTTATTAGCCGACAACAAAATAGTGGGACAAAACCACCTTGGTGGTCGGATGGGTTAATAAAGATTTCAGAATGTATTATTCAAGAGATTTTAAATTTGATTTCTCTTAATTGGGTTTATCCAGTCGCTTGGTAGTCGGATGGGGTAATAAGGATTCTAAAGTATATTATTCAAGAGATTTTAAATTCGATTTCCTTCAATTAGGTTTATCCAGTCGTTAACTTCAAGGCTTTGAGAAATTTCGAGAGATTAATCTCCCCCGATCATCAACCAAAAAAAAAAAAAAAAGTGGGATAAACATATCTTTTAGACCCTACTTCACAATTGACATGAACTTACCCTAAAAAACTAGTTAAAGGAGAAATTTTAGAGATTGATTCAAGTACATATAAACTGGTTCAGACAGCCCAAATCACCCCTAAAAAAAAAAGTGGGATAAACACATCTTTTAGACCCTCCCTCACGCTCGGAGAGGAACTTCCTATAAAAAATTAGTTCAAAAGAGAAGGAATTCACACACACACTATATATATATAGTCGTCATCCTTACAATTGGTGATGAGCATTGCAAGGTTGATTATATTGTTAAACCCTATCAATCAAATTCTTAATCTAAGGACCAATAAATAAAGCCAATCAAATTGCTTTGAATTATTAAGACCCACATTGGATGGTCCTGATCTTGCAAAGTGGAACTTGATGGTGGGTTCCATTTGGTACGTGGCTAATCGATGATTGACAAGTTCACTCGGCTTTGATTAATTTCTTATGCGCTTTTGTTTTTATGATTATCTCCACGCACCATATTATTCATATGAATATTAAGGATCTTAATTAGTAGCACTTGGACTTTAAACGTGGGGAGCAGGAGTTCCACTACTACAATAGTCCATCCTCAACAACCAGCAATCATCCATTTTGTTTCTTATGAGAATCGGATATATATCATAACAGTAAATCAAATTAACAACGTGGGACAACTTAAACTTAATGCTTCTAATTAAGGGTGTTCAAAAGAACCGGTTAGAATCATAATCGATGGATACCTAGGGTTTGGTTTCGGTTCCTACGCATAATTAATCGTCAACTGATAGGTTTCGGTTCCAAATTTTTGGAACTGTTACTGTACAGTTCCGGTTCCGGTTCCTATAACCGGAACTAGGAACTAGGAACCGAAACTAATATAAAATAAAATTAAAGATTAGAGGGGGTTAATAAAAACTTTTGTAGAAAAAGTAATGTGAATACATTTATATTTATATTTCATAACATTTAAAGTAAGTTTGTTTGACTTTTAAGAATCTACCTTTACAAAGTAATAGAGTTTGTAATTTTGAATTGATAATTTGTAATTTAATTTTTGTTAATAAGTGCCAAGTGGGGGTGGGGGGGGTGGGGGGGTATTTGTAAGTTTTTAAGGTTTTTTTGCTATTTTAAAAACTTTTGGTGGGTCATTTAATTTTACAGGGTACCCAGAACTAGAACGGAAACCGATGGTTCTGGTTCCTAAGCACCCAGAACTAGAACCGAAACCGTTGTTACAGGTTCTAGTTCTGGGTACTTAGGAACCAGAACCATTGGTTCCGGTTCTGGTTTCAAATTTTAAGGAACCGTCGGTTCCAGTTTTGGTTCCTTCAAAAAGTGCAGAGTACCTAAAACCGAACACTCTTACTTCTAATACTGTTCCTCACACTCAATGCAAACTCGAAAGAGTTTTCTAACATGACAAAAGTTTTAGGCCCCAAAAATTTATCAAAGTGATTTAGGAATAATTGAAGATTGAGTGGTGAAGTCTCTAGACATGGATAATCTCCATTCTGTCACTTCCATGGGAGCAAGCTTAGCTCTTAAGTATTTGAGAGAATAATGGGGTCAACTCATCAGTAGTCTCTTCCTGGGCCCTCAGCTGCTCGCCCCCCTATCAAATGACTTACCAAGGTTTTCTTTATTGGCTTTATTATAGGATCCATCCATCAGTTTCTTATGGCTTAGGTTTATTCTTGTTATTTTGTTCGAAGAGATAATGTTATTGGTCCGACATATTGACTTACCATGTTATTGGTCTGACAAATTGACTGACTATTTTTTTTTTTTACTAGGGATGATCGGACTAGTTTGTACACACCTTAATTAATCTTCTCAAACCTTAAAACTACGGCAAGAGCTCCAATAATCATCCCTATTAATAGTTGTGAGGATTCGAACTTAGGAGACCATGTTCTATCTTTCTCTTACTTTTTTACCATCAAGAAGATTCGAACTTGAGAGATTAAGGGCTTGCTTGGTATATTATTTGAAATATGATATTTTGAATAGGATCCCGCCCATCCCAATAATAAAAGTTTATAAATTAACAAGAATACATCCACCTACCCAACCGACTGCCAGTAGCTGACAGTCGCTAGAATGGCACATGATCGACTAGATCTAGTCGGTTGTGCACCAATTTGACCTTTTTTGGCCAGATCTATTGTGTATTTGATCGAAAATGGTCAAATCTATAGCCACATGCGACAGGATCGCACGTCGTTTCGTCGTTGGCGATGGCAGCGATGGTGATGATTGCTGGAGTCCGACAGTGACTTGGGTCCATGTGTGTGTGTGTTTGTTAATTTATAAACTTTTTCTGTGAAAGGTAATTGTATGTTTTGAGTTGAATAAAATATGATTGAATTTTGAATTATATTGTACCAATATTAAAATAAACACGTTTTTTACTGTTTACAATAGGATAAAATAATAAAATAGGGATTTGAAAAGTTAATCATGAAATCACCCCATGGTAGTTTAAGTGACAATAGGATTGATGTTTTAATCACACTATCTTATGATTATCAATAGCTGTTAGCCACTTATGGGAAGGTAAATTAAATATTAATTATAAGCTGCTTCTCTCCAGTTCTACACATTGGGCCTCAAACTTCAACTACATGAACCAACCTTTTCCTTGCAAATTAACTGCTCCAATTCTCTTTCATCTACACATGGGCATGGCCCGGCCTTAAACTTATTATTATATTATGGCCGAATGACTTACACCTACCCAAGGTTTGGCGGGACGACGATTGATACCAAAAAAGTTTTAAAACGATAAACAAGTACTTTTTATCAGTGAAAAGACTAGAATGTCCTTTGAGAAATATTAGTCTATTTTTTTAATTATTTTTAGACCCTTTAAGTTTATTAATTCCATCAAATACCCTCAGAAAAAAGTTTAAAAATTAACAAAAACATCTTCACTCACCCATACTTGCCAGATTCCCGTGGCCACCATCGGTGGTAGCTGGAACATGTCACAATGGTCTACGCCACCACCGTAAATAGCTAGTAATTCACAGATCTGGCCTTTTCTGGCTAGATCTGACGTGAAAAGGCCAAATCTGGTCGAAAACTGACGGCCAAAGAAATGGTCGTCGAGTGTTGTGACTGTCGACGGCCAGATCTGGCCGGAAAAGGCCAGATCGATGAATTATCGGCCATTTCCAGTGGTGGCGTAGACCGTTGTGACTGATTCCGGCTACCACCGGCAGTGGCTGACGGAATCTGGCAAGTATGGGTGGGTGGGGTTGTTTTTGTTAATTTTTAAACTTTTTTCTGGGGGTATTTGATGGAATTAATAAACTTAAGGGGTCTAAACGTAATTAAAAAATAGACTAATATTTCTCAAAGGGCATTATAGTCTTTTCACTAATGGAAGGTACATGTTTGTCATTTTGAAACCTTTTGGATACCAATCTATCATTTTACCAAACCTTGGGTAGGTGTAAGTTGTTTCCCCTTATATTATTTATAATATCATTGTTTTCATTTTCACAACATTTACACATTAGCTTTGAACATATGCTCAAAGATGTAAATAACTGTCGACAAACATAGCAATGAAAAGAAGACAAAAAAATAAATAAACTAGGTACATTATACTTTCAATACACCCATTCGTGCGTACTGGGTAGGCCATATGATTAGGAGGAATTGGAGATAGTGTGGATATGCATAAAATCTCATGTTAGATTCCCTATATAAGCATCTACGATTTAAGTGGAAGGTCATGGTGATGGGTTGTTGTGTTAGTCTCCTCCAAAGATTAGTTGAGATGCACATAAGTTGGCTCGGATACCTTGGTTACAAAAAAAAAAAAAAAAAAACTTTTCATATGGTACTTGATCATGTGATACCCTCGTTGTGTTTAAACACTTGCAACTTACGCAAGTTTCGACTAACGACCCCTTACTTAAATCATGGATGCTTATATAGGGAATTGAAGTAGCTTATGCAATCAAGGATGTTCATATGAAGAATCAAACCAGTTTATGCAAGCTTTGACAATAGCCCTCCACTTAAATCACTGATGCTTATACGAGGAATGGTATTTGAGACCGTGACTTATCCATGATATTTCTAATTCACCAACCTAACCATCAAGACTACCCACTACAAGAAATATAACATTTAGGGAAAAAACATTTAGTGACGAAGTCAATTTGTCCCAAAATGGTTATCTTAGGGGACAAGTTTATAATTTCGTCACAAAATGTTTAGCACTCAATCTCTGCCTGCGCCAACAATGCCATTTGGAGGGACCCATGGATGGGTCATTGCTACCAAGTTCCAATTGTCACAAGTCATACACTTTGTACAATATACCATTCAATGAATTATATTATCATTTCGCAAAAAAAAAAAAAAAAAATAATAATAATAATAATAATACACACCATAAGAAGATAATAAATCAATTTACAGGGGCCATCTTCTTATGAGATTAATGGTATGCTGTATGCTTCAATGTGGCCATGGACAAATCCATCGCTCCCACTCACTCGATCTCTTAAAATATTCTCCCTCAAGTATCCCTAATTTTACTCCACCCACCTCAGCCTTTTGTATTTTGAGGTGTATAGATTACCCACCTACGAACCCTAAACATCAACAGTAAATAAAACCAAAACAATACAAAAGTAGATTTGTACAGTTGGGGCAGGCTTGACCATATGTATAGCTCCTCCTTCTTCTTCTTCTTCTTCTTCCCTTAAGTTAAGGTTACAGATATATTTATATGAAACGTGTATAATTGTATTGCGTTTATTAAAGCTTTGGTAAACGAATGTTTTTCTGCCTAAACCACATTGATTAGACGATAAGAGTAGCTTACCAACCTCCCTTTAACTTCCAATCCAACTTCCCAACTCTCTATCTTTCTTCCTTCTGCATGCCGTCACTTTTCTACCCCTTTTCCATTATCGAAAATTCAATCTCACCCTCTTTTGTTAGGTCAACTATGAAGGCTATGGACGTAACTTCAACGTAATTTCTCTATAAAAACCAACTGTGGAGCCTGACTCTCCTTTACGAAACATTCTCGGAAACAAAATTTTCAACACAAAGAAGATGAGCTACTTTCTCGGCTGCTGCGGCTCCAGGTTCTTGATCGTGTTCTCTTTGTTCTGTCTTCTTCAAGCTTCGACTGCGGAAGAGGGTAATGTTAATGGGAACCTGTTATATCAGTTATCAACGAGGGAGGAGCTAGTGCAAATGGCTGGTTATGGAGAGGAGAAGCTATCAACCGTGCTGGTTACAGGAACTGTTCTTTGTGAAGCTTGTTTGCATGGCGAAGATCAACTTCGTTCATGGCCAATATCAGGTTCATATATAATTTAACTTTCTTAATTAATCACTTTCTTTCTATCCTTGTTGATGATCTTACACTATTTATCATTTAGAAACTTACAAACCTAAACAAAACCCCGATGTGAACGAGATTTAATCTCAAAACGTTTCCGAACCAGTTACTTTACAGAAACCTGCAATAAGCTTAGAGCCTGTAAATAAGTTGTATGAATCATGCTTCACTTAATCGTTCTTCTATTTCTGGTAATCGCCATGGTTTTTAAAGTTTACGTTATCAATATTTGAACTTTCTTCATTCTCATTGTTAATCAATTTTATTCAAGACTAAACCTGGATTTGAGTTCTTTTGTAAGTGCTTTTGTTATTCATCCTTGTTTAACCTATAATTTTGTGTCGTCTTCAATAAACATTGTCACCAAACTTGTGATCAAAGAAATCAGTGGCTTCTAGGGAGGACGTCATATTAAGTGCTGGTGAAAAGTCGCAATTAAATATAACAGTCGAACAACTCAAAATCAAGATACATATACACGAGCTAGATTTATATATACCTTAATTTATTTATTTTCTTTTAAACCCCATCATTGATTATGCATTAATTATCTTATTTAAGTTATCGATGATTGACCATGTGCTCATCCGGTTTGACTTGAAATCTCAATCTCCGCAGGTGCTCTGGTGACGGTTTACTGCCATAACAGCCATAGAAGAACCATATCAAAGTCTCAGGCTGTGACAGATGAATATGGGGATTTCATGATTGATCTTCCTTCACACTTGCATGCTATTCCCCACTTGGAAAAGTCATGTTCAGTTAAAGTTCTTCGACTACCCAGGAACTCACTCTGCAGACCAACTTATATTAACAGGCACAGAGGATTGGTACTGTCATCGGTTGGGAATGGCATCCGAACCTATGCAACCGGGAGAATGAGGTTCTTGCATTCGACATCCAAACCCTTACGAGCATGTACCGGTAAAGGCAGCAATGACAAACAGATTGCATGGTGAACAAGCAGATTGGGATATGGCACCGTGGCTCATAGATGGCGCTTCAGTCACAGCATAGAGTTACAAGAGTTCTATCCCACTCAAGCTGTATATGAGTTCTGGAAGTATATATATACTGCATACATGTATGTAAATAATCATATTTTGTTTCATTTTGAGCGCCGAGTGATTCTAAATGATGTTTAGGATGCTCTGAGTGCTGATAATGTAATCATTATTTGTCGCACCGCAAGCTTTTTTAAGAAAAGAAAGAAAGAAAGAAAGAAAGAATGGTGGCGTGTTTCATGGCCATCTTTGAGTTCAGATAAAAATAGATGATATGCTAAAAGACATCTACACACGCCCACAAGGGAATTAACAAGAGCAGTATAACAGAGATACTCAGAGCCAGAGGACAACAAATGCTCAAGACACGTATATTGATATTAATTGCATCCATTACATCTACAAAAATGGTAACTCAAAACGGCAACCCAACATCTAGATCTTGAATTTGTGGCAAAATAATGGATTTACAATCATATCCCAAAAACAAATTATCCGAGAGGAAGCATTTCCTGAATGCATTTAAAAATTTAAAAGAACTTAGGACTTCACACGTTTTTCCTCAGCTTCAGAAGCTATGTATTTTGCTACATCAGCACAGCATGTAAGCTTATCTACTTTCTCTTCAGGGATTTCAATGGAGAACTCTTCCTCAAAAGCCATAACGAGCTCCACCCTGTCCAGACTATCCAGGCTCAGATCTTTCTGAAAATCAGCCCTTTCAGTAACCTGATCAATGGACAAATGAAACCATTATTAGGTTTACTGCACTACTTTCTTGCCACAGACTGTAAAGGAAGGATGGTCTAGAGTTGGAAAAGAAGAAAATTGTCTTTTTCGGCCTAGAACATTATGCAACAGGCAACATTTATGTAAAACGACCTAATCAACCACAGACAGGAGTCAATAGCAGAGAAATTATAAAACAAAATGGGACATCAATTAATTACCTTAGATGCATCAATTTTGTCAAATTTCTTAACCAGTCCGATCACTCGACCCATAATTTGATCAGGGCTGGTAACGGATGAGGCACACATCTGCCGGCTCAGTCTGTTGAGCACATTCCCACCTCCATTAGATAACCAGGGTTCACTATATCTCCTCACCCTCACATACCTCAAGATGGTGTCTCTAATGCTTTGCATATTGACAAGAGCTAAAATCAAATCACACAAGATATCAATATTAAAAATAGCAAGCAAATGGCACAAACAAAAACCAATACTCAGATTCCAGAAATTAAGTTCCAAGTCCTAACCCTCTAAAGACTAAACTATGCATATCAATAAAAGCTTCAAATGGCACACATGTTAATAATTGAAACAGCAAGTTGAGTTATGTTCCATCAAGGAAACTTCTGGGAAAATTCAAGGCAAAAGAAACAGAACATGTGACAACATTGCATTACACGTTTGAAAACATCCAAAACTACAAACTTTATAACAAAACATCATAAAAAGATCAAAACCCATGTTTAAAATTTCACACCCAGAAACCAAAACTACAAACATCAAACAAAAACTTTTCAACTTTTCAACTTTTTTTCATGCGCAATAAAGTTTTAAATTTTGAAAAAAAAAAAAAAAAAAAGATACAGAACTGAAATCCAGTACTAGAAACAAAGTAATGTAGAAGGGACTGGTGACTCACGAGGCTGTCTCCGTGGTGATGACAGCGACTTGTAGAATTGTTTGGTAAGTGTTTGCTTTATTGCCTCTGAGAAATAGTTCACTTGAAGGAACCGTTAAGTTAGATGGAAAGATGTGGAGTCACTCAAATCACGTCAAGCCTGGGCGTGGCTCACTTGTACATATAGGAGGCCTAGAAATTGGCCCTATTCCAAAAAAGGCAAATCCCATATTATTATTAAAGGCATTAGGTTTTGGGCATACCTTAAAATTTTCAAAAATAAGTAAAGAAAAGGACATCTTTATCTTTTTATTGTGAAAAAATATGTCAGACATATTGAAACTTCTGGTCTGTCTAAATTTATGGTTTAAACGGGTTGTAGTATATGCATTTTCTACACATCTTTAAAAGCAAAATTTTACAAGGTAAATCATTCATGATCGATGGAATGAGATGATATAACTCTTAAATATATTATTCAAGCGGTTTTGAGTTTGATCAAGTGAAGGTTTTTAACTTTAAGATTTTGAGGATTAATAGAAGGTGTGCACAAAGTGACCTAATTATTTCCTATTGCAAAAAATAAAAAAAATAAAAAAAAATTACAAGGTCTTGAAACTTATTATAGGCAATCGTTTTGTTTATTAATTATTAATACAATTTGAAAATTATTTAAAAAAAATAATAAGCAAAGAGAAGAAGAGACTATGTCAAATATGACGTGACTTAGCACCCATCTCATTCATTGGGCCACCATTGGATCTTCCAAATTCAGCGGAGTTATAATTATTTTTATAATAATTCTCATTGTAATTTAACTTTCGCTTTCAATTGGGCATCTGGGATTTTTTGCCATTTCCTTTCTTTTTTTTTGTTTTAATAAATAAAATTAGTGAGGTTGTTTTTTATTTCAACTCACGGTGCGAGTAATTTCAATGACGAATTATGTGTGAGTGAGGGATTCCTCAACTGGGTTTTGATTAATTTAATTATTTATTAATAATAATAATAATGGGGAATGTGAATGGAAGGGAAGATGGAAGTAGTAGCCCATCTGGGGTTGAAGAAGGTGAAAGTAATAACAGCGTTCAAGAAGAAGGCATGGGTGCGCCTGATGGTTTGATGGGTCAGTCGCCTCCTCATAGCCCCAGAACCACCCACTCCCCTCTCATGTTCACTCCTCAGGTTATTGTTGTTTCTTCAATTTTCATTTTTTTTTTCTTATTTTAATGGTTTGTTGACGTAAGTGAAGGGCTTTAGATTTGATTTGTATTTATGAATTATGATGAAAGTTATTGTTCTTTATTGAATTTGCTTGTGGGGTTTTGTTTTTGTAAGTTTTTGTTTGGTTAATTGATGTTGATGGAGCTGAAGATGTGTTGTTTGATTGATTAGATTGAGTTCTGCTGTGGAAATTTCGGTTTTTCATAGTTTGCAATATGTTTGAGGAAGGTCGATTGTGGGGTATTGTTTGTTTGGTTAATTGATGTTGTTGGAATTCAAGGTGGGTTGTTTTGATTAATTAGATTGATTTCTGCTTTGGAAAGTTCAGATTTTCAGAGTATGTGATTTGTTTTAGGAGTTATGGTTAAATCCCTTGGGAGAATTCTTGGAGATGCCATCAGATATGATGTTATTTGTTCATTGTTAGATTTACGTGCTCACCACTTGTTTGATTTTAGTTCTAGGAGGATTTATCAGGCTTCATCAGTTAGTTTGGGTAGAAAGCTGTGCCAAGGAGTTGATTCAGTTTCATGTTTTAGTTGGATCAATGAAATTGTGAATTAGCATGAACCATCCACACCGGTTAGGAGGCATGTTGATTAGTTCTCAATTTTGATTTTTCTGAATTAGGAAAGAACTTGCATGTGTGAAGCTCGGTACTTATTGTGATGTTTATTACTTTTTGAAAAGTTTGGTTTTCATCTTTTCTCTATGTTTCTGTTTTAGGTCCCAGTAGCTCCATTACAAAGACCAGACGAGATACACATTCCAAGTCATTCATGGATGCAAAGCAGTTCATGTTATGAAGATGTCAGCTATGAGATTGGAATACCAACAATGATTACATGGAGTTATGATGGCCAGGAAGTAACAGTGGAGGGATCATGGGATAACTGGAAGACGAGGTTAACAAAAACTCGCCACTTATTTATATATATTTATTCTTTTAAGTTCATTTCCTTTTTTCTATTATATGTGCATACTTCTCTGAAATGCCTCACGCATTGCGTTCTTGATCAGAATTCCCTTGCAGAGATCAGGAAAAGACTTCACTATTATGAAAGTACTACCATCAGGTGTTTATCAGTACAGGTTTCTTGTTGATGGACAGTGGAGATATGCCCCTGACTTGCCTTGGGCTCAAGATGATGTAGGCAATTCTTACAACATCTTAGACCTGCAGGTAATATTTTGTTTCTTTTTGAAGTTTGCATGTCTGCAAGATGAATGTGATGGTTGTAACTAAGAGCATTCTTGTTTATATGTCATTATCAGTTGGATTTTGAAGTCTGCTATGGGTCTTATGTGGTTACTCATGACATGAGTGTCGTGTCAGAACTTTAATGAATGGTGATGAAAACTTGATGCAAAACTGGAAAGATTAGTGTAAAGATGTTTCTTTACTTTCCTTCTCATAAAAATTCCTTTACCTTCCTCTGGGTCTGAGTCTTGGATGTTTCTTAGAGAAAAGAACGGGGTGGGGAAAGAAGAAAAAGCCAAGCCGGCAAAGAGGTTGTGGGAGGGGTTGGTATTCGAGTAGGTTTCTGGCTTAGCATTTCGTAAATGTATGATATCTCTATCTAGATGTAGTCTTAGTATGAACATGTTCAAACACGAATTTATGTTAGCTGATTCATGTACAATTTGCATGGCTAGTACTTGTAGAGTGACTGAAGTATGATATCAGGTAATTTAGAAGTTGAAGCTTTTAAATTTAGTATTTCTTTGACATTTAGTTGCATATGATGCCAATACAGCTTATTCTCATATATTCATTGTCTGTCCTTGTTCTCAATGTGTGGTTGTCCATGGGTTATTATTGGTAGTTTTCTCTTTTGAGAAGCCAAATTCATTCTGTATAAGGGTGACAATGTAAGAACTAGGAAGTGTAAGTTTCAAAGACCATTGGAAAAGCATAGTGGAATATAAACATACCTAAGACTACAGAATTCAGATTTAAGTCTATGAAAATTTTGATTTTTGTATCTTTATATAAGTTAAAAGGTAAAATATTCTTTATCCCCATTTACAATGGATTTTTCTTTCCTGCTCAAGTAAATGCCCATTTTAGTTTTGGTTTTTTTGTTTGTTTGACATTCTCTAGAGATGAACTCACGTTCTTTAGATTACAAGAGATCTCGAGCTCCCGAGACTGGAGCAAAGTTCTGAAAGGGAACAATTTTCTTGATTGAATATTCGTGGGTTCGGATTTTATTGACACTTAATTGGTTCTGGTGGACAGAAACTATTCTCTAGAATGTGCTAGAAAGTATGATTGCTTGATGGCAGAAAATTTTCAGTGATGACCAATGGGTGCTTATTGATGTGTTTTGCAGGAGTATGTTCCTGAAGACCTTGAAAGCATATCTAGTTTTGAACCCCCTCAGTCTCCTGAGATGAGCTATAACAACTTGCAACTCACTGCTGAGGATTTTGCAAAGGAGCCGCCTTTGGTTCCTCCACACATGCAAATGACACTGCTCAATGTGCCGGCATCCAACATGGAGATTCCACCTCCTCTAGCAAGACCTCAGCATGTGGTCCTTAATCATCTTTATATGCAAAAGGGAAATAGTGGTCCATCTGTGGTGGCACTTGGTTCAAGTCACCGATTTTTAGCCAAGTATGTGACGGTGGTGCTGTATAAGTCCATGCAGAGGTAATAATATGCTACTTCTTCGTCCGACTTTCTAGTCTTCAATCCCAGAATGTAGTTATTATATTTATCAAGAGTTAGATGCTTTGGGATGGTGTTGGTAAACTTATTAAGCAGTCATCATACCGAAACTTCATAGCTGTATTAATATTTGATGACCATTGATCCAACACTTTATTTGCTTGGTCTTATTGCATTATCTGGCCTTTCTAGCGCTAGAAATTTTTGATCATGTAAAGACATTTTTTTATTTGCAAATTTCTTGCAGCTAAAAAAACAACTACAAAGTGGATTAAACCATCGATTTTGACACGCCCTGTTAAATGGAACTAATTTATTTGGCTGGATGCTTGATCTATACTTTACCTTTTTTTTTCATGTATGATTAAGTTTTCTGGAATGCCCCAAAAGTTTTTAGATGTTTGAAACTACCCCTTGAATTCTAATTTGTAATAAGAATGCCGATTGGGTTACTTGCCCAAAAAGACAATACATGATAATAGTAATGCTCCAAACCCGACTAGAGGATGCGGGTGGTGATATTACAAATGGCCGAATGATCCACATAGTTAGGGTAAGCTTTGTGAAGTGTGTAGCCTGTATATGTGCTGTCTACTTACAGCAATTAAAAGTAGTGGTGAGTAGTGTTTTAAAACTCGGCCTAGCCTGGTCGGTTGAATTGGTTAAACAGGGACTCAGGGCCTTCACCAGGTAGAGTTACAAATTTTCTTATTCATTGAAAGCCCTAAAATTTAGGAAATTGATTCATGAACAATTGAAGGCTGAGATGTTAGGGGTTTTGAAGAAGAAGGGTTGGTGAGTGGAATGGTGACAACGAAGGTGATTTTCAATGAGTGAATTGATCAGAAATCGAAAAACTAAGCCGCTGGAAAAAGCCCACTGTTGTCGATGATTGGGGAGGTAAAAAGGGGAGGGGTGAAATGGGTTTTTGTCAGGAGGTTGACGAGAGTGTTTTCATGGTGATGAGAAATGTTGTCATCATTGGAAATAGACCCTATTTGTCGATGCCAACACCAAAGGTGGTGTTTGGAGTGTTTTTACAAGATTTTAAACCTATAGAGACTTATAGAATTTTTAAGGGTATTTTTGTTAGATTTCAAACCTTTGAATACCGGTTTGATGGCGAGACCTGGCCACTTTTGTCGGGTTTCACCCTGGGTTGGTTTTTAAAACAGTGAGAGATATTAGCAGAGATTATAGGAAGGAAATGATGATATAACGAGCAAAGCAGGGCACCATTTCACTTTCTGAACCTATAAGGACTTACAGAATTTTCAAAGGTATTTTTGTTGGATTTCAAACCTTTGGGCACCGGTTTGACAGCGAGACCTTGGGTTGGCTTTGAAAACAGTGGTGAGGGATATTAGCAGATATTATAGGAAGGAAATGATGATATAATAGCAAAGCAGGGCACCATTTCACTTTCTGACTAAGTAGAACTAAAGAAGAAACAGTTGAAGGTAGAAGGAATAACTTGTTTTTTTTATTTATAAAGTAAGCTACTACTAATAGCAATATGGCACTTAAGGGCAGTAATTTTCTGCTACCAACCATACAGAAGCAGCTTATCTACTTCACTTCTAATGAGAGTAAATAAGCATGTACAAAATTGAGAAGCAAATAATATGTTACATATCATTCTCCCTATCCAATATTAGCTACTTAAAAATTGGGCATCCTTTAGCAGCAATTCCTGGAGCAGTTGGACATGTTGCCAGAGGACAATGATCAACATGAGTGCCCCACCACTTCAAGTTTACACCCTCGTTTTGAAAAGCAAAGAACAACAGAACACCCATAAATGCAGTTCCTGCATCCAGTGCGGCTGACAGGACATAGTTGTATTTCTGCCACCAGCGTTTGTGGTATCGGAACACGAAATAGTTGAAGATCATTCCGGTGACAAGCCAGCTTGCTATATTGGTGGGAGTTGCCGGTGGCATTCCAGCAAATCCATAAGATATAACAGGGATGTTTATCAAGGGAATCCATTTCTTTTCTGGATAAATTTTGCTCAATACCCAGACAGGAACTGGCAAGACTGCTCCGATGAGGAACAACCATACCAAGTTGCGGTACATCCCTCTGGGTCCAAACAGTCGCTGTGGTCCAATCAGTCCCCAGATAACAGAAGCATCAAAGGTTACTTTGTACTTGGGGCAAGTCCAGGGGCTGTCAGGATGCATTGAATCAACATCACAAATGTTCTCAATACTCTCCAGCATCCACCATGCAACTGCAAGATTGACTATACCTGCTACTAAAGTTCCCACCAACTAGGGAAGACGGAGAAAAAAAAAAAAATCCAATTAGCAAACTAAGAAACAGGGAAGTGAATAAATGGTTTAACGTGATATTTAAGCAGCAAAAACCTGAGCTGTGTACATGCACCGTGGAGGAATTTTCATGTAGTGTCCAAGTAATTCTAGTCTATTCTTTCTCTCTCGTACCTGAGTGCTGATTCGACCGTAAATCTTGAAAAGAAGATTGGCAATTGGCTTTCCTGGTAGAACATACCCAATCATGAATTGTGCAATAATGTCATATCCAGGTTGCTGCAATGCATTCACAACAATATTAAGGTGTTAATCTTTCTTTTTTCTTTTTTTTCTAGTTCTACCTTGAATTAATAATTTACATTTAGTACCTGGTTCGTAGTGGCTTGAATGACACCAATAGGAAGAGTGACAATCCAAGCCAAAGCAAAGGCAAAGAGCATGCCCCACCATGGCAGCTGCACCTCATCTTTCCACACAAAAGACATTAAAAGGGAAATTCCAATGCTTCCTATTAACAGAATATAGAACCACCATTGAGGCACTTGTTTATAACTTTTCATCAGTCTTGTATGGATGTCCACTTTTACATTCTTCATTGCTGATCGGCTCTGCTTCAGAATATCACTAGGCATTGGAAATCAATCAGGAAGGTTAATGATATCGTTCAAACACAGTAAACTGCTTAATTCAAATTTGATTTAAAAGCAGCCTATTACCTTCCATGAAAGAGTGCAACATGAGTGAGGGTTGCTGTAAACCTTGCAAATCCTGATCCGATTGACAGTGCAAATAGAGGACTAAGATAGAGCTTCCCATAACTATCATAAGCAGGAATATTTAGATCATACTGAGGGGTCAAAATCTTGGTGGTATCATATTCATGCCCAGTAGCAGTGAACAACTTGTTAGAAAATATTGGGAATTTTCGAGCATCGAAGGTGTTATACTTCCAGTAACACAATGGGACAATTATGTAGATGAACATCACAAATCCAATCCCAACATTGAGAATTGATGTCCAAGGTGTCACTAGAGGACTGCCATGGTAAGCTGAAATCCCAGCCCAGTCCAATGTAAAGGCACCAATACCGAGTCCATGGTAACCGGAACCAATTTGCTGAGCTGTTATACTGTGGGGCCATGCCCAACACACCCATGAGAAGAATGTCAAGATTGGGAAGATATAGCCAGGGAATGCATAATAAGCAAAGCTTGCCACAAATGCAATAAGGAAAAATTTCATCCTGGTTAGGCCTTTACTATTCGGTTCCTTTTCATGTAGTGCTCTGTAAAAAACATCAAAATTTATAATTAAACAACCTGGAAATTCTTCTGGAATATAATCCTGTGCAAATTCTTCAACACAACAGCCACTAACAAATTAATGAAGAATATCAAAGCCACCAAGTAAAGTAACTCTCATAAAACAAATTCTCACCACTGAACATGCACTGGATAACGACACAAAGATGGAGACAAATTTTCTTCACTTATAATAATTCTAACAAGTATTAATACTGTTGCATAATTGACTGTTTTCCCTTTTAGATTCCACTAAATTATTGATTCCGAATGTATTATTGAGCTTAATTTCTGGGGAAACAAACATAATTCACATAGATAAAACGGATGAAACCAATAATCATATCAATAAAGAGAATAAAACTTGCAAGTCTTACCCACTTAGAATTGAAAGTTCAACAAACAGAAATGCCATAAAGTTGTTTAGGGTCCCACACTCATTGAAAAATCTAAGATTCTAAAGTTTAATCTCTTTTTCACATTTTCTTTCCAACCATTTTCTCATCAACCAAAGAGAAAATAACCACAAAATTGCAACAACCGGAGAAGAAGAAAAAAAAGCCAAACCTGAATAGAGAAACCTGAGCAACATTTGCAGGCCACCACATCTCAACAGGATCCACCAAGTACCTCCTCAGCATCCCCGCCCACCCATATCCCAATACCTACAATATTTATATATAAAACTCAAATTAAACAACTCAGAATTGAAACTAAATCAGCAATGGCCTACAAAAAATAGTTTAAAATAACCTGAGTGGTCAAGACGATGAGGAGCCCACAAAAAAAGTTCAAGCGTTGCTTATAGAAAGCCTTCATGACAGTGATGGCACCAATGGAGTAAGCATCACCACCACCATAGGACACTCCACAGTTGGCGAAGATGGTGATGATGACGTGCTCTTTCATGTTGAAAGGTCCCGGGTTCAGACTAAATCTCCAACCGAGAAAGCTCATCTCCCTCGTGGGGAGAGCTCTGGCCAAGAATTTCCCAATTGGGAGCACGGCAATCTGCATGAGGATGGCCGAGATGATGAGCGGCTGCGTGCGGTAGGTGAAGAACGTGTTGAGGAAGATTAGCAACGTACAGGAAGCTAAACCGAGAAACCATGTACGAAAAGTCATCACTGGCATTGTTGGGTCGTCGGTTTCGGGAACAGTCAAAGCCACCTCCTCTATGGGAACTTTTTCATCTTCTTCTATAGAGTTCCCGTTTTGTTTCTCTACTTCTGGCTGATTCTTCGTCGCCATTGTTGCGAGCTTAGACAAAGAAAGAAAGAAAGAAAGAAAAGAGAGAAGACAGCTGCGTTATTCTCGAAGTGTTTTACTGGAAAGTGTTTTCAGTTTCAGAGTTCTGTAAGAGAAGTCTACTATATAAGTGAGATTGGAATATCTTTTAGGACCATAATGCCCTTCCTTTTTTAATTCTTGTTTTCTGCCGATGGGGTCTCTGCTTGGTCAATGCAGAGCTGATCGCTGACTTTACTATTGACTATGAATTGTGGAATTACTATAACACCCTTCTTCTTTTAATTCTTTATAAATTATTTATTTAGTAATTATCCTAATGCCATCTAATATTGGGTAAATACAAAATACAAGTAATACTGTCTAAAGAGATTTAATAATAAATATAATATTAAATATAATTACTTAATTAGGTATGTCAAGGTCATTTCATTTTTAATATAAATAATTTGAATTTTTAAAATTAATAGGGATGTAAAATACAAATATTAATTTGTCTCTATTGTTGTCCTCACATAATTCCCCTAAAAATAATTTAATATTATGTCCGAAGATGTATATTTATCACTTAAGAGATATTGCTTTCCACTAAGAATTATTCAGACGGTCATGGTGTGTATGAACTAACCTTTAATAATGATTTTAACGTTTATATTAATGTATTATTGTATGATCAATACATATTTTAATTTATTTATAAATTAATAGGGATATAAAATACAAATATTAATTTGTCTCTATTATCCTCACATAATTCCTGAAAAAAATACTTTAATATTATGTTTTATACATATTTATTATTTAAGAGATATTGCTTTCAAAGTAAAAATCATTTAGATGCGAGTGTGAACTAACTTTTAATAGTGATTTTAACGGTATATTAATGTATTATTGTATGACCAATACGTTACTTATTTTAATTTAGTTTTAGTGTTTATCTAATTCATATCATATCAATTTTATAATTGTTAAGAAAATTAAATTTACTTATCTTTTAACTTGTCAATTTTGTTATATTATCATATTATACAACAATTTGATTAATTTAAAAAAAAAAAAATTAAGTTTTAAATTTGCACAATTTTCAATAATTTTGATGAAATTAAATCGTAAATTCAGTATTAAAATGGGAAATTAGTCACTTAATTACATAAGTGATATTGTGTTTGAGGGTTATTTAGTAAATGAAGTGATTTTGAAAATCAAGGCGATGAATTATAAATAGATAAATATTATTAGACTTAATGGGTTGCTCAAAGTGGCAGCTCTTTTGGACGCGTGTGACATAACGTGCTCTTCCGCGACTGACACACTTTCCTAGACCTCTCAACAAAAGCCACCTTGGCTTCACATGAGCTTTCTCTGGATTGGGTCCCAGTGCTAAGCTGCCATGTCTGATTATGTGGGTCCCATTTTTCATCAAAGTAAACACGTAGGACAAGCAGCTCGTGTTTTCCTCATGGTTTCTTCGTAAGGGACAAAGCCAGTGGGATCCACGTGGCACCCATGCGCCCAAAGGGTCCACTGATCACAATTAATCAACACTTAAACGCATTACACTCATTCATATTCATGATTATGCATTCATTTTATTGCTAAATTATATATAAAAAATAATTTAATATAAAAAACATAGGAACTGCTAGATCTCATAACATCATTGAATTGTAATTAATATAAAGTCATTAATATGTTTTTTTTTTTTTTTTTTTTAATATTAGAGTGTCTAGACTAGCTTGCACGTATTTCAATTAATCATTTAGGTCAGATAAGTCTTCAATGATTATCTCTTATTAATAATCGTAGAGATTTGAAGTCAGAATCTTTTGGGTAATACACCCAAGAGTCCCAAGCGAACCGTCAAACTAACTAGAGTTAGTTATAATAAACTTCTTTATACTAGAATTAATATTGATTAAACCATCCACCAGTGGGTTGCTTGGATGGTAAGAAGCGTATCGAAGATTTTCAGATTGTGCTGGACATTTGTGTCTTACTTGGGGACTGTTCTCCTTGAGGATTAGATGGGTTCGGCTTGCAAGTGTTCTTGGATACCTAGGTTAACGATGAAAAAATTAATTAAACCCTAAATCCTGTAATGAATTTACGTTGAAGCTTGATTTTTTTATAAAAATGGGAATAAGAGAAGAACTATGCGTACATCTTTCTATAATTGACAAGATTCGAGAATAAAAATACCTTCTTTTTTAATGTCTTTTTCGAATACAATTCAAATAAAAGTTGATTTAGAAAGAAAATAGAAAAAGAATGGAGGAAATTTAATGGAACAAATATATGGTTTTGATGATGTGGTGGGATTATAGGGGTGCAAGATGAAGTAGAGACCGATGGTCGTGGAGGGAGGGACCCAAAGTCTACATTGGGAAGTCGAGAAACGTTGACCCTCTTCTCTTCTCTTCTCTTCATCACCAAAACCAAACCAAAAGCTTAATATATATATATTGACATGATAATAAACAGAAGCAAACACTTGGGGACTCTGCATGTGCCATCTCCAAACCAAAAGCAAAATATGTTTACACTCCATTGGATTACACTTAAGACACCTGTATAGATAACATATACTACAATTAACCAGAGAGAGATTGCTTCTCCACTAAAGGAGTGGGAGCTAGAAGACTTAGCTTACATATTCTCCATACTCCATCCCATTTACAGGTCAAAAAGGATGGGGGAATTTTCTTCAAATACACATTCTATGAGTCAAGGTGGGAAGTTTAAATAAGTTCGATGATTTTTATAGTACAATACAGTATAGAAAAATGAAAATCTGATATAATTTTTATATGTCACAACTGGTTGGTAAGTTTAAATAAGTTTGATGATTTATCCTTAAAGATTTTATATGGTTAAAGAAAGCGATAAGGGGAAGTGGGTCAATGCAAATATATTCTTTGAGAAACTAGAAAAGGTGGGGTTATGGACTGACTTGTTTTTCGGCAGAATGTTGTGGGCGAAACCATTGTATTATTAGAATGTGAATACTTTTAAATTATTCTGGTCTGGTCTGGTCTGGTCTATCTATCTTTATTTATTTATCATTCTTTATGTTGTACATGTTGCATCACTCCATTCTGCCCAATCCAAAGATATTATTCCCTCCACAATTTCAGCTACTATTAGATTAATGAGATCAGACTACATTGTTTATATAAATAATCAATGTAAACATGTGACAGATTACGGCTTTAAATTGCTAATTAAACTTTATATAAACTAATAATCATAGTGTGAGGGAGAAGCCCGAGTGTGCTTAAATGAATAAAAAACAGTGGCAACCTTTTACATGGAATCATTCTCGTGAATAAAAGGATATTGAAAATTGAATAATTGAGGTATACGTAATTTAGTCTGGATATCTGATTACCAAAATAAAAATTAAATTGTTGTCTTCCTACATTAACCTATAAGCGAAAACCTAAAAGTTTTGATTCGAGGATTGCAGATTAAATGTGATTGTGGTGCTTATTAGTTCACTAATACATGCATCATTCTCGTTAGAAAGCTAAAGATTTAGACAGAATCCTTTATAATTAATTAAGCAATGTGACAGCTAACTATCCATCTTAATTAATTGACCTAACTGTTTTAAAAAATATGAATCTTGTTCTTGTTAGTCCCCATATGATACCTCCTTCTAGATCAATACTTATATAGAATTTGTCCTATCATCATTATGAGAGTGCTGTAGGTGACATTCGGTACCGTTTTATCAGAGGATCGAGACAAGTGACATCTATTTCATTTATTAAAATTATCAAGTTAAGGATTAAGGAAGCAACTTGGAGAAAGATACAAAGAAGAGGAAAGTCTTAAATGGGAACGAAGTATCAGATTATTTTTATTTTGGTAATGTTTTAATCTATGGACAACTTTGGTCCTACTATATCCCATCAATAAGTTGGTGTTTTCGCACTGGAAAAAGAATAACATGTTACATGGTTAAAATACTTTGATAGATCAACTTGCTTTTCCGCATAGATACAAAACAGGTGGGGCTGAATATTAATGAGGTCCTATCTTTTGATTTGATCTGATCTTAGCTAAGAAGGTGAGGTAGATGAATGTATTTTTGGAAATAATTTATTGGGTTGTTCATTTTCTTCTTCAATCTCATTACTATTATTAAGTCAAGCTTACTAAAGAAAAACGATATGATTTGATCCATTATTTAATATTCTGGAGTTCACATAAGTGATGATTTATTGGGTATGACTCATATATCTATATTATTTATGAATTGATTAGGACACAATAATGAAAGATTTGATCATTATTAAGTTGTTTAAACTCCTGCCGAATTGGGGTTTTTTATTTTCATAAAGGCAATCTATGGAAAGTTGGCAGGAGGATTTATTCCCCATTAGGTAAAGGGTTGAACCAGATCAAGGGTTGGAAACTAGCCATTTGTCCATGTTAATGGGCCATTATAGTTAAATCAATAGTATTGGGTTCAAAGTTCATTGATTTCTTGGTCGCAGTGAAGTGGGGGAGATTATAATTGAGTGTAGGAAAGATTTATGTGGGATATTGAAGCACATTTTTAACAATTACACACCTGGCTAGTATTTAGTTGGTATGTTCATCACCATTGTTGGAATAAAAATATATGAGAATAGCTTTTTACTTATATAGATCACACACTGTTCGTAGGTATGATGTAAAAGAGAGATTGAGAATGAATAAAGAGAAAGAAAAGAGCAAAAGTCCAAGTATAGCACAATCATGAATTGGGTTGGCAGTGATTGAAAAGCTAGTCATTTGGTGTTTTACATCATTTTCTTCAAAATTTTCCAAAGATTGTTCACATTACAATTGATATCCTAGTTTGAAAGCTCTATATCTCTTTACTTTTTGTTCGTTAAGTTTGGTATATTTAGGTCTGCATCTACTGGGCCTCCAAGCTCCTTAATTGTCAGAGACATCGGAATCTGCTAGGGTCCCCTTCTTTGAAGACGAGTCCATTGAGTTGAGACATAAAATGACACATCACAACTGTATATATATAAAAGTCAAGTTTTTAATCTTTGATTTTCACTGATCGATGATGAAGATGAAGATGAACATCACCGTGGTACCACCCCACCAGGACCACTACTAGACCACACGCCATTGAATGTGACTCAACGAGCCTGCTTTGCCTTTCATGATATGCTTGGATTTCTTCAAGTTCTCTTCGGTTTAAGTTCTGTGTATACCCGTGCGAATGTGTGGTCCATCGTCCATGCACTAATATTGACAGCGGTTCACACTACTATTCAAAGAGATTTTGCACTAAGATTCTTTACCTTATATGATACAGCAGGAGACTTCAATCATTCGCCATTGAACATTGCAGGGCAAAGATATGTCAAACATCTGTCTTTCATCATCTAAGGTGCAAAAACAGGGAGAAATTTTTTACTTTACAGTCGTGCACATGCATTTGGATAATCAGGCAGGAGGTGTATGTTATGCATGATGACATAAGGCTACCCACATAAGTGATAGGATATATGTGTATCTCTTTGAGTGAGTATTCCAGTTATCACTACAGGAAAATTGCTCTTTTCTGATCAGTCTTCTTCTGACGCAAGATATGACATCGGAATACAATGTCTCTACTGACGTTTACATCATTTGTTAAGATTAGAGGCTTACCATAAAATTAAAAGCTATAATTATTATCAAATGTGTAACCTTATTTCTTTAAACTGTCAAAACGGCGTCCATAATTCGAGGTGATTTAGCCTCTGGACCTCCATATATTGTACCGAGATGTTAGCCCATTTAACCAGTAGAATATAAACTTATATATGATACATAGATTTATTCCTTCTTCGCGAAAAATAAACGATGGCATCATTTGCTTTTGGAAGTTTGATTCTTGGGGGCCAGTGAGGAATATCCTATAGGGGCTGTAGCACTACGCCGTGGTCGGCCATATAAAGTAGGGTAATGGACCAAATTAAGGCATCTCTGACGAAGGAGAATGGCTCATATGAACATATAAGGTACGAGGTTGGTACTTCTATGAAAAATTCAAATGCCTGATGTAAGAAAGTAGCCGATTTCTGTCAATTTTTTTGGTTTAGTGGCTGCACTAGTTATATGCGTATTGAGTGGAAATGGGCGCCGGCCATTGAATATTGCCATAATCAAATGGCATTATATCAAATATTTCCGAATTCTAGCTCAAGTTTCGAGGACCACTAGCGACTTTGGTTGGACGGCAAAGCTTCTTCAAGCACATATATAGTAGAGTTAACATCTCAAAATCCTGACCAGTGCTATCGGTATCTTCAATGGGGCTAACAGCTTTATCTTTCTTTCATGGGCATGCAGATTCTTGGAACAAAATTATTGACCCCCTTAATCATACTCTCTATATATATCGGCATTTAGAATTGTTTCTGCAGCTGCCCAAAGCAATTAACTGTAGCTAAGTACAATTAAACCGGAACACCAGCATTGTTGTGTGCATATTAAGGGTACAACTCTAGAGGCCAACTCTATCATATTCAAATACATAATAGTATAATGCTAATGAAAGTCGTCTTGAAATTTTTAATATGCAGGATTAAGGAGGTCATTAACCCTTAATCGACATGTTAAAAACTTCAAGATATTCGCACAAAAAATTAATTTATATAATATGTTAACAATTTTCATTACAAATTACTTTATTAGGTTGTTTATAGTGATTATTTTATCAAGATTAGGACTGATCAAGGTCATGCTTTAGGAAGCTTGATTGAGTTATACAATGAAACCTTGAGTTATACAATGAAACCTCTCCGTAGTCATAATGTTGAGACCAATTAAATTCATTACTATAAGGAGGTTATAACTTAATAGAGGTGTAGTTACAATAATTATTTTTTTTATTTTATAATTCATGTTTTAATAGTATTAGGATTTTCATTTATGTTTTAGTAGTATTAGGATTTCAATTCATTGTTTTAGTAATATTAGGATAGTACGAAAATGTATATTAAAGAGTTATTGCAGAATTAAGTGATTAGATTCGACAACTTTACTACACTAATCAAATTGATATTAATGTGTTCCTCAGTCATTCAAATGAGTAACAAGTCATGTATAATTTAATTGAAGAAAAAACATGACTAGAATTAGACAAGAAGAGAAATAAGATAATCCTGAGGATGATAGTACGGAAATACGTAAAGTTTCATGTCACAAAGCTCTAAATATACTTGAGAGCTAGAAATATTTTGGTTTCAATAAGAAAGTGTCCATGTTGTGACTTATTATAAATCCGTTAGATAAAAGATGCGGTAACAATTTTATAGTATAAATCATTGTCAAACAACTTTAGATAAATATTTTATTTCATGTTAAACATTTAATGTAATATAACATATATTTTGCAAGATATATATATATATATATATATATATATATATATATATATCTTATATATATATTATATATATATATATATGGGCAAGTTTCTTAAGGACCTAAAAAAATTATAACTTATTACAATGTAAAATTTATTCTTATTTATAATTAGACCAAGTTAGGACCATAATTTTTTATGGCTATATAAAGGTTATTCCTATATAGATTATCACTGTAGAGAGGTTCTACTGTATTTAAAATTTCAATACACACCATTGGAATTTTGTCATTTCCAGACACAATCGCAACAATGTCAACTTACATTGCCATTGCTTTAGAGTGCCGAAAACACATCAAGGAACAATTATTGTGAACTACTCTTAGGTAACTTGACGGTTCGTTCGGGACTCTTGGATGTATTACTCAAAAGGCCCTGAGTTTGAATCCCCACAACTACTAATAAAGGGTAGCTATTGGAGATCTATCTAACCGTTAACTTCAGGGCTTCGAAGAACTAGTTGAGGTGTATACAACTTGGTCTGGACACCCTCGGATACCCACCCCACCAAACCCCCCACCCCCTTCCCAAAAAAAAAAAAAAAAAAAAATATCGTTGTAGCGATGCTATCCTGATGCGAAAATGTGACGCCGCAACATGCTAGTGTATTGCTTGGTGACCAGATTAATCCCAACTCTTGCTAGGACTTCTGAGCTTAGTTAAACTATTACTTAACTCAAAGGCAGCATGTCGGCAAGGCAAATAAATAAGTAACTTGATTAGCAAAAAAGAGAAGAATACATACTTGATAACCCCAAAATATTACAAGAAACAAGGCTGATAGTTACAAATAAAACAACATCTAAGGATCGCATAAATCCTTGATTTGCGTTTGTGCCTCGCATCTTATTATCACATATACTACATAGAAAATTGCATCACACATACCTAATTAACTAGAATAATACATTAATTAATCCATGGATTAATCGTTACATTACATGATAAAACATGCATTTGGATTCTCATCACTAAAGAATTGATCAGGGCGAGGATCATAAGCATACTCCAAGTAGTACTTGGACGTCCAATATTCATTTCTCTTCATGTCAAGCTTTTTTTCTTCCTCTTCTTTCCCCTCTTCGCCGCCGCCGCCGCCGTCTTTCTTTTCGCCATCTTTCTCCTCCTTCTTCTCTTCCTCTTTCTTCTCTTCCACCTTCTTCTCCTCATCCTTCACGATGGAAGCTGGCTTCCTGGTCTTCTTGTACACATCATCCACCAGCTTTTCTGGATCAACTACCCCTTTCACAATCACTTGACCGTTTCCTAGGTTGGTTTCCACTGACTCAACACCTACACACATGTAAATATTACAATTAATTAGTATTTACTAATCACATTATTTTTACTAAGAATCAAAATTTGGCAATTTATGATACCTTTAATTTTTCTTATACGCTTCTGTAAGACTTGAGCACAAGCTTCACAGTGCATCGGAACATTCAACACAACTGTTACGGCAACTGGAGGCTACGTTGCACCAGATTAGACAAAGAAAATAAGAATAATCAGTGAATCTGTAATCACATTTAACTGCTCAAATTAAAGCAATAAACAAATTAATACTACTGCTTTGTGTTTGCTCAATTACTAAATATAATAAAGTAATCACAAATCAATGCTACATTTTCTCGGGTATGGTGGGAGCATGAGTTTACAAGTATGTAAGGTTGATTTTCAAGTGGGCATAAAGAGCCAAAGAGGCCCAACACTCAACAAAAGTAGCTTTAAACACGACAAGCTGCATGCTGCTCGAAATCCCATTTAATTTTTTATACTTCTGCTTAATTTCAACACTATAATCATCCCATATTATATATAATCTGACCTTTTAAGTTCCTAAACAATGTTTAAAATCATTTTCTAATTGAAGGGGTGCCGATAATCATGGGTTAAAATTTTATATATCGTGTTATTTAATTTGACTTTGGGAGGAGAAGGTGAGATGTGGTTTGTATAGTTAGCTAGCTGGTAGCCCGTGACCCGTTGATAGTTACAGAGCAATTTATCAAGTTGGGGAACTGTGGGGTCAAAACCTTAAATAGTGTTGACCCTTCTTGTAAAATGTGCCTATTGCTCGATCGTTTTGTTGTTTTCATGTCAGCAACAATCACAAGACTACAAAATTTACCATCTACTTTAATGATCCGTTCATGCAAACCCTTATAATGAGATAAATAAGAGGACAGCATAAAAGATGAACGATACAATCAATCAATCAATTAATGAAATCGTTCATGTGCATCACATAAATCAATGTCTTTACGTTTTCATCCGATGATTATATTATTATTATTATTATTATTATTAATTAGGTTCAAATTAAAGTTTATGTTAAGGGAGAGTGGAGATTGAGAAAGTTAATTATAGTAGGCGGTGGTGGTAGGTGGGTGTTTATTTTTGGCCTAATTGTGCATACTAAAGTGATTTAGCTAGAAAGAAAGCTAAATTAATAATTACCTCTTCTTTTTTCTCTTCTTTGGGTTCTTTTGGTTCTTCCTTTTTCTTCTCGGGCGGCTTAGGCAAAGGCGAAATTAACTCAACTTTTCTACCACTTTTTTTTTGCAGTCTCTCACAAACTTTAATGGGGTCTGCTGCCTTTCCTTTCACCACCACTTTACTCGTCTTGCTATCTGCACTCACCTCCTCCACTCCTGTTAACCATCTTACCATAATTAATCACATAATTACTACAATAATACGACAATTAATTAAGACTTGTCATCAGTCGCAAACTGTTTATAGGGTAAACGTACGTTGTCATATGATTTATAAGCTTATAGAAACTAAGATTCATGGATGGTAGTTTAGTTAAGAGAGTGAACTAAGATAAAGTAAATTAAAAACCTTCAAATCCCTTCAAAGCTCTGGAAACTTTGCGAGCACAAGCTTCACAATGCATATCAACCTTGAGGACAATTTCTGGAGGTTCTTCTTCTTTCTTCTCTTCTTCCTTCTTCTCTTCCTTTTTTTCCTCTTTCTTCTTCTCCTCCTCTTTCTTCTCCTACCAACCACAAAATAATAATCAAAATATCAGCTAAGTACTACACACAAACACAAAGTTAAATTTATTTAATGAAGCTCAAAAGGCAGCTAGAGCTAGAGAATAGAGAGTATTAATACACTTACCTCACCCATTTCTATGAAGTTTGATGAGGTTCAAAGCAGAAGTTTGCTTCTCTCTCTCTCTCTCTCTCTCTCTCTCTTTTGCTCTTTGGTGGTGGGGAGTGAAGAGTGGAAGGACATTTAAAGGAGGAAGGATATTATGCGTAAAATTTGACGTGGAATTTTTTAATGCACGAGTACTGTTTTGTATTAAAGGCTCAGGACAAATGGTCATCAACTGACTTCGCAGATATACATACGCAACTCCTATTTTTGTATTCCATTCATTTAGATGCTCTCATCGATGTATTTAAAACATGGGTTTAATTGATTTTATTATTATTTAATTTATTGAGATATAATAGTTTCTTCGTTGTAGCAAAACAGGTGAAACATATCCCCATTAGTATGTTCTTCCTTTTACAAGTAAAATTTTCTATATTTTTATTTGATTCCAAATACATAAAACACGTGAAGGAGGATGAGGATCCTATTTTTATCTAAGCAAATTCGAGCTTCTAAATTTTAACTAATTAATGTGTGGTTGAGTTTTGTTTTTATAAAAAAATCATGCAAAGAATGGACCGTAATTCTCAATTGGTATTCTTGACTTGAGATTAGCGTAGCAACCCACTGTTATGACCCTCCACTTAAATCGTGGATGCTAAGATGAGGAATCAAACCTGAGACTGTATGTTTATCTATACTATTTTCAATTTGTCTTAACCATCTGGATTACCCACAAATGTATCTCACCAAATAAGTGAAGATCGTAATTCTCCAAACTCCACTGAAGAAGATAGATAATGGATATATATATAAAACATGACGATTGTAATTCGTTAAAAATCCTACTACAGAAGACAGGTAGCGAATATTATTATAATTCTCTGAATTCCACTTAAAGAGATAGATATTACGTATTGCAAAGGAATTCAAACTTAAAATTCTCTGAATCAAACTTGAGACTGTATGTTTATCTATACTATTTTCAATTTGTCTTAACTATCTGGATTATCCACAAATGTATCCCACCAAATAAGTAAAGATCGCAATTCCCCAAACTCCACTGAAGAAGATAGATAATAGATACATATATAAAATATGACGATTGTAATTCGTTAAAAATCCTACTACAGAAGATAGGTAGCGAATATTATTATAATTCTCTGAATTCCACTTAAAGAGATAGATATTACGTATTGCAAAGGAATTCAAACTTAAAATATTGATTCACATATGATATGATGTTTAACTCTATGTATATATTCTTTGAGAAAGTACTATAAAATCTCCTATGATTAATAAAAAGGTCCATGGAATTATTGAAACATATGATGTATAAAAAGGTCATACCTATCAGGCTATCAATAGGTCTATTTCGTGATTGAATATAAGGTGTATAATCCATTGGAATGGAGCCCACAACTTTGGAATCCAAGCCCAGGTGACCTTACAAACGATAACCTAATCTTTGATCAGCTTAGGAAGGCTATCAAAGCAACTTGAAAAGTGGGGAAAAAGGAGGTATGAAAGGGGACCCAATTTTTCGACCTTCAACCAATCACCAAATGCCATGTGTGTTGATAAGCATTATCATCATCTCGCCTCCAGTGAAATCAGAGAGGGGAAAAGGTTGGAAAGAAAGAAAAGGTTATTTGATTCATTTCATGTCTTCACTTGAACAAGTTGAGGCCAGAATATCAATGCGACATAAATGTAGCCCTCTCACCAATCTGTGTCTCCAAAAATAAGAACGAAACTCCGAATTATTTCAAAATACTTCAACATTTTCATTCATCAAATTTAGACCTATCTACCAACAAGTTACAAATATAAGTTCGAAATTAAAGTCTTCGTTAAACCCTATAATATTCTGAATTTATTTATTTTTAGTAACTGGAGTGTTCAAATCAGTTTATACGTATATCGATTAATCACCCGAATCTATTAAACCATATGTCTTCTAGAGTTAACTACCGTCTCCATTAAACTGTATGTCTTCCAAAAATTGTCCCGTCTCACTTTGCAAACTCATGTTTGAAATTGTTAGTCATCACCAAACCCTACAATCTTCTATAAACTTTTTAACCTTATTTTGTACCCACCCTGGTTCTAATCTAGAGTCATATGAAACCCTAGCCCTCGTGAGAGCACATCATGGATCTTCAAAGTGAATATATTCGGCATTTCTCTCCTAAGAATTTATGTGTATATATTTATATGTTTGAATATCTTATGATATCTATTTCCTGGGTCAATTAATTTCAGCAATCTTTAACTTTATTAAAAATTGGAGAATCTAGCTTGAAGGGAAGGGAAAAGAATAGTAGAAACAATCAAACAACAGTAAATTGATTGACCATATGGACTGATAACTCAAATTTTGTCAGTTTTCCTCCGAAAGATGAGAATTATTAATCAAGGGATATAGATATGGATGAAAAGGAACTAAAGAGCAGCACGTTCCATGGATCAAAAGGTGATCTGAAATGTGATGATGGAATCCTGAAAGCAAAAGCCAATAACGGTGGTCTCACACAAGACGATAATAAATGATAAATAATAATAATAATTTGAAACCACCCTGGGTGGTTGGATAGACGGTAAAAACTCTTGATTATATTATTCAAAATATCTCGAATTCGATTACTCTCCGTTGCTATTAGCGGTGGCCACTAGAAGATATGCATGATCATTAACTTCAAGATTCTAGAAGATTAGTCGATGTGCGCGTAAGTTGACTCGAATATTTTCGGTTATCAAAAAAAAATTTAACTAATTGCTAATAGGAGTAGCACTGGAAAGTATACACGATCGTTAACTTCAAGGTTCTATAGAGTCTTGGAGGATTAGTCGAGATACGTGTAAACTAGTCTAGACAACCCTGCTCACCAAATTTAAAGTAGTCCTTGCATTGCAGAGGTGAGAAGGCCGGTGGAAGAACAAGGAAACTGCAAGAGCCGGTGGGTAAAAAGATTAAAGATGAATACGAATATGAATATAGTGTAAGATTGAATTATTGAAAGTTGAAACCTGACAACACACCGCCTGAAAACTTTAATAGCGTCTGGCCCTGTGGTGGTCTACTCTTGTAGTTGAAGAGTCTCCATAATACAACCAAATTATTGGTTTGTATTGGCCCCCATTTGGTTCCTTCTGGTTCGAACACCATGTTTGCATGCATGTTCTTGTATGGACTCGGGGTCTGATTATAATAGTTGGAATCGTCCTGGAGATACTATACAGTTTCTGAAATTATACCGTATTGTCGTGTAAGGACGTTCAGGATTAGAATGAATTATTTGAGTTTTCTGGAGATGATGTAAAAGCTAGCCTTTGTCCGACAGTCCGAGTGTTCATTGACCAACCTTTCAGACATTTAATGCTCAATGTTGGACTGGCCGACAGGCCGACTGGGTTCAATGAAATAAGATGAAAATTTTGGGATACTGTTTAATTGTGTAGCGATGGTGGAGTAATCCCTAAATGGGGTCGTCCCATTGAAATTAAAAACTACCATTGGGCTTCAGCAGAATCGGGCCGTTGGCAAGTCCATATGGTATACAATAGAGGGCCCGTATTGAAAGCATTCTACATCAATCAAAATTAATATGCATAATACCATATCCATTATTATATATTTTTTTGTTTAAATATGTATCGGTTTTCAAAGTTTGCATATCCACAGTCCACACATAGGGACGGTCCCATAAATTTCTGTTAGGATAGGTAAAAATAAAAAATAATTACACATTAATATTTGTATTAAAGTAGATCAAAATTTATAAATTGTACATATTAATATTTTTTAAAATTCTTTGAGGATGGGCAATGTACTGCATCCGCCCCTATCCACAAATTTATTTGAATAATTTAGAAAATAAATTTCTTCTATCATTATTCTTTTTTTTTTTTTAAGAAAATAAATTTCTTCTACCATTATTCTTTTTTTTTTTTTTAAACTTTGAATTATGGTTTAAGAGTTGATCGGTCTAAAAAATTAAGAGATAAAAAAGGAACCTATATATATATATATATATATATATAAGCAAAAGTGAAAAATAAGGGCCATTGAAAGTGTTATATAAATAATATAAGTAGATAAACAAATAAAGAAATAATGAAGTCCAAAGAGTCAACACCATCTGATGATCTCAAAATGATCTCAAATAGAAGAATTTAGTGGGCAATCTTGACGATCGCATTAAATTCAACATATTTTACACGTGTTAACATTGTAGTTGTTATTGAGGTACGGAAATCAAACTCTTACGTCTTCGTAAGATTAAAGACTGGTTTATATAATTTTACTATTCCTGTCTCTGGGGTATTCGGATTAATCTGTATATATCTCGAGTAATCTGTATGGTTTATTGAACATCTTGGGTTACGTAAAAATTTAAAAATTAATAAAAAGACCTCATAAGTTTGTCAATTTAATTAAACACCGCAATACATAAAAATTTTATAACATAACAAAAACACTCCTATCCACCTACAATACCAAATTCCGGTCACCACCGTCGAAATCTGGCGTTACTATGCAGACCAGTCGGATCTGGTCGAACGTGAGTCGATCTGATATTTTCTAGCCAGATCCATCATAGATCTGGCCGTCAATGGCCGCAAAAGGCAAAATCTGGCCGTTGTTGTTGGTCAACGACAGCCATTTTTTTTACTGTTGCTGATGGTCAGATTTGACTGAAAAATGCCAGATCGATGAATTAACTGTCATTTTCGGTCGTTTGTAGGTCGTTGTGACAGATTCCGGTTACCATTATAGGTAAATGGGGTATTTTTGTTAATTTTTAAACTTTATTTTTGGAGATATTTAATAAAATTAATAAACTTAAGGGGTCTAAAAGTAATTAAAAATATATAATAGTATTTCTTAAAAAATTAAACAAACAAATATTTTGAGAATAGGGTATGAAATAATAAATCAAACACACCCTTATAAATTTAATATTTAAAGATAAGTCACGAATACAATATATGATCTTAAACTTTAAATAAGAAATCAATAAAAAAGCCAAACTTTCTTGACGAGACAAAATCCTATTCTCAAAATATTTGTTTGTTTAATTTTTTAAGAAATACTATTCAATATGGCCCAAAACGGCCATAGCGGAGCCTCTTCGTCACGGTGACGTACTCACGGGGACATCCGGCGGTGGTTCGCGGTGGCGGCAGGAGGTGGGGGTGATTTCGTCATAAATTAAAGTTTTATATAAGCGGGGGTGTTTTAGCTAAATCTGAAATATTGGGGGTAAAAAAATTATTCAAAAATTAATAATAAAAATAATTTTATATTAATATTTAAAAGGGGGACAATTTAGTAATTTAAATAGCATACCCACCAATTTATTCCCCATAACCAGACATATTAATATAACATACCCACCAACTAACCAAACATATTTTTCTAAAGATTCCCAGTAATCTTTCAAGGTAATCTATCTTTCCAGTAATTCAACATTCCCAGTAATCTAACATTCATGAACCAAACACCCCCTTAGTTCATTAACTCAACCTTCATTTTGTCAATGAATTTTGATTATATTATTGACAATTTTTGCAATTAAACTAGTGGGTTAGGCTATTAATTATACAATCCATTACCCATATAAATTCCTATTATCCTATACCGACACTCTTGCCGTCTTGTGATTGAGCTCTTGATCCATAGCTCCACGACTCAGGACACGCGTACGGATGGCAATTGTACGGAACTTAAACTCTTATGTCTTACTTTAGATTTAGGATGAGTTCACATCATTTATAATATGTGTCTCACTTGTCATTCTCTTCTTCATCACTTGAATTGATCAAACTGCACTTAATAATATTCTCAGAACGAGGTTCAGACTCATATCTGAGCAACCCCACCGGCCAGTCATGGAGGAGAAGGTCTGCAAAATCTTATCTTTCTTATAATTTAACCATGCCCATCTCATTTATTTGTTTGTTAATATATATATGTTGATTGTTTAATGTTGCAGAACGTTACAAGAATGTTGTTGAAGGTTGACCTACAGTGTGAGAAGTGCTACAGGAAAGTGAAGAAAGTGCTGTATAAATTCCCTCGTAAGTTGTCTTTAATTCTGTGCATCAATTCTCTTTGTTAATGAATTTGAAGTAGGTGTTTAATGTAGAAGGAATGTTTGATTTTTGTGGACAAGATCAGAAATACAAGACCAGGTGTATGACGAGAAGCAGAACACAGTGACGATCAAAGTGGTGTGCTGTAGTCCTGAGAGGCTCAAGCAAAATATTTGCTACGAGGGTGGTGATTCCATCAAGAGTATTGAAATTCTACCGCCACCCAAGCGTAAAGAACCTGAAAAGCCTAAAGAGAAACCAGCACCAGCGAAAGCAGAGCCGCCAAAACAAGACAAGCCTAAGGTTACTTTTGTGGACCCACTGCCAAACCCGGCACCGTACTTCCCACCACCGGCTTATCAGAACCAATGTCCAACGTGTTGCAGGGAATGGTACGAAGGGCGTGGAGGAGGGCCAGGTTACCAACGAGATTATTATGGGCCGCCAACATGTCGTTATTGCGGATATAACGAGAAGCCGGTGTATGATAGCTGGGGTGGCGGTGGCCGTGGCGGTGGCGATAGTTACAGAGTTAATAGATTTGATTGCTTTTCCGAAGAGAATCCTAATGCAGGTTGCAGAATCATGTAAAAGTAATTAATGGTGGTGCACTGCATCTTGCATGCATGCGAAGCTAGGTGGTTTCACTATAGTAATACTTGATGACAGATCTTTTGTATTACTTTAGTAGATTAAAGACATGTACTTTTTATATATGTATAGGTAATAAATGTTATATAGATTTGTCTTCTCTAATTAAAATTTTACGATAATCAATCATATTGTTAATTAAAGAAAATTATTTTTAAAATTAAATACATGTATTAAATTCGTGTTGATAAAGATGTATCAAAACATGAAGAATGAAAATAAATATCTAATAAATGAATAGGGATGATTATTTTGGCTTCGTTGATTCATCAAATTACAGAAAGTGATGTGTTTGATCGCTATCAGGATTTTGGATTGAACCGGCAGATATTTATTCGAATTTAAAAGAAAAAAAATGTAACCCAATAATTTCCATACCAGCTCTGAGTGTTACAGTAATTGTGAGTATGGGGTTGGATGGATATCTCATTGTCACTTTTAAGGAACAAATTAAAAGTATTTTAATAAATAATGCTTGGTATTGTTTTAGACATTTGGAGGCTAGCGATACTATGTTGTCGGTAAGATTTCCACATCAATTGCCATTAATAGTTATATGTTTGCAGGTCCAATGGCATGGGAAGATCAATAGTGACTAATTTATTATTATATGATGTATTAAGGAGGTAATGTGCTAATTAATATATATACAGATGAAATTATTTATGAGTGATCGAGTAGAATGATAAAGACTCTTGGATATATTATTCAAAAAGTAGAAGTGACCATCGGAGGGTATACCCGAAAAACTATTTTGTTTAGTAACTTATATCAATTACGTCGTTTAACAGATATTAATCTCTTTCTCTTCGCATTGTTTTGCACTCTACACGGAAGCTTATTAGTGGCTACTTCCATTGAAAGCTCAACGAAGTATGCATGTTCTTGTATGGAGTCAGGGTTTGATTATAATAGTTGGAATTGTCCTGGAAACACTATACAGTTTCTGAAATTATACTGTCTTTTCTTTTGGGTGTAAGGATGTCCAGGATTAGAATGAATTCTTGGAGTTTCCTGGAGATGTAAAAGCTAGCCTTTGTCCGAGTGTTTATTGACCAACCTTTCAGACATTTAATGGTCAATGTTGGACTGGGTTCAATGAAATAAGATGAAAATTTTGGGATACTGTTTAATTGTGGAGTGATGGTGGAGTAATCCCTAAATGGGCTCGACCCATTGAAACTAACAACTACCATTGGGCTTCAGCAGAATCGGGCCGTTGGTAAGTCCATATAGTATACAGTATAGGCCCCGTATTGGAAGCATTCTCATTTCTCACCCAGCTGCATCAGTCAAATCAATTTCAGTTGAGCTCAGGGAAATGAATTAAATTAAAAGAATTATTTGTTTTTTTTATTTCTTTTCTTGTTTTGTTAAAATGAATTAAATTAAAAGAATTATTTGTTTTTGGGATTTGAAGCTTAGTTAATTGATTGTGAGGATTGTCGGAGAAGTTCGATTTGTGTGTTGGTTGTATGTTGATGGTGAGGGTGTGACTGTAAGAATTTAAAACTTGAGTCAACAGTGCAGGCGCCCACGAGTCCACCTGCATAATGCAGGATATGGTCTAATATTTTAGACCCATTTAGGGCCTGTACCCGTAGGACCTGCACCCACCTGTCCCATACCCGGCCCACATGCCCGTTTTGTCGGGTCTAGGCATGACCTTTGTTTATATGGTGAGTCTAAGTACTTGAATCCTAATAGAACTTTGAGTTCATAATGGTAGAGTTTGAGTAAATAGAAAAATCCTTATTTACTTGCATTTGTTGGAGTAAGAATCCTAGTTCATGTAAGATTCAAGATCTTAGATGAATTATGATGTAGATGAAACCCTTGTAAGGATTAGGATAAAGATGGAGGCAATAGATGAATTAGGATATTGATAGGACTCTGGGTCTTGTGGAGCAGTCATGGGTCGGTGGGCTTGAGTCCAAATGGGCTTGTAACAAGGCCAACATCGTAGAATGACCTTAACTATTGAATCGTCTATTTTTTAAGTAACCTAATTTATGAAGTAGGTCCAATCGGAGTTGGCTCATGGCATTGGGCCATTCGGCTTTTGTTTTGTGTTTGGGCATGACAATACCCGTTACGAATTTTAGCCCCTACAGGAACCAAGGTCGAAAAGATTGAGAAAAATCAATCATTCACTATCAGTATAATTTTTCGAAATGTAATGGAATTTCAAATTTATCTCGACTAGATGGATCTCAGCAACACCACTGTTTGTACCACTGCTTTTTCAATAGAATTTGATCAATCCTTTTTTTAGTCGCTGAGATTGAGAACAGGACCAAGATTTCTCTTTCACACGGAATTCCATGTGCTCCATGCTACTCAGGTCAGACCAATTTAGAAGTTCACAACTTCACATACAATTCTCAAGTGCATATTTATGGAATTGGATCAAATTAAATGTTCAATTTATTTTTGTTCACAAATCTAAATCAAGTAAGACTAGAAGAAGAGGGAAAGTCCATTAACTTCTTAACTTTTGATTGATGAATTCATTGAATAGATAGCAAAATCTACCTAACGACCAAGAGATATAATTGCCATTTTCATCTTTTTGTGTCTAGGGCTGCTCAAAATTACACGCTACCTAATCAATCCGAACTGAAAAATTCGGTATCTGGATATTCGATGTGGATCCAGGTAGAGGTGGGCAGGGACCGGTCCCTTGCGGGACCAGTCACTCATGGGCCTAGGACCGGTCCTAGGCCCATGAGAAAAACAAGGACCTGGACCAGGCCTTAGGCCTGGTCGGTATTGGTCCCATGGGGCTTGGATAATTTTTTTCCCCCCTCAATTTTTTTTTTATATTTTGGGGGCAAAACAAAATTTTATAGGGGGTTTAGTATTTTTTAGGGGTAAAATTTATAAATTTTATAAATTTTTTAGACTTGGAAGATTTTTTTTTTTTATAAATTTTGTAAAATTTTTTTTAGCCCTCATAATTTATATTTATTTTAAAATTAACAGGGGGTTTTACGTAATTTAACAGGGGACTATATTAAAAAAATACAAAAATTTTTGGTCCCAGGCCCGGGCCTTGGAGGAGGGCCCAGTGGAGAGCCTGGGCCCTCCTTCTTAGGCCTGGTCCCGTTTTGGATCGGGTTTTGGAGCTGGGCATTTGGGACCGGCTCTAGATCCAGGTAGTATTATAAGAAGAAGTGCTCTTTGAAACTTAGAAAGTATTTCTACAGGTTTAGATCTCTTGTCCTGAGAATTGAGAAATTGGGTATCATTTTTGGTGCAAATGCCACGATAAGATATCATTTTTGGTGCGGAACTACAAATGCCTGTATTATTGATTGCCACATTAAGATATCGTTTCTTATCTACTTAAATTAAAAATTGAGGAAGTCTGGAAGAAATTCTACAATGTAAAAGTTGAAGCTGCAAATTCAGTTCAAAATTCGGGTACTCGGTAACCGAATCAAAAATTTGGTTCATAACATGGTAATTCAAAAACCGATTCGGTTACCAGATACTGTTAGAGCATGACCCGAATATTCGATTCAGGTCAGCCAAATGCAAAACCGGTTTGGGTACCCTATTTTGAACACCACAGGTAGTACCAACCAAATGCCCACACCTTCCAAACTTTTACCTAATTTAATCAAATTAAATCAACCCCATTTACATATGAGTAATATTAACCTTACAACGAGGCATACAAAGAGAGGGTTGGATTCGTCTCTTTGTAAAGCTAGTATTACTCTTTACATATTCTATCATGAATATGTGAAGTATATATAGATATAGATATATTATATATATATATATATATCTATATATATATATATATATATATATACATACAAGAGAGGGTTGGATTCGTCTCTTTGTAAGCTAGTATTACTCTTTACATATTCTATCATGAATGATGTAATATATATATATATACAAGAGAGGGTTGGATTCGTCTCTTTGTAAAGCTAGTATTACTCTTTACTATTCTATCATGAGATGTGATATATATATATAATAATATATATATATATATTATATATATATATTCTACAATTAAACTAGTGGATTTGGCTATTAATATATAATGAATGATCCATCTAAATTCCTACACCAACACTCTGTTGTCTTGTTATTTTGTTCTTGATCCATAGAACGGTATATTCTCACTCGAGATTTAGCGAAATTTCAAATTGATACATTTGATTGTATTTATTCTAGATTTCCATCCTTATAGTAACGCTGTTTTATTTTTTTTTTATTTAATAGATTCTTAACTTTTTACTGTAACGTGACGCACGTTAGCACACTAAAATGTGTCTACACTTTCTTTGGTAGAAGATGGGTTCATTTTAGCAAAAAAGGGCTCACGTTAATAGCATCAAAGCGGGTGGTTTTTAACTTTTTTTGATAGATTACAAAGAAAATCACTTTCGAGATCACTATTAAACTCCTCACAACGTCCTTTACAAATTATACATTTACTTGTTGGCTTCACTTACTATTTTTTACCATCTTCAATAGTCATTAACAATATTAGTTTAGGATAAAAATCTAAAATAAATATATACAGATATATCAACTTGAGATTTTGCTGAACCTCGATAGAAATGCGTTACTCTTAGGGCATACGAGGTTTGCTCAAGCTTTCAAAAGGTTACAATTTTGATTATATTATTGACAAATCTGCAATTAAACTAGTGAGTTAGGCGATTTTTATTTTTGTTTTTGTTTTTTTGTTTTTTATAAAGAATAATAGATTAATTATATAATCAATGACCTATCTAAATTTCTACACCGACACCTGTTGCCTTGTCATTTTGTTCTTGATCTATAATCACCAGGCCTCGGGACATGTATACAGTTGGCAATTGTGGCCTTGAGAGTTGGGTACACCAAGAAAAAATTCATGATTATTATTAATTTTAATTAATTAATATGGTGGCTGCGTCAATCATGCAAAGCCGAATATGTGAAGAGCCTGTAGAGACAATTAATATTTTTGTTAGTGTGTTAGCTGAGCTGGCAGGATTCTTAGCCGCCTTGTTATTGTATAAAAAGTTAAAAAAAAATAATGTCACACTCATAATTTTTTTTTAATTATATAATAGTTTGTAATTAGTTATCAATTGAGTTCCATTGGAAAATGGTCAATTAATTAAGAATTATATGTGAGAGAGTTGTATGAGAAATTTTATAAGAAGGGGATATTGGATATAACATGTCATAAGAGCATCTACAAATAATTTTTTAATAATCTAAATTTTTATTATAAAAAAATTTATCCACAAAAATAAGAGTTTAATAGACTTTTTATCTTTAAAATATAAATTAGAGAATGAGTTTAACTCTTATATTTAGAGAATCAAATTTTACTCTTATTGTAATTTTAATTAATAAATTATAAGTTTTATGTATTTTATTTATTAATTATTTATTAAGTTTTTTTAAAAATAAAGAATATCTTCATTAAATTTAAAAAATTTAAATAAAAATTATATTTTATATTTTAAATTAATAAAAAATACTATTTATTTATCGAAAATGCTATCAAGAGCAGATGCTGCAACAAATTTTTCCTCTTGCTTTCTTCTTTACGAAACAGTATATCATTATTTAACAGTTCAATATTTCTTTGTAGGGTCAGCAGCCAGAAATGGAAGAAGCTAGTGGACAATCTTGATTAGAGTATGAAATTCAGCGTCAATATCAATCTCCTCTCTCTCTCACTCTACTTATCATTCTCTTCCTCATCACTTAATCAATCAAACTCGACTCAATAATATTCTGAGAACGAGGTTCAGACTCAGATCTGAGCAACCCTACCAGCCGCCATGGGGAGAAGGTTTGCAAAATCTTATCTTTCTTATAATTTAACCATGTCCATCTCATTTATTTGTTGTTAATATAATACAATGATTGTTAATGTTGCAGAAAGTCACGAGAATGGTGTTGAAGGTTGACCTTCAGTGTGAGAAGTGCTACAGGAAAGTGAAGAAAGTGCTGTGTAAATTCCCTCGTGAGTATCTTTAATTCTGTTCATTAATTCTCTTGTTAATGAATTTGAAGTATGCGTTTAACGTAGAAGGAATGTTGATTTTGTAAACGAGATCAGAAATACAAGACCAGGTATTTGACGAGAAGCAGAACACAGTGACGATCAAAGTGGTGTGTGTAGTCCTGAGAAGATGAAGCAAAAGATTCGCTGCAAAGGTGGTGAACCATTAAGAGTATTGAAATTGTACCTCCACCTCCACCTGCACCCAAGCTTGACTAACCTAAAAAAACCTGAGCGACCGCCACCACAGAAACAGGAACCAATCCAAGCAGAACCCGCACCACCCATAACCACGATCACCAGCAACCACCAGGACAAGCGAAAGCAGAGCCGCCAAAACAAGAGAAGCTATGGTTACTTTTGTTGACTCACAGCCAAAACCGGCACCGGGCTTCCCACCACCGGCTATCCGAACACCGGTTGGAATGTGCTGCAGGGAATGCTACAAGGGGCGTAGAGGGGGCCATCGTACCAGCTAGGTTACTATGGACCGCCGAGATGTAATTGCGGATATACGGGAAGCCGGAGTATGATAGCTGGGGTGGCGGTGACGATGTTACAAGTTAATAGACTGAGTACTTTTGCGAAGAGAATCCTAATGCAGCTTGCAGAATCATGTGAAAATAATGGCGGTGCACTGCATGCATAAGAAGTTAGCTGGTTTCAATAAAGTTAACGTTGTTTGGTGGCCTTTGGGTAGTTTTTGTTTTGGTTCTTGTTACGTTGTTCGGTGGTTTCAAATTTCAATAAAGTTTTTGTTTTGGTTTCGTTAAAGAAAGTTATCGGTTATCTAATTACGTAATACTTGATGAATGGTTACCTCCATTAATACTTTTCAGTAGTGCATGTCCTTTTCCTCCACTTTCTAAATATTTTTCCCCAGTAAACCACTTCTTCCCACCCAAGGTATGCGACACTTTCCCACTAACCGGCTAGATTCACTGGTAAATTTCGTTAACTGTTGTGTATATTTATTATAAAAACAAAGATACTGTTTATTATTTGACTTAATAATTTTTATTATTATTTTATATCCGGTCAACAAATTCAATTACTTATGAAATTACTGATATATCCTCAATTATATATAGGAATTTAAATTACCAATTAATTCCTCCAGTTTTTTTTATTAAAATAAAGTTTTAAATCAATGAAATTACTTTTAAAATTTGAAAGCTTTAAAATTATCATTTTGTCCCTGTATTTGCTGCATCCTAAACTAGCATCTGTATTTAAGAAATTTTGTCAATTTAAACCCAAGAAAAGTAAGTGTTAGCAACTGATTTGCTTAAATAAGAATCCAGGTTGCAAAATTACAGTGTATATATGTTTAAGAAATTTTGTTAATTCAAACCTAATAAAAATAGGGAATTCAATAAAAAAAAAAAAGCAAAAGCATTTCAGGTGATGTTCTTATAAGACAGTTTTTCATTCATTTCTTAAAATCCAAAAAGTTTTGCTTTCCCCATCCTACTTTCTAGTTCCTTGAAGCTTGCTTTTCCTTTGCTTTCTAGATCTTCAAAAACTTTTTCACAATCTTTTGTTCTTCCACTGAGGAAGCTCGAATTATCCTATCAAATGTTTCTGACAACAAAGAAAAATCAATTAAATTTGCTATTTATCACATCTAACCAATGGATAGAAAACAATAAAAGCTCAAACTTAAGTATTCACAGCAATAAACCTCTCCCTAACAACAGCTCCAAAACAAGTTTCACTTTTCACGGCAGTACCTCTCCCTAACAGCAGCTCCAGTACCTCTCCCTAGTTATTGAGCAAAGAGCAAGGAGTCTTCATGTCTCCAATGACTACCCCACAACTGAAACTTGTTCTTCGACTTAGCAGAATTGTATGCACATTGATAATAACAAATACAGAGTCATTAAAGCCTTGATTCCCGAAACTCGAAATAGGTGATATATGATATAAAAGCTGCAAGTGGGTAGGTGACATGCAAATCCTTTCTTTGCGTCCCACTGGTCACCTGCCCGTGGGATTTCCTAGACTAAAGCAGGGCTTTGACACATGAGCGATCTCCAGCCGCTTGCTGGCCTGTCACTCACCTGCTGCACTGACAGGAGCCATGCCACTTGTGCTAGGCGCGACGTGGCTACACCTGGACGGCACAGATCCCTTCTAAGCTTTGACCATCCTTTATTGAGGAGGCTCCACGTTAGCCCTACCTTTTCAGGCATAACAGAAATCCCCCAATTTTCAAGGTTTAAGGATCGAACCTTGAGAACTTCATAATTATGCCATGATTTGACATATCCCAAATGACATCTGGTTGAGCTGACTTGGCTACAAAGAGGTTGCAGAACATTTTTCTACGAGCGACCTGAGATTGTTTTCTTCAGCAAAGTCGACGACTTGGATTAGACCCTATTCAGTGCCGTATCGATGCACCTCTTATCTTAACCGAGGTCCGCGACCTAATTACACTTAGCATATTTCTACTGGAGGCAAGGAATCACATCGCTCTACAACCGACATGCGACGAAGAGTGTTCTATTCCAACGACCTCTTCAGATATTATTTGTTGCGCTTGACAGCTAATCCATTAATGAAATATCCTTTATTCTGACAAACGTGCCCTTTGCGCAATAAGTGCCAGCCATGCACATTAAATGCAAGCCATACTGAAATGACATTTGTTATCAGGGCCTTAAATGCAAATGAGAGTGCATTTAATGTGGAGGAGAGAATTGAGTCGTCATTCGATTATTTCAGTAGAGAGAAATGACGATTGAATTTCTCGAAGCGTGGCGGTTACTCCTTCTAGCCGATTGATGACATGTGGTCGCGATCAACGGCGAGAAACACATTTCGCCCAAACGTCGCTTGGCTTCGGGAAGACCAATCGCCATTTCCTCCACTATAAAACCCTAGGCTCGCCTTAAGCAATGTCACAACACTCATACTTTCAGAAAAAGGAAAAAGCTCTCCTGAGACCAGATTTTCAATCCTTCAAGTTGGTGCGCACTTTCCGTTCATAGTAAGAAGTTCACCCTCCATAGCCAAGAGGTAAGGAAGATCGTTCCGTTACATATCATTTTTTTATTTTATTTTTTTGCTTTGAATGTAGTTTATTTAGGCGATAATGGTGGGTGTTTATGGCTAGTCTTCTATAAGGAATAGGTTTTTAGGGTATGAACCATTGGGGGTGGTCCTCAAGGATTTTTTAGGGTTTTTGGAAGATATATTAGGCTTTTGTTCTTCCACGTCGTCATACAGAATTCTATACGGAGACTGAGTAATCTCTGCGTGTCTCCCTTTTTTAGACCATAGAAGAGATGGGCCTTACAGCAACCAGAACAAATGAGGGGACGAGCTCACAGGCGCAGGACGCCCCAGTGGGTTCTTTGCAGGAGATTCTATCAGTGGCCATCCCAGAGGAGATGCAGAGGGTGGTAGACTAGTACGCACTTAGCGTATACGTATTCTGGTACAGGTCATACACAACTCGAAATCCCTTAGAGGGAATGGCCACAGTCTTTGAGTCCATTTTCAAGTGTGGGGCATTAATTCCTTTCCACCCCTTTATCAGGTTGATCCTCGATTACTTCGAGGTCGCACCTCTACAATTGATGTCGAACGCATATATGATAGCCGTGGCTATGTATATCATGTGCGCTGAGAATGGCCTCGGCCAACTGACTGTGCTGGAGCTTGCTTGCTCGTATTACTTGAAGAAGAGCAAGGATAAAGATTCTTATTACCTCTCGAAGCGATCTTCGATCGAGGGAGGAATCTTTAATTACCCCAATACTATCGGGGCGTATGAGACTAAGTTTTTCTTTTTTCGTTACGACGACGTCTATCAATTCAAGGAACCAAGTAGGTCTTCCCTTCTTGTACTTAGTGAATTTTTTCTTTTCTTTTCTTTTTGGATTTGCTTTCTAATGATCTTTCTTGTCTCTACGCAAGAAACAAGTTGACCAGATTGACATATCTCACTGACTTTAATTGAATAGTATCATTCGGTAACTTGCCAGATTATTGTCGCGACGTGAAACTACTTGTAACAACTACAAATATGAGGAAGTACAGCTTCTTCAATTCGAAAGTGACATTGGAAACCTTAACTCGTAAGTGTCTGCAGTCTTAGAAAATTTTTGCTTTTGCATGTAGCGAACTTTTTTACTAACAGTACCTGCATGCAGCGAATATGCCACCCAAAGTGTCGAGGTCGTTGAGAGAGAGGGGGTGTGTTTTTCCCGGGGTAGGCGCCATGGAACTATCCAAGGCGGGCCCTAGCGACACCTCTATCGGAGGAGTGCAAGTGGGGGCACAGCCACCCACCGAACAATCAGCAGAACCTTTTTAGCCTACGACTGCTTGCCAAAAGCAGAAGACCATGGGCCAAAAGTCTAAGAAAAGAAAGGTTTGCAGCCTGAGGAGTCAGAGTTAGAGTCCGAGCCGGAGGGCTTGGGGGTGCAGCTTGGGAGGTCGTAGCCTTATCAGGCTTTTTGCTTAGGAGGGAGCTCGAGGCGCCCGACCGGGGTTACATTGGTCCCGAGCTATCCGCGCAGAGGATAAAAGGAGACTACGACTCTCGGGAAGAGAGAAGGCAAAGGGCCGGTTGGCAAGATGCCCTCTACTTCAAGAGCTGGCACACCGGTGTTGGACTCTATGGGTCAACTTTTAGAGCACCTGCAGCTGGTGGTGTTAACCCTTTTGGAGTGCTAACTTGCCAAAGTCTTTGAAGAGTTCGTGGCCTCCCACCCTGCGGACCTAATGATCAAGGCGATTCAAATGCAAAGCCAGGTAAGACAGTTTGTCCTTGTCGAGGGCTTTCCAATACTTCCTTTACTCTTTTCAAGGAGACAGAGTCTAACGCTTGTTTATTTCACTATGCAGTCTTTGCTCGCTATGCACCTGACCCAACAAAAGATCCAACTGGAAGCTACCGGGGGACTCTTCGAGCTGAAGGAAGAGAACACGTAGCTGAAGCATGACTT